GTTAGCTAGAGGTTCACAGCTTCATGTACTGTCATACACTATGCATTCCATGTTGGTGGCTACGACACCAGAATATGCACCGGGTGACCTTGATTATTGCTTGCCTTCAATCATTGCAATTATCATGGACGATATTTTCGGTGCAACAGGACAAGAGAAGGACGAGGAAGGATATATCAGCAAGATGAAAGAAGTCAAGAGCAGCAAAAGTCATGATTCTATGGAATTGATAGCCAAGACAGCTACTCTGAGCCGACTGACAGATTTGATTCACCCAATTCGAGTATTGTTGAAGGAGAAGCTAAACATTCGGATGGTTCGCAAAATCGATGAACTTTTGAACAGAATCAGTTCTGGACTACTCAAAAACACAGCCGCCGGAAGTCGTGATAGCTTGGTCTTCTGTTATGAAGTTATTCAAGATGTTTACAACAGCCGAAAGCCTCAAGAAAAAGCGAGTAGAGACGATTATCGCTTCAAACGCTACTTGCTACAAAAAGGTGCCAAACGTGGTGGGGAACGAGGTGCTACAACTATCTATACCTTCAAGCTTATCAAATTTGCCTTTGACGTTATGAGATCTGTCGTCAAAAAGTACGATACAATTCGAACGCCTAGTAACCTTGCAGGTTTCATTCCAATGATTGGCGACGCGGTCGCTGAAGGAGAGGAAGAAGTAAAGGTTGCGGCCTTCAAATTACTTAGTACCATTGTCAAGGTTCCACTTAAGATCGATGGTGAAGGAACAAACCTTTACAGGGTCGCGGTAGATGAAGCCATCAAATGTGTAGCCTCATCTTCATCAACTACCTCGGATATTGCTCAAGCATCCTTGAATCTACTCTCGGTAGTTCTGAGAGATCGTAAGGATGTTCCAGTCAAAAGTAGATCGATTGATGATATCCTGAAGAAAATGAAGGATGACATCACTGAACCAGAGCGACGACACATTACCTTCAAGTTCTTGAGATCTGTGCTGGACTCAAATATTGAGACTGCTGTAGTATATGACACTCTAGACTATGTTAGCACGGTCATGGTAACAAATGACGACAAAGATACAAGAGATCTGGCACGTGGTGCATTCGTCCAATTCCTTAGAGAATTCCCACAAATGAAAAGTCGCTGGAACAAGCAATTGGAGTTTATTGTTGCAAATCTGAAATACGATAGAGAGGGTGGAAGAATGTCTATACTCGAAGTCATTCTTCTCCTATTGTCAAAAGCCTCGGATGAGATTGTTCAAGAGGTTGCAGCATCCAGTTTTGTACCTTTGATTTCGGTCATAGCCAATGATGAAAGCGAGAAGTGTCGTATGGTGGCTGGAGAAGTCCTCAAGGAAACCTTCAAGAGAGCCGATGAAAGTCGCATGACCGATTTCCTCACCATTCTACAATCACTTGTTAAGCAAAACAAGACTTCAGCTGTCCGGGTAGCACTACAAACTTATGCATTATATTTCGAATCTCGATCCGATATGGAAGATTCAAATATCAATTTCGTACTCGGTACTGTTTCGAAGATTTTGGAAACTTCCGACGATGATGATGAAGATTATTGGCAATTGATTTATACCTCCCTCGAACTTACTGGAACCATGTGTCAGAAATTCCCTGAGAAACTGTTCTCTTCGAAGACTGCATCCTTATGGTCTTCAGTCCGAGCATGCCTCTCATATCCTCACACATGGGTGAAAGTAGGTGCAACAAGACTTAGCAGCATATACTTTGCGGACTTTGCAAGAACCAATGCCGAAGCTGGTCTTGAAGGCTTACCACTTAAGGGCTCAGGTGGTCTCAAACTCAGTGGAGATGATATCTCTGATTCTATTCATCGTATCGTTAGGATGTTTAGAGGACCAATTCTCACACAAGTACTCGCAGATGAAGTTGTCAAGAATCTCATTTTCCTCGGTCGCTGCGCCGCTTCCAATAATCTCAAACAAAAACCAAAAGCAGACGCCGAAGAAGAAGATCTGGAAGCCGAAGCCGAAGTCGAACAATCAGGAGAACCTAATATTTCTAACAGCGTTCTACAATATCTTTTCGGTCGCGTATCTTTCGTCTTAAGAAAAGAAACTCATCCAGCCACAGCAGACAATTTGATTCCGAAGACTTCTGCTCTTCAACTCCTCGAAATCTTGTGCAGTAAATTGGAGCCGGAATCGCTCATTCCCTCACTGAGAACTATTATTCTTCCTCTGCACAACCTCACGGATCCTTCCATTCATATGCCGTACTCCACAGACGAACTCTTCCGCAATAATTACGAAGCCCTCAAGTCGTCGAGTGAAGAGTTGTTGGAGACGTTGAAGAGGAAGGTCGGAACACAGGAGTACACCGATGCGTTGCTGAAGGTGAGAGAGGGTGTTAAGGAAAGGAGAGCGCAGAGGAGTGGAAAGAGAAAGATTGAGGCGGTTAGCATGCCGGAGAAATTTGGAGAGGAGAAGAGGAAGAAGACGGAGAGAAAGAAGGAGAGGAGGAAGGAGAAGGGGGAGATGTTTAGTAAGAAGAGGAATATGTGGTAGGTTTGAAGGGCTGGTTGGGGGTTGGGATGGCTTGTGATGTGATGTGATGGGTCGAGAGAGGGATGCAGAGGAAGGAAGGGAGTTGTATGTATGTATGTCTTGGGCGTTTTAAAATGGAGTTTGGTAAGGGGAAAATTTGTACCTTTGAGATATGAGTGGTTTAGTAGCTTTGTATTGCAGTGAGGTAGTCGTAGGGCGTGCTATACTATACTCTAGTAGAGTAGAAGAAAGAATTCTATCAGTAATTTGTTTACTTGCGTTGTTTACATGCATCGGGTTTCCTCAGTTGCATCTTGCATTTTAGTCAACCTATTATGTATCTTATGTATCGAAAGTAAGATTACATTGTTTCTTTATTTGTTCATATCCCTCTCTCTCTCGTTCTCGCCACAATAAGATTGAACAAATTTTTAGCGATGGGACGAAAGGGAAAGGAAAGAGCGGGGAGGGGAGGAGAGGGGAAAGGAGGGGGCTTATTTTCGTCTAGGGAGTAATAGATTGGTAGGTAGGTAGATAAGGTCAGGTTAGGTAGTTGACGATTACAATTTATTGGAGATGATGGGAAAAGAATTTGTGTATATTCTTTGTAGATATACAAGTGGGAGTTGGTGGGTATATGTAATGTAGATTTGATATCGTAATCCTACAGTCCTGTGCTGGGTAGGTATTTAGGTGTTATTACATGTTTGAATCCTTAACGCCGGTTGCTGTTATACAATGCTTTTGTTTTTGTGGGATGGGAGTTTGTGTGCGGATGTGTGTGTGTGTTTTCTGAGTATTCTTTCAGAAAGTGAAGTGGTGAATGCTGAGGTTGTTGTGGATTTCGAGATGTCTGTTGTGTTTTTCAAAAGATCCAGCTGGCGCTTTTCAGGGATACTTGGTTATTGGTGATCGGGTTGGTCTCGTGCGATGGAGGTATCGTGAAGTAATTTGTTTCGCTCGCATGCATGTACTCCAGAGATCTCGTTAATCCAGACCTAAACAAAATTCTGTCCCGTTATAACTCCCCGTCTTGATTTCCAATAATTTATACACCTCCTGTTAAACCCTAAAGAGTCAACTCCATCCTCTATCTCCCATCCCCTTCACTCCCCTCCCCTTCACTATCCTCTCCCCCCCTCTTCCTCTCCGTGCTCGTCCCGTCACTCCAAAACTCCAAATTCCCATCCTCACTCAACATCCCCTTCTTGACCAACATCCCCTTCTCCCTCATCAAATCCTCAATTGTCAATTTGCGATCTCCAAAGATTCCCAGGTGGTCAGAGATGACGTGCCGGTTTTTGCAACTCGGGCAGGTGATGAGGATCGAGCCGGAGTGGTAGCCTTGTTTGGAGATGCGGTGGGTGGAGCGCGCGGAACAGGGTTGGCAGGTGAAGGTTAGGTCGTAGGAGGGTTGGGGGGCGCGGGGGGGTGTGGGAGTGGAGGAGGGGGAAGAGGAGGAACGATCGGTGAGGGGTTTGGAGGGGGTGCTGTAGAGGCGGGAGAGGCGGGAGAGATTGAGGGAGATGATGCGAGAGGAGATTGTAGGGGTTGGAGATTGATGTCGGGAGAGAGCTCGGAAAGCTGCGAAGGTGGAGGATTTGAGAGACATTGTGTGAGAGATGTTTCTTTATGTTTGCAGGAGGAGCTTGGAGATTTTGTCTCTGTTCTGTGTGTGAAACAGAGAGATGTGATGGTAGAAAGGAAGGAATCGTATCAGGATTCTCGTGGTTGTGTAGATAGGAATTGAGTTGCGAGGTATAAAGCGATACCTATTGAAAGAAAGTCAATAATAGAAGAGGAGAGTGTTTATTGAGATGAAAGTTCTTTAATAGAGTAGAAGTTTGGGGAAGGCTACGGAATGGATTGCGATAAGGAATTTTATTTCGCTTACCGCTTTATGATTCTGCCGATATGACGAGGACAAGGCTGGTGAGAAGGAACTTTATTTACCGCAGCTCTCGTACTGCTAGAAAGAAGAAAGAGCAGATGAAATGTGAGGAGTTGTATTGATTTATTGTTAATACTGCTAGTGTTTGCTAGTGTTTGCTAGTGTTAGCTAGCGTTATAGATTCCAGCAAGACGAGCCATAATAGCTGAAGTTATATGGGAGTCTTAGTTATATAGTCTGAAATACTAGTATTAGTACTACTACTACTACTAGTATTACTACTACTATTAGTACTACTATTACTACTAGTATTATTACTACTATTAGTATTACTATTATTCCTACTATATATAACTACTACTACTCCTAAGCTATATACTTCGTAGGTTGTGAACTACGATTAACACCAAAAATGTATTCACCGACTTGATCTTTGAGGAATAGCTTAGTCCTTTCAAACTCTTTGATTGGTGGCAAAATAAAATGAATTACTAAGCCCGAGTAGTTCGTTCACACAGCACCAGTACTGGTAATAATAAAAGTACCTAGCCATTACTGTACTCATTATACATTATACTAATAACTAGTACAGTCCTTGAAAGATTCCATGTCAAATGTATTGAACCTTCATGAATCACTTCATTATTTGGTCTTCTTAAAGAACCTTTTCTACCTTTGATCTCTTATCATTAAGGAACTATCCTCTTCCTCTTCACACAATATACAAACACCACTTTGACTAATTTGTTCATTAACCTTACCTGACTTCACATTTCTCAACATAATTTCATGGCATTCAAGTCGGAGCCTTGATCTTATCTAACCCCTCACCCGACTGAATACCAGCACCAGCTACCAGCACCAGCGAGCTTCGAACTTCCAACTTCTTCGAACCTGGAAGAGATACAACATATCGAAACATTCATTGGGAGAGATTGAATAGTCAGAGGAAGCTAAAAGATTTGGCAAGATGATTTCGGGACGTGGTAGAGCTAGAATTCGTGCGCCTCGTAGGGTATGTATATATTCACTTTCTTCCACTTCAATACCTACCTATCTAGCTCATCCATACTTCTTCCTCTTACACAAGCTATCCACCCTTTCTGGCGATTGAATACCTTCAATAAACTCTCAAAACTTTGTTTGCGCCAAGGTTGGAATTATCAAGTAATTCGAAATGCCTCCCACTCACGGACAGTCTTTTGATGCGGCCATTGCACATGCGATTAATACAAGTCAGATGGTAGTTTACCTCGAAGCTTTCTTTCTCTACTCGCGAATATCTGTATGTTCTTGGTCTCTTTGCTAACTAGTACTCTTCTACTATGTAGGCCTTTGGCCGTGCCGGCGAAAAAAACGAGTTCGAGATCCAATGGGAGATTTTACAAAATGCACTTCAGGAAATCCATGAAAAAAATGCAGGAACACTATCCTTCGAACAATTGTACCGGGCATCTTATAAGATCGTTCTGAGGAAAGACGGCGATTTACTGTACGAACGAGTCAAGGTTTTCGAGGAGCAATGGTTCGCGGGGAAAGTTATGCCAGCTATTAGGAAACTCATTACTTCAAATTTGGTCAATGTCGCTGCTGGTGGCGTTTCTGGAACTGCCGCCAACGAACGAAGACTTACCGGTGAACAATTTCTAGAAGGACTCAAGGCTTCATGGACAGATCACAATCTATGTATGGGTATGACAACTGATGTCCTCATGTATATGGATCGAGTTTATTGTGGCGACAATCGCAAGGCTTCAATTTACACCACAGCTATGGGACTTTTCCGGGATCACATTTTACGTTCACCACTTCTGGACAATTCAAGCATGATCACTTTTGATATTCTAAATTCGGTTATATTGGATCAGATTGGAATGGAGAGAGAGGGTGATGTCATCAATCGACATTTAATTCGTTCTGTCATTTATATGCTGGAGGGTCTCTACGAAACCGACGCAGAAAACGAAAGTGAGAAGCTATACATTACTGTATTTGAACCCGTATTTTTAGCAGCTAGCAGAAAGTTTTACCAAGCAGAATGTCAAACGTTGTTGAGGGATTCACCTGCCAGTACCTGGTTACGTCAAGCAAAGAGACGACTCGATGAGGAAGCTGATAGGTGTGATACGACTATCGCCCATTTCACAAGTAGGAAGATACAAAAAGTTGTCGAACAAGAATTGATCAGCAGTCATCTGAATGAATTCCTTGCGATGGAAGGAAGTGGTTTACAAGCCATGATTGAAAATGACCGATTTGAAGATTTATCCATTCTGTATCAACTTATTACTAGGATAGATGCAGGTAGAGGACCGCTGAAAACCGCACTACAAGGTCGCGTAGTACAACTCGGTTTGGAAATCAACAAAATCATCGCTAGTGGAGACTTCGAAACTCCTGTCGCTGAGGATGCCAAGCCTGAAGCAGAAGAGGATGAAGCGGATGGTGCGAAGAAGAAGGCTAAACCAATGAATGCTGCGGCGAAGCAAACCCTTGCAGCCATCAAGTGGGTTGATGAGGTCTTACGATTGAAGGACAAATTTGACAATATGTGGAAGAAATGTTTCAATGAAGATACCATTCTGGAAACAGCTATCACTAAGAGCTTTTCGGATTTTATTAACCTTTTCGATCGCTGTTCCGAGTTCGTCTCCTTATTTATCGACGATAACCTGAAGCGTGGTATCAAGGGCAAAACCGAGGTTGAGATCGACGAAGTATTAGACAAGGCCACCACTTTACTTCGATATATCCAGGACAAAGATATGTTTGAAAGATATTACAAGAAACATCTTGCGAAACGTTTACTACTCAACAAATCCGAAAGTACTGATGTGGAGAAGCAAATGATTACTCGGATGAAGTTGGAAATCGGAAATTCATTTACAACTAAGCTGGAAGGAATGTTCAAGGATGTTACCATGTCCGAAGAACTTACCCAGAACTACAGAAAGCATATCGAAAACGTTGGAGATAAGGACCGAAAGCCAATCGAATTATCTGCTATTGTTCTTTCTACCAATTGTTGGCCTACGGAAATCATTGGTGGCATTCCTTCATCAGAAGACGGACCTCGACAATACTGCAATTGGCCTCTGGAACTACAGAAACTACAAGATTCCTTCAAGGCATTCTATCTCAAAGATCGAAATGGTAGAATGTTGACCTGGTTGGGTAACCTAGGAAATGCTGATATTAAATGTCATTTCCCAGCCATTCCAGGAGAAACAGGTCCGAAGGGTAAGGATAGAAAGTATGAACTAAATGTGAATACTTATGGCATGATCATTTTGATGCTTTTTAATGATCTACCAGATGGTGCAACTTTATCATATGAAGAAATTCAAGAACGTTTGAATATTAGCGATAAAGACTTACCACGTGCTTTGATGCAACTCTCTGGTCCACCAAAATCTCGAGTTCTTCTTAAGAAACCTGGAAAACCTAATGAATTACCTACAATGGGTGATGTTTTTACATTCAACACCGGGTTTGTTAGTAAAGCTCATAAAATTAAGGTTCAAGCAATGGGTGGACAAAGTAGTAAGGTCGAAGGAGCTGAAGAAAGAAGATTGACCGAAGAAAGAAATGATGAACATCGAGGAAGTGTTATGGACACGGTTATTGTCCGGATCATGAAGTATGTTTTCTCTACTCTCCACCCGATGAATTATTTACTAACAAAATATTATAGAGCACGTAAAGAATGTCCTCATCAACAACTCGTTACAGAAGTCATTTCACAACTTTCACAACGCTTCCAACCTAACATCAACATGATGAAACGACGTATTGAAAGTTTGATCGAAAGAGATTATTTGGAGAGAATCGAAGATGCTAAAGTACCTACTTATAAGTATTTGGCTTGATTCTTCTCATTCGAATTTTCCTTCGTGTCGAATATTTTCATGGCTTTGGGTGGCTGGATAGAATGTATCCACATGCGTTCGGGGATCTTTGGTAAATTTCTGCTTTTGCGGTTGATTGCATTGGACTTGACTTGATATGATAAGTCTTTCCATGTCATTTTCACATCATGCTCATAGGATTGCATAGCATAGCATAGCATAGCATTTCTTGCAAACTGGTGCTGGGGTGTTGAAAAATAGGTATGGGAATGGGAATGGGAGATGGATGAATTTTTTTTCTTTTCTGTTTTTGATTTCTTCTTTTTGAAAGAAAGAAAGAAGGATTGGCGTATGGTATGACATGGCATGATGATACACTTAATGAATGGTATGCTGCATATACGAATGAATGGACGAATGAATGAATAGGAGATTGATGAGATGAGATGAGATGATGTGGAATTGCATGGTTGTGTTGAGCCGTGAGCGTCTTGCTGTGTGTGTGAGAGGCGGGGGGGTCGGAAGGGGGGAGGAAGGGTATAGCTAGATATCGAGCATCTAGCAATCTAGAGAGTGGTAGTGGTAGTAAATGGTAATACTCGAGGAGGTCTGGAGAATTACATTTCGAAGTTGAAAATTGAAAATTTGAATATCTGTGTTTTGTGTTTTGAATTCTAAATCCTGTATCTTATATTTTATATTTTATATTTTATATTTTATATTTTATATTTTATATTTTATATTTTATATTTTATATTTTATATTTTATATTTTATATTTTATATTTTATATTTTATATTTTATATTTTATATTTTATATTTATATTTTATATTTTATATTTTATATCTTATATCCTATGTCTGTGTGTTCTACATGTTGAAAATAAATAAATAATATAATGAATATATCGAAGATCGTTCCTCTCGTTTTTCTCAAGATTAAGATTCATTTTTCTTATCGTATACTTATACTTATATGTTTATATTAATTCATATCTTAAGATTTCGATTCTTCATTCATTCACTCATCTCTATTCTTTTACTTCTCAAACCCCTTTAATATTTCATCTGAAGATTCTTATATATATATATATACTCTTAATCTTTTTAGAATAAGAGGGGAGAATCAAGTTTAATATTCTTATATCGTAGAGGATAGCTACGCCACTTGATCATGTTGAATAGGGAATGATAAGAATAAGTAGTAATAGACTAGGTTAGCTTAAGGTATGATCATAAGGAGTATACCTATCTTTTATACTCTGAATAAGCGATAGAGTTGTTTGTTTAGTAAGAGTAATTTAATAATATAATGACGTAAAGCTTATTAGTAATGTACTATATATAATATAGTATGGAGATGTCCGTGACATCTTATTTATATTTACATTAACGTGGTTTATTAGTGTCACGGGTTCAATACGTAGTTATATGGATGCCTAAGGCATCCATCCTCTATATAGTCGACACCTCTCCACCTCCTTCTTCACTCTTTGTAGAATATCATACATCTTACCTAGTACCTATCCCTTGCACCGTGATAATTAGTATATATATTATATCGATATGTAATCTTACATTATTTCAAAATACATCAAAATTAATCTTTTTTCAATATTTATAATTTAATAATTAACTAATATCTTTTAAAAAAAGAAATATATTTAATAATAATAAAATCATAAATAATCAAAATCATAAATGTTTCTATCATATTTTAAAAGTAGTAGAAATTGTTATGATTTTCGTTACAGAAATATTATTCTTCTAATAATTATTATATAAAAGTAAATTTCTAATTATTAATTATAAATTTATATTATTTATATAGAGAATTATAATATTTAAAAGAATGTATGAAATTATATTATATATAAATGAATTTATATATATATTAAAGTAGTACATGTATTAATATGATGTATATACTAATAAACTACGTTATATCTTTTATTGTTTTTTAAGCATGTAATTGAGAGATACATATCTAGGTATTACTTGGAAAGCGTAAATATTATGAAAGTACATGAGTAAATGATAGTTAGGAAGATAGAAACGCGGAGAGGAGTCTTTGAGATTGATTGTATGTATGTGTATGTATATGTATATGAGGTTGATTAGTATGTTATACTATGTTGTAGTATAGTATATGTTGGTATCACCATGGGGATGGTGAAGTCAATATAGTACTATGGTTCACACTGTTGTTATATTGCTTGAGGTTCTAAAAGCTAGGGCTACGAAACGTATTGCTGTAGTGTCGGAAGACGCTAGCGTAGTCACATGATCCCTGTCCCAACAGTATAGTGTAAGATTATTTATTTATTTGTTTATTTCTTTTCATTTATAGTTTAAGTCTTTATTTCTTCTTTAATATGGAGATTTTTTATCTATTCATTTATTCATTTATTTACTTACTTACATTCAATCTATTCGCTTATCCATCTACCTCCCCCCAAGCCCATCGATCTTTCTACCCACCTATCTCTCTTTCTATTTATCTATTTGACTCCAATTATTTACTTATTTATTCGCTTATCTCTCCTCTATCGATTTATTCACCTACCTTCTCCGCTCAATCACTTATTTACCTGTCATCTCCCCCTTTTTAATCAACTTACCGACTCATTTATCCATCCATCCACCTGATTTATCCAATTACGCATCTCCCTATTATACTACCTCCCTCTCTTTTCTTCTCTTTTTTCCCTCTTTTTTAATCAACTTATTAACTTTCTTTCTCTATATTTAAATCCCTTTTTATTCTTTAAAAACCCCATTTATTTATTTACCTCCTCCTTATCTACTTTTCTAATAATATATCTATATATATACATACCTACACATAACAAAAAAAAACAAGCCCTTAAACCCCCTAGCTCGCTATGCTCGAATTCCATCTACATACGAATGATTACTCACAACCGAATCTCGTCTAAAAAATATATTGTCTATAAATTTATTTATATATTTATATAATAAGTTATATAAAATCTTTTTTCTTTTCTCTTATTAATTATTTAAAGATTATCAATTTATCAATTCGTTAATGTATCTCTATCCCTTATACAAATTTTAAAAAAAAGGAATTTAACATTTTTATATTGATTTTATTCTATTTCTCTATTCTCTTTAATCTTGATCTTCATATCAATTCTAAATTCAACAATCGGATAAACCATGTCAAATATCAATCCATCAATTCATTTCCTCTCCTCTCTTCTCTTCGCACTCAGACTTTTAGATTCGAAACAGAAGACTTGCATTTGTGAAACTCAATGTGATATATCGTAGTATTCTCGTATTCTATTCTTCTATACTTCTTTCCTCTATTTTGTTCTTCTCTATCTTCTCTATTTTCTCCTTTATCTAATCTGTTCTTCTATCCTTCTCTAATCTGCATCTATATGTTGACTCTAAATTCAAATGGAAATTCAAATTCAAATTCAAATTCAAAATGAGATAAATCATGATTAATTCATTAATCCATTCATCCATCTATTTATCTCCTCTTCTTCTCTCATACGGACTTTAAAAAGAAGACTTGTAATTATCAAGTGATGTGTATATAGTTATATATTCTGGTTCTACTAATCTCTGGTCTGTGTCTTCAACTTCATTTACGTGTGCATTCTCATCTCCATATTGACTCTGAGCTCAAACTCCAACTCAACCTCAAAATATCAAAATATCACCATATTCCTCCCCTTCCAAGTCTCATATCCGCACTGATCATTAATTCCCACGCTGCTTCTCTAAGCTCTCTATCTATTTCCTCTTCTCCGTCTTCTACGTCTTCTCCCTCTTCACCCTTTACACCCCTACTCTCCCCAAACCCTTCTACTCCCCCCATCTCCCCACCCCCAAAAGGCACTCTCTCAACCTTACACACCATCCCCACCTCCGGCAATCTGCCACTTTGAAAATACTCCCTCACCACCCCCGCCGTACACCCCGACCCTGCACTCAAACTCGTATGCCCATACGAATCCTGCACCAAAACCCTCGCTCCCACAAAGCCCTCCGCATTCCTCCTCGCACTAACCAATGGCGTCACATTATCCGCCGCGTTCGCAATATACAATATCGGATGCGATGTATTTCCCTCAAAGGGGCCTGTAAATCGCCATTTAGCGGGGATGGTTCGACCTACACAGCTGAGTTTGAAATCGACGCCTACGGCGCCGGCGGCGGGAGCGGAAGCAATGAGATATGTGGCGTAGGTTTGGAAGGTTGAGAGACTATGGGGAAGAGGACCACCATCGGTACACATTATAGCTGCGCTTGCGTCGGCGGTGGCTTCGAGATCTTCATCGTCGTCATCGATGGGAGAGGGGAGATCGCTGCAGGAATCATGGGGACAATCACAGGTGAAGATTTCGCGCATGCCGTAGGTGGAGGTGAGGTCTATGAAGGGGATGCCGTTTCCGGTTTCGAGGGCTTGAAGGACGGTGGCGAGAGAGGGGAAGAGGAGGATGGGACGGTAGAGAGAGGCGGAGATGAGACGTTTAAGGGAGGAGTAGGTTATTAGTTCTGGGAGAGAGGAGGGATCTTGTGGGGGGACGAGGATTGGATGGGTTTTTAGGTTGGAGAGGAGAGTGGCTAGACGAGTGGAGATTTGAGAGGGGGCGGAGGAGTAGAAGGCGCAGATGGTGGGGCCGGATAGGTGGCAGTAGTGGTAGAATGCTGACATGATTTTTTCGGAGTCGTGGAGGAATGAGGTGTGGGTGTTTGTTGACCATTCTTTGTAGTTTACGTTGCCTGATTGGGTTAGCATTGAAGATTACCTTATGAAGTCCATTTTGATGTATATCTCATTGAATAAGAGAGCGTATCATGCCGTGTTTTTCCTTTTCTTTCTCTTAATCTGTAGCACAGAAAAGGGTAGTGTTTTGGAGGACTGAGGAGTACCTGGGAGAAGAAGGGAACAGAGAGAAAACAGTGAGGGGAATTGCAACGAAAAGTATTCCCAAAATACATACCATCACTAACCATCCTCTCCACCAAATCCGGATACATAGCCGCAAACACACCACCTAAAAAAGTCCCATAACTAAACCCCCAATACCTCAATTTTTCCGTCCCCGTCTTCCTCATAATCTCAAGCATATCACGTGCCACACTCGTCGTACTCACAAATTTTAAGAGTGATTCCTCTCCTCTAGCGTTCGCTTCCCGTTCCATATTATCCTCGCAAGTTTTCGAAAGAGCACTCGCTCTCGCATATGCATCATTAAGAATTCCTGGATGCGAATCTACTACTCCTACATCACTTAATTTCCAGATCTTTGAATTTTGTCGTGCGGAACCCCAGCAATTAATGAGAGGTGTTGAGGCCCCTATACCTCGCGGATCGAAAGATATGATATCGTGGTTTTTACCGACGATTTTCTGAAGATTGTGTCCATTTCTTCGGAGGGAAAAGATTCCTGATCCGCCTGGTCCCCCGGGATTGGTGAAGACGGGTCCAAGATAGTTGGTTAGATCTGTGGCGGGGATCTTGATGATTGCAAGGGAAATTCGGGAAGGGTTAGATGTGTTAAGCCAGTCTAGTGGTAGGGAAAGACGAGCACATTGGAAAGTCGAGTAGCAAGTATGCCAGATGAGGGATTCGCTTGGTTCGACCTGGATATATAAGAATGTGGAGTTTAACTTTATATGGAGGAAGAACATACATTTTTCCATTGCCAACCTGTTTTGGCGAGAGATGGAGCTAGATTATTCAATTCGAAGTTTGTAGGAGATATTAGTTGTGAAGGGATTCCGTAATGCCAAATGGTAAGAATGAAAGTGCCAAGGAGGAAAGCCGAATAGAAGTTCAGTAGTGAGTATCCTTGAGATGGACTTTGGGTAATTATGGACGTTGTTCCCTTCTTAGACGTCATTGTAGATTTGAATGCAATCACATCTCGAAATGGTTCAAATGGAGATGCTCTTAATATTGAGAAATTTGGTAACCTTCACGTCGTTATATTGCTTGCTTGAGGCTTGCATGATCGTCCATCGGAATAATATGAGACAGCATCAATATCAAAGAGCTAAACCTACCATATCTACGGACAATGATTCATCCTCACCAATAATACTGAAGTGATACTAATCAAGATATATTAGGAAAGACCATCTTTCAATCTGAGAGGTGCGAGTGGTTGAAAAATAGATAAGCATGGAATTCTCCCAATAAGATTCATTTATTTGTTGTCGCTCTCGGGCATTTGTCTGCTTCTTATTAGAATTATATAGATGAGATTCGTATAGTTAGTGAATATTTCAGTCAAGGTATCTTTTGAGGGTTTGTTTAGACGTTGTTTCACTCGTACAACTCACTCGTGATACGATATCAACTTTACTCGATAAGAATGATAAGAAAGTACGGACTTGTCAACTTGTGTGGAGTTAGTTGGTCGTTTGCATGAATCGAATGAGTTGAGAATGTATTTTCAAGTAAGTCGAGCCGATGTGAAGTTTTTCTTCGTCTCCAGTTACTTTTCCACTGGGAAACTCAATCATTCCTCCATTTTCATTAACACACTCTCACACATACGCCTCTTTGCAATCAAAATTCTCATGTATCATCTACCCAATATACAATAAGTGATATTTGAGGAAATTGTTAGCTTGCAGTCATATATCGCTAACCTCTCAGCTGATTCGACGAGACGATATCCAAAGCTGTCGTGAATTATACTGGCCATACCATACAGGACGAAGAGTCACGAGTCTGTCATCACGATATTAGATTCTATTTGTGATCTTACAACAATGTGTATCAGGTAATCATTTATGCAAGTGTCCGCTTCAGTTCAACACCATCTTCCCCCCGTCCGTACTCAATGGATCACACTGCCGGCACAAATGTCCATTCACCAATCGCAGTCCGAAGTAATCGAGGTTGTTGGACGTGTCGAATTCGGAAAAAGAAATGTGATGAAGTACAACCCGGTTAGTCATGATGAGTTTTTGCTTGCCGAAGAAAAAGTATTAATATCCGATTCTCATAGGCTGTTTGAGATGTAAGGATGTTAATGTAGAATGTCACTATGGTCCCAAACCAAAATGGATCGATGATCCCAAGTTTGCCAAAGCAGAATTGGAGAAGATTAAAGCAGTTGTTGCGGCGTCTGCAAGTAAAAAGAGAGCTGCTTTTCGTGCGAGGAAGAATACGGGTTCGATATCGTCGGTGCCCAAATCGCCAAAATCACCTGGTACTAGTACTAGTACTACTCCGACGAATATCGCTAAGAAAGGAGACAATTTACCAAGTATCGACAATGTCGTTTCAATATCTACGCCACCCATGGAGATAAACCATGATAAAAACATCGAGCCTAAGTCTCCTTTATTCCCAAAATGGATCGAAGATCAAGAAGCGAGTTTAATGATGCATTATCTTGATCATGTCTTTTTTATCCAGTTCCGGTTTCACACACCATCATTATCATCAGGAAGAGGATGGTTATTATCATTGTTGACAAAAACAAAACCTCTCTATCATGCAGCTCTAAGTTTGAGTGCTTTCCATCGTCAATCTTTACTTTTAGAACAAGAGAGTGGTCAAGCAGAAATAGATTATCTGCATGAATTACAACATCATTATGATTTGGCACTGAAGGGATTACAAGATTTCATTCAGACAAATAATAAAAATGCATCTGAACAAGGAGCGTTTGATGGAAATATCCAAATTCTAGCTTGTATGATCCAATTGATATCATTCGAAGTAAGTATCGCTCCTCCATAATATATCTCAACCACAAACCACAACAAAATCACTAACAAGCCTCCAAAGCTCTTTAACGGTGGTGTAAGTAATTGGCAAGTTCATCTCAGAGCAGCATCAGAACTTATATTAGTTCTTCATGAAGTCTCAAATGGTAGTATACCAGGCCCGGAAACGCTATTGACTTCGTCTCAATGTTTCAATATTCCAGGAGCAGGCTCGCCGGAATCGAATATGAGTGAAAGTTTGGTTTCGAGGGATAGTGCTGCGTTGGATTTTTTTACGGGGGCGATTATTTGGATGGATGCTCTGTGAGTTTTCCTGTTTTTACTAGTCTTCTGGGTTGTTTTTTGTTTTGTCTTCTTTTTTCGGTTGAATGATGGAAATATTGGAGGGTCGGTAGAAGCAGGAGAAGCAGGAGGGATGGCAAGAGTCTTGTCTCGCTCAGGTTGTTGTATCGATTGCACAAGAATTTGATTAATAAGGAGTGCCATCATGGGGGCAAGCCCCCAAACCCCCATAGCTCGCTGCGCTCGAGAGTCGTACATATGATATTATTCGGCCTCCATGGCAATGGCCCCCGGAGGGCCAGCGGAGCGTCATTCGTAAGGATTCATCTCGATAACTTCACTAACACTAAAGTCAGAGCCTGTGTATCAACCGGATCCCATCCTTGGCTTTCCGAATTCCACAATCGATTACTCTCTGCCAAAAAACCTGGCTCCTCCAAGTCCGACCACAAAATCCAATTAGCATCCATCATGGGATGTGAAAATTGGGTCATGATAATGATCAGCGAAATAGCCTGGCTAGGAACCTGGAGACGAAAACATCAATCTGATTATACCATCGATTTCAAACAACAATTAATCTTCACCGAACAAAATATCCGAGGTCGTCTAGAATCTAAAAATTCAGAGACCCTAGAGGAACTCCACGCATTGAGATCAATGCATCGAGGAACCCCACCATTCTATGCCACAGAATTATATAATAAACATACCATCCTCCTCATAACCCACATCTTCGCTTGCGCATCTCTCATCTATCTCCAAATGGTCATTACGGATAACCTCCTTCCCGAAGATATCGATATGATGCTGCACAACACCATAAACGCCATGCGCATGATCCCCAATCCGCAAATGTTCAGAGGATTAGTGTGGCCACTGAGTGTAGCCGGTTGTTTAGCAAGCTCGAAACAGGATCAGGAATTCTTTAGAGAGACGTCGAGAGGGGCAGTGACGGATTCAAGAAGTTTTGGGAATTCGAGGAGTGCGTTTGAGATTTTGGAAAAGAGTTGGGAGTTGCAGGTGAGGAAGGGGAGATTGGTGGATTGTACGGCCACTATTAGGGAGATAGGGAGTTGTATACTTTTGGTTTGAGTGAGGTAGGGATGGTTGGGATTGAGTGGGATATTGGGGGTTGTGGTCTTTGGGAATGTTGGTATGGGAATTTCTTGTGGTATTTTATTCTTATAAAGATTCTTGGTATTATATCGATACCCTTTCTCTCTCTTTTTAAGTTCCATTTTTAAGTCTTCTAGGAGTGCCATTTTTTCTAACTCGACCCAGATAATCCCAAATCCTTCTCAATAATTCCAACCATCTTCAACAACTTTTCCTCCTCCAACCTCCTCCCCACAATCTGCAATCCCACACTTCCTCCCTCATACTTCTCCGCTCCTTCCTTCCCCGGTCCCCAAAGCCCTTCCATAACCGTTTTTCTCCCCTCATTCCCACCCCCACCCCACGCATCCCCCTCCATCACCTCCCCAACCGGCAAACACGCAACCGGTAAATCCAACCCATTAAACACACTCGTATACCCCCAATACCTCGCCTCTCCATGCGCATTCGCCACACTCACCCCTCCCGGCGCAATAATACAATCCACACCCATCTCTACCATCAACTTCGCATACGCGTCTTGGATTCTATTTCTCTCTTTATGTAATTTCCATTGTTCGGCAACGCTGCGATGTTTCGTGGTTGGTTTTTCTAATAGCCATTGGAGTAGTGCGGTGGGGGGTTCGGAGGTGAGAGAGAGATGGGAGTGGTATTCGGCGCCGCCATCGAGAAGATATAGTGCGTCGATGGTGGAGATGAGAGGAGCGTGGAGATGTGTGGGGAAGAGAAGAATTTCGTGTCCTGCTTTTTTGAGCGTAGTTTCTGTGGTGTGTAGCACTCGGGTAATGGGTGGATGAGGAGTGTGTACACCATCGGTATATATAATTCCGATTTTCAATTTCCTATTCTGTTCATTCTCCACAGCAGCAGGAACACCTTCCCGACATCCCCATGGGATAGGAAGTAAACCCACTTCTCCCCTCCAGGGCTGCGCATCCAGTAGAGTTTTACAGAATAATTCCACATCAGCCAAACACGTCGCCATGGGACCCACAACCCCAATCACACTTTCCATTCCCTCATGCGCACCCGAGAGTCCGGAATGCGGTAATCGCGCTACACTTGGTTTGAGCCCGTAGATACCGCAGCTGAGCGCGGGACTACGAATACTTCCTCCGATATCCGTGCCGATTCCGAGAATCGAACCGTGCATGGCTATGAGTGCGGATTCGCCGCCTGAGGAACCACCTGGGGAAAGAAAGGTATTGAGGGGATTGGTGGTGGTGGAATAGAGATTTGATGTTGTTTCGAGGGCCATGAGTCCTTGGGGATTGGTGGTTTTGACGTGGAAGATTGCGCCGCTTTCCCGGAGGACTTGGATGCACATTCCTTCTCGAGAGGGGGAGGTGCAGAAATTGTCGGCCCAGCCGACGAAGCCGGATGTGGAGGGCGTGTTGAGGAGGTAGATGTGTTCTTTTACGGAGATGGGGAGGCCGTGGAGGGGGCCGATGGGAGATCCGGTTTGGGTCATGTGGGCGTCGAGTTTGGCGGCGTGGGAGAGGGCGCTGGGGTACATGGTCCAGGCGAGACAATTTGTCTAATTTTTGGTTCGTTAGTTTTTCTTTATCTTCTCTTCTACCTTTTCTATAGTTCGGGGGATCTCTTCGAAGTTCCAATGACCGAGACCAGATATAATCCCAAAATGGAAGGAAAGAAGTAGAAGACAAACCGCTTGATGAGCAACCGCACTTGCTTTACAAAACGCCGACGTAACTTCCACAGCTGTATACTCTCTCGTTCTCATTTTCTCTAGCAAATCCACCGCAGTACTATACACAATCTTTATATCTCTCTCACTCAACAACCCACAAGTTTTTACTAAATCAAGAGGACGTTTAGAATTGAAGAGATCTGCTGGGAGAATCCATTCCGAGGGAATAGAAGAGAGAATTTCTTGTTGACGACGAGTAGCGATGGCTTGCCATATTGAAACCGTAGAGGGTTTTGAGGGATGTTCTCCTGCGAGCTCAGAAGTGGTGGATGCAGGAATTTCCTTGATGGGAGGAGAGAGAGATGAGGAAAGTTCTGCGATGGAGGGAGCCATGGTTAGAATGAAGACACTGATCTTCTGTTTTCTTAAGTCGATCGAATTGTTTTGCTTTCCCGAGTGTGTGTTTATATAAACACAGTAAAACAGATTTCCAAATTCTAAGAAAAAGGAATGGAGCAAAACGATCGGCAACAAGAAGCACACTTAAACGAATCTTTCCCAAACCACACATCACGACTTCCACAAGCTACATATATATATATATCCCGATGTTCCGTGCCTCTAACCTCTAACCTCTAACTTCACGCTTCGCCCTTCCCCATAGATACCTACGCAGCACATCTCCTCAATACCAACCCACCTTCCACACGCCCTCTCAATTCAAAAAGTATCGTCACATCCGAAACCACATGTGATTGTCGAATGAAAGCTAATAGATTCCGATCAATCGATCAGATAAGAAAAGCGATGATCAGATTGGTGGAGTGGTGGATAGGGGGTCCTTGCACGGGATTTGCATCGGATGGATAGTGATGGATTCGCGTCCAGTTGCCGGGAAAAAGGGGTCGTGTCGACTTACCTTCTTAAGTAGCGTTACACTTTATGGAGGTTTGTGATGACATCTTGGAGGTTGTTGTTTGGTATAAAGGGGATTGTTGGATGACTGTTTTCTTGTGGTTGTATCATTTTATTTTGTGTATCTGGTGAGATATTTTGAGGAGATTATTTTTTGTACGGGATTATTGTATTATTATTATTACTTCGTTATCAATTATCTTTCCCATCTATATCCAACCAAAACCATGGGCTCCATAACCCCAGTCCGAAAACTCGGGGAATATCCCCGATTAAAAGAAAACACTATCAGAGTATACAAAAAACGCGGTATTACCCCTTCCCTCCTCCCATTACAATCCAAACTAACCCCCCAAAGCACACTATGATTACTACACCGTTCACTCAATCCTCTCCCAAACATTCGTCTCTACAATCTCATTCATTGTCCCCGATGAAGACGGCGAACCCTCCCCATTTTCCCTCCCCATGACCGCCGTAGCCGGAAACTACGATCCCCAAAATCCCATCTGTGAAGATGACGGAACCGAAGAACAGTATGTGAAAGAACAAGAAAGTTTCGGCAACGCACCATTCGATATCTATCTGCATGGAAATTCCGCCATGATGTTAAATCGAATGACGATAGAGGGAGGGAATGTGAAAGTGGTGATTAGTAGTACGAAAGGTATGTATCTCATCATTACCCCCATGTAGAATAAATCCCTTAACTAAAACCCTCCAGTCGACGGCCTAGTCCTCCACTTCACCCCCAACGGCCACTCCCTCAACTACCGCTCCTGCATCATCCACGGGACCGCCGAACCCGTGACTTCCGCCTCTGAAAAACACTACGCCATGCACCTCCTCACAAACCACATGATTCGTCGTCGCTGGTCACAGACGAATCCCGTTGCGCCCGAAGCTATGAAATCGGTGCAGGTGATTAAAGTCGTTGTGCGCAGTGCGTCGGCGAAGATTCGGGCCGGGAATGTAGAGAGTTTGGAGCGGGGAGGGTTGGGGGAGAGAGGGGATGTGTGGACGGGGGCGTTGCCGTTGTATGAGGTTCTGGGAGAGCCGGTGCAGAGTGTGTATTGTGGGGATAGGGAGGTGCAGGAGGGAGTGCTGGATTGGAGGGAGAAGAGGAATAGGGAGGAGAGGAGATATGCGGAGGAAAACGCGATTCCGTTGACGGTGGGTGGTGGTGATAAGTCATGAGTGTGTAGTTTTGATATGTGACAATAGATACCCCAAATGAAGAACATATTATAGGAATTGATTTACTCGCGGAATAATGACAGATATTGTGGAAAGGGCGAATATTCTGGAGTTCATTCGTAGCAAGTCCCAAGTCATCCCATATGTTGAATTGATCACTATTACACTTCAGAATCCAACTTCATGACGCAATGCAATTTATACTTATCCAGTCATTGGAGAAATTTCAAAATTTTTATAGGCTGTTGAACTTATATTCATTTGGTTACGCTAACGCTATTCAGAATATCAATCCCCAATTCCAATCTTAATGTAGTCGCTACTATTTCTCTTATTCATCATCATCATCCTCTTGCCAATAGCCTCCCCATTTCTCCCCCGATTCATCTTCAACATTGTCTTCTTCATCTTCCACTTGGGTTTGTGCCTGTTGCCTTTCTTTTGTCTTCTGCTGGAAGCGATTGTTGGTCTTCTGTTTCCGAAACATTCTCGATCTGACTGTCGTCCTCAACAACAGATCATCCTCTTCCATGACTTCAGCCTCTTGCTGTTTTTCTTCAAGTTTGAGCTTTGCATTCCGCAATGGATTTCGATGGTGCCGTTTTCTCTGCCTCTCATTTCTTTTGAGCCTATCCTGTTCGACTTCCCTCTTTTTAATCGGATCATTCCCCTTCATAATTTCTTCCCTTTCTTCTATTTTTGTTTTATAGTTCTGGTTTTTTCGTTCATTTGTTTTGAAACTTTTCTGTTCGAGCTCCATCTTTTTAACTAAATTATTCTCGTTCATGATTTCCATCTCTCCTTCTCTTTTTCCTTGTTGCCACCTCCTGGATTTTTCATTTGCTCGGAGCCGTTTTTCTCATTCCTTTTCAGTCTCCTGCTCAAAAACTTCCCGCCTCCCCGGCCACGATCTTCTTCTCCAGGCTCTTGGCTACTTTCCATTGATGAAAAGTTCGCACTTCCCAGTCTCTGATTTTCTTCTCGTCTATGACTTACTAAATGTTGATCGCGTGCCAGTTCTTGGTGCCTAGCCTCCCTACCTGTCTACCACACGGCATGCTCTCCTCATCCAGGGTTTTCACCTCCAGCCTGCAGGTTTATTCCCCTCAAAGGATAGTCTATATTCACTGGCTCTATATCGTCTCCAATGATAAATTCATACCTATCTTCCCTCCGACCAAAATCTCCACTCCATCATGTCGCGCTTCATGTCGTTTTGCTCTCTCTCGTTTCTCACTTCTCTCTCCCTTGTCTCTTCGCTCTCTCTTGCCTCTTTCACTTGAGTTTCCATCATCAATCTTACTTGCATCGCAAACGGCTCTGGAAGCGGCGGAGACGGCGACCTTTTCGGACCAGTCATATTGATCTAACCCCTCGCACTTATTCCCAAAACCTAAATCAACAATATACAACAAAGACATCCAATTCTCTCAACCTAATTCCCTATTCCTCCCGTCCTCTTCGAAACCAAACCTCGCAGTCGACTCGGCTCCCACACTGTTCGCGTCCATACGCACAATCCTTTTTCGTCCGAACTTCCCCGGTACTTGTCTCCGATTAATATACCAGTATTCACGCACCAAGTAACAAGCACCGCAACACGAACTAAAAGTAGTACTTCCAATCCCGATAAAGCTGATCTGTCTCGTTTCCCAAGATTAACAAGTACGGATAGTAAACGATATAAAAAAAGAATGAGAAGGTATATTTAATGTTATGATGTTGTATTACCTCATCCCATCCTAGATTTCCTTAAGAAGCAGATGAAAGAGAGGGAAGAAACAAACATGCAAGAAGAGATGTAAAAGTCGCGTAGCAAGAGAAGAGCAAAGACGGAAGGTAGGTGCTGGAAACATGTTATATGAAGGTAAAAAGAAGGAAAGAGCAAGCGATGTTGAGTGCTTGGACATGTAGAGGTTGCTACCGCTATATCGTACATGCCATGAAGAAGTTGCGATGAAGACAAAAAAAAAAAAAAAGGTAAGATCTTACATTGAAGGAGGAATGCTCGTTTGCGTATAGTACAATTCCTCGTGACAGCATAAAAGATACCCAAATTATATCATGATCTAGTAGTAATACGCCCGCAGTTTTCACCCCAATTAGACATTAAAACGTCCCTCATCCCTTCACCGTTTTTACAGGAAAGGACTACCAATCCTGAATACCCTCCTCGGCGAGATCAAGTGGTTCCCCATTAGCCGCTGCCCTTGCATTACTAATTTCCCATTCAAACTCCTTAAGTGCTCGAATCTCACTCCCTACAAAAAGACCCCCAATCAACCCATCAATAATACCCGCTCCAAGTCCCAAACTACTCAACAGCATAAGTATAAATGCCACGAAATTTCGAGGACTCCACCAAACAGCGATAAAACAACCTATACTAATAAATACCGAGGCGACGAAATGACCTAAACGAAGACGTCTCTGACGACGCTCTCGGAGTCGGTAGGTATGGATCATGGCGATGATTTCATCGTATGTCGAGATGGGCAGGTAGGGTGGTGATGAAGAGGTTTTGAGTTGTGTATGAGCGCTGAGGAGATGAGATTCTGAGGGGGCGGTTTGGAGGTAGACACCATTGGAAACAGCGGATTTATTTTTTATTGTTTGTTCAGTTGGTGATGCATATTTTGTATGTACCAATGTTGCTTCGACGGAGAAGTGATCACTCAAAGAGCATTGATATTTTGAATGCCGTTGCAACATACCAATGCGTGCATCCTTTACTATCCATCCTCCTGCTGATGGATTGTTTTCATCGAAACACGTGTTGGCGAAGATATAGTCTAATCTTTTTGCACGAGGGTCAGGGGTGTCGCCCGGAATCTCAATCTCGGGACGATTTGGACCAAGACGTTTTTGTTCTCCCTTACTCCAACGCCAAGTATTTAATACGCTATCGCAAGTTGTACCGTTTTCCGATAAATTGAATTTCGCGGTTGGTATGGGGCGTCTTCGAGCCTTTTCGACTTCATCAATCGCAGCACCGATAGAGCAATCGGGATGCAAGACCATCCAGACATCTCGAGTGGGTGAATGTGTACTGATAAGTCGATGGGCGAGGGATAATGGTATCATATTAAAATCTCCTAGGCCAAGAACTAGATGTCCACGCTCTGCGGCGCCTCTCATAAGTTTTGCTATTTCCCATGCTTGTGCTGTTCGGTGGCAGATATAAGAATCGTTTGGTTCTGTTTCGTATGGTGCGTGGAGCTATGTACGTTAGTTTTGGCTGAGCAAAAAGCTTTGGAATACTTGCATGTGTAGTGAAAACCTCCACAATATCTTTCGGTCCTGGTCCAAATCGTATTCTGGCACCAGCAACCCCTTTCCCTACAAACCAATCACCCCTGAAGAATGCTGTAGGTCTACCATTGAGAGGATACCTGAACATTGAGCTCTCTTCGATTGGCCATTTAGACAAAATTGCCAACCCCCCTCCAAATATGCCACTGTGATAAAACTTTCCATAAGGCAAAATGTGCTTCGTTTCCTTTCGTATACACTTGTAGTCTTCCTGTGTCCAACACTCCTGGAGACCAACTATATGAGGTGTAGGACTTGCAGAGCCAATGGCTTGCCCAATTTCCGTAAGACGTTCATTCCGTAGGGTAGAGATAAACTTGAGACCCCAACAATTGAGGGTGATCACATTGATCTCATTGACTTCTAGTGATGGAGAGTCCATTATGATTGGCGTAAGGATTGAAGAGAGAGAAGGAGTAGGAAAGAAATCCTGTATCGTGGAGATCTACTGAAGCGGGAGCGGCGTAGTGCTGAAGAAATGAAATTAATGAACTCCGTTTTAAGATTTTGACCCTTGCAGTTGCATACAATAAAAACAATAAACTCAAATCAATTGAAATCAAACTCAGGTAAGCAGGAAAGTTCGGACAGTTAATTCAATGTTTGGATTGAGTATCTATCATGGTGTTTGAACCATTTCCCATCAGTTCGGTCCCTTCTCTCTCGAATTAACCTTCATGACGTTTCTAGGCTCAACACCAAGGACTCAAAAACAGGGGTTCATGAATCCCATCCAGTAAACAGCCGATGCTGTACAAGGGTAAGCGCGTCGCGGTTAATTTCTCCATATGCTAGCGCTTAATTCATTTGAATCGTCATCAATGTAACAAGGGCTCGAAAGCTCGAAATAATATCCGACTTCGATGAAACAGCGACAAATCCATTCAATATGACTGAAAGACACCAAACAAAACGTCGAAGATATGATAGCGAAGTTTCTACACCGGGTTATAGTTCGCCAGATGAATTGGTAGAAGATAAAGCAATTCGACCTTCTACGAGCACGCGTCGCGATTCTACACGCAGACAATCAAGACCATATTCTAGTGATGGCAGCGCAGATGAATTAGATCATGCACATTCCCGCCATAGAACTTCGCGAAGTCCTCGAAGTCGTCGAGATTCGAATCAATCAAGAAGTAGATCTACGTCTGAAGATTCACATCGCTCGGCGCAATCCTCATCCACACCTTCTCATAAGCCTTTAAAACTCAACTACAAATGCAAATTTATATTACGAGGACATCGCAAAGGAGTTGCGCAAGTAAGATATTCGCCCAATGGTCGATGGATAGCTAGTTGCTCTGCAGATGGCACAATTAAGATATGGGATGCGGGAACAGGAAAACATCTGCGAACAATGGAAGGACATCTCGCAGGTGTATCGACAATTGCTTGGAGTCCGGATTCAAATACCATAGCTTCAGGATCAGATGATAAGGTTATCAGGCTTTGGGATCGAGCGACTGGTAAACCATATCCTACGCCTTTACTTGGTCACCATAATTATGTTTATTCGGTGGCTTTTTCTCCCAAGGGGAATGTAATCGCAAGTGGAAGTTATGATGAAGCAGTCTTCTTGTGGGATCTACGTGCAAGAAGGCAGATGAGAAGTTTACCAGCGCATTCTGATCCGGTTGGCGCCGTGGATTTTATCCGAGATGGAACATTAGTATGCAGTTGTTCTACTGATGGGCTCATGTAAGTTCATTTGCTAGCTATTCGTAACTCTATATCGAAAATACTAATCTAATTCTAGCCGTGTATGGGATACCGCAACAGGTCAATGTCTTCGAACCCTCGTACACGAAGATAATGCGCCGGTAACCACAGTCCGATTCTCACCTAACGGTCGGTATATTCTGGCGCATACACTCGATTCATGTATACGACTCTGGGATTACGTAGCTGGAACATGCAAAAAGACATATCAAGGCCACGTTAATAACAAATACTCATTAGGTGGAAGTTTTGGTTTCAGTGGTAATCAAGGATTTATCAGTTCGGGTAGTGAAGATGGAGACATTCTTTTCTGGGATGTCAGCACGAAGGAATTAATACAGAAAGTTCATGGGCACGAAGGCGTTGTTTGTTGGGTTGACACTGCTCCGGGACCAAATGGAGCAATTGTTAGTGCTGGTTTGGACGGAACAGTTCGGATATGGGTAGATGTGGGTGATGAAGATGGGTCCCCAAGAATGGATAATTTACATCTCGAATCACAAGTCACGAATCATGTGAAGCAGGAAAATGGAGAAGACGAAGATATGGGTGGTTACAAGGATGAGGAGAGAGATGATAGAGACGAGGAAAGACGAAGGAGATATAGCAATGATACCCCGAGAGATGATATGAGTGTGGATAGGGAGAGGTCGAGAGATAGGGATATGGATGGGGAAAGGGAAAGGGGGACAAGCGAATTGCGCAGTCCTGAGAAAATGGAGGAAGACTAATCGGCACCGATGGAGAAATAAATTTAATCTAATGTGTAAAGTATCATACATGTTCCCCCTTACTTCAATCCTAACTGTTGCCTGAAAGTAGATTCTCAATGAGATGAAAAAAATAAAAAAAAACCATATTCCGATCTATACGGTTGCTTGCAAGACAACCTTCCGTGAGGATTCTAAATTTGTCTGATGTTTGGTAAATGCTAAAGTAAGAGTTTATCATGCGATTATGCTCAGCAAACATGTAAAACGACGTGTCTCGTATCCGAACCTGGTGATTGATCAATGTCGAGATTGATATGGGTATAAGTAGCTGAGTGATGAGCACAATGATCGTATTGGGGCTTAAGGTAGATACCTATGGAAAGTTTAAGATAGATATCAGGTATGGTATATATGGGGACTTCTTGGAGCTTCTGGAAAAAGAGACGTCGGCGCTCCAAAATATATGCGTAGCGTATCACATGATTTTATATTAATCAACCAGTATCCTCTCCCAGCATTGTGACTTGTAGGACAAATCGAATCAACGCCTAGGACGATAACGTTTTTTCCATCGACTCAAGGACTTCGAGACTGTATCATCGATGCTATAAAGCAGCTCGATTGCAAGCATATGGGCGATGCAATCTTTCAGTCAATAGTCAGGGTCTTTTCCAACCTACATGGTCTACAGATTCACTGTAGCTCGATTCACTCAGATTCGCCTTGTCCAAGAACCAATTTTGCATTCAAGAAATCCTGCCATACATGCTAGCTCTCTTGTACGGTATATCACTCATCCTGGGCCAGATAAGACTTCCGCGCTTTGGACTACAGTGTTCATTCTGCCACATCTAAGGGGTTGCCTGTTGCTCGATGCGGCTTTTTTCTATTCCACTGCGCCGTACTTGCATCGATGTTGATATATATACATCGTCTTTGCAGGATCTCAAATCTTTCAATTCCATCTTCGATATAATATACAGAAAGACTTATAGGTATAACATCTTCACACAACATCTACAAAACACTTGGTCTCTAGAATGTCGTCTTCTACTCGACTAAATCTGGCCCCAAAGTTCAAGTCGCCACATCCACAAAAAAAAACAATACCCATTGACAAATCCTCATAAATTCGCCGTCATGAACTCAACGCCTCAGCAAGAATAAAACGCTCTCATCGAGTTCAGGTCATTCTCACGCTTGCCATTCAAACTCCAAGCCTGAATCTTCAAAGAAGCACAACCTAGTCCGGTGGTCACGGATTTGATTGTATAGATCCATGTGGAGGGAAATGATAGAATATTCAGTGCTTGTCCTCCGAGATATCATGAGCTGAACAATTTACTACTAGCCTGCAGAGAATCACACGCAGAGATCTTTGGCAGATTTCAAAAGTTTGAAGTTATGACCCCGCTTTTGTTTGACGACAATGTGTCCAACCGCAGCAGCTACTCTCGGCCTCATATCGATATTCTTCTTGTCGATGCCAAATTCATGCTGCAATTATACGACATGGGCGGAAGTTTGCCTTTCGAAAATGTCACACAATTATCGTTGGACGATATGAGTCTGCAACTTTAGTATTGCCCTCGGACGAGCTTGACCACCAGAATGAACAACGCAGCAAATTTATACACTTTTCTAAGTAAACATTGTCCGGCTCTCTCAAAATTATGGATAATGGTTGTGAGGCAATTGTCTACAAAGGTCCATTCAAGATGTGAGCACCTACGTCGAATGTTGGATATTTCGGACGGATTGACGGATTTCGATTTGCGCTGGAAGTACGACGCCGGTTTGCTCAACTCACGTGATCAGCAATTGCTGATGTTTCTACATCAAATGGAAGCAATTAAAGAGCGCGCAGACACGGTAGCTCTAGACTTTAATCGATTTTTGAATAAGAAGGAAGATGATTCCTAGCCTGCGCCTGGAGAGGCAACTTTAGAATCCTGGAAAACTCGCAGGCCTGCGCCCGCTCTGATGTGCTGGATTTCGAAATTTGAAAGTGGCAGTACTCTTAATTGGGGCAAGGTCGAAAAGAGTGGTACTTCATCCTGGCTTTGGATGCCTACCTTGAAATCCAACATTGCATGCCATCAGGACGGAACCCCTGTGTATAAGTACAAAGGGCTAGCTCAGATATTTGATGGTGAACCGTGGTAGAGCCGCTCAAATTCGAGGAGGACTTTCAACGGCAAATTTCTCAGCTGGGCATAGGGGAAGAATCGCTGATGGCGAGTATCAAAAGATGAGAGAGTCCAAGTCGAAGAACTGATTAGATAGATGTATATAACAACTTAACTAGACAACTTCACATAATAACTGGCCTTCTTCACATAATTTCTTCTAGAAAAGCTGTCTCTCTTAGTGAACTGAGCGTTGATTTCGGAGCTCTAGCACCCCATTTAGTTATTCTTAACTCTACCGACAGGTGACCATTGTTATGTACTTAGAATATTTATCATTTCGGAATCGGGGCGCATTTTCGCGTAAGAGCATTCTCGAGGTATATGCTTCTAAAGCTGGTATTCAAGTATATGCGAACACAAGCAGATGCCCCATGAGTACCTATAAATTGAAGAAACTGGAGAGCTGAGTTGAAGTAAGCTCCCACAAACATGAAGGAAGATTTTTTGGTAAAAGAAAGCTGTGGTCCATTTATCTATGAATGAACCAGTGTACATATGTATCTCACTGACCTCCAATCTTCACAGTTCAAATTCTTGTCTTACATCCATGATACGAAATAGTACATTTCGCTGCACCGATATTCCAGTATCAAAGTCTTCCAAATCTAGGAGTTTGCTTTGATTTTGATCCACCCCTGATTCTTCAACACGAGATTGTTTATGATACTCGTGACTTGCACGGGTTATCACCTCTACTTTTGGTAGAGAAGAGTTGCATCTCGTATACCTTGAAATTAGTAAGCGTCCTCACAAGCTGGGTTCCCCAGGTTTTACTAAATAGCACCGGCTTAATAACTGCTGATAGTACTGATTCCTGGAATGAATACTCTAAGCATCTACCATTACATTGATTTGCCGTATCCACGTAATGATATCCGGGTAGAAACTTAAGCGTGGGAAGGAAACATTAAAGTACTGGAAAAACATCAGACCGACTCCAGTGTTATTGATGAGATGCCGAGACCATTATCAGGCACGTCCTTGTTCTTGCACTTCCGAGTATCCGGAACTATATTTACGAATGGAAGGAATCAACCTGAGAGTCCGCAAGGATGAATCCCCACTTCACAAGTATGTTGGTTTGAGGCAGATCTTTGAAGAAGCGCTGTGGTAATGGAGCAGGGCTTGACGGATGACGAATCTGGCAATCAAATACTTGATATGGTTCAAGATAAAGGCTCCTGATTGTCACGAAACGGGGAAGCAGAGTAATCACTGAATCCGGCAGACGATGCGAAGGGATGCAACTACGTGCACGTAGTCGGATAAGTCTCGCACATGGGATTTTTATTTCAATCATACGGGAAGCTAAGATTAGCTTCGGGTTGTGTCAATAACCTGGTTAGAAGAAGAATGAACACTTTGTGCATTAAGAACTCTTGAAAGTTGAACGAAACAGTGATGAAGTATACCAAGAATTCTAGAAGTGAGAATGTGAAGCTACGATCTGAGATCAACTAACTACTAAGACCTAGCCGAGTATCTAGCTACATACATGTAAGATTATGCCAATGTCTAGATCCATGTAAGATTATACCATAAACTTAAAGAACTCCATTGAAATCTTCTCATATGTAATGACAAAAAAGCCCTGTATGCACGGTAAGTTATATGATCTAACAACCTTGAATATTGATTCGCTTGTCATGACATTGTCTCCTGCACTCATGAACAAATTGAGCACAATGCAACGAAAACAACTTTAGAACAGATAAAAAGTTGATTTTTATAGTCTCTGTACCTCTTGTCAAGATATTTGATATCAATTTCATGAGAATAGATAGACTGGAAGATTGTGGTGTTGACGAATCTGAAGTTCCAAGTCATGCATAATGTTTGTCACGGTGACCTTAATTATCACGACAACAAAGCAATATACAACTAAATAAAAGAAAATAAACAGCCTCAGCAATCTTTAAAACACATAAAAGACAATAAAAACAATAGTGATTAGAAACTCGACGTTGTAGCAACTTTTTATAATGTTCCAAGATGAAGAAGTTGGGCCAGTCGCCAAAAAAAGTTGAATTCTAAAGTTGAATGACCTCCTCCCTCACAAACTCAAAATTCGAACTCGAAAACAAAAAAAAAGCTCTTTTCTCAAGAATGGCAGAATAGTTGATAAAACAACTTTTCAGATATGCAACAAATCTTTGGGGATTCTGTGCATGTCACATGGAGATTTTGTGATTGGGGACGGTGATTTGATGGGGGAACTTCGGGCCGAAGAGGGGAGATGGTGGTGGGTGACTCGAGCTTGGGGGTTTTTGGGATGGGGGTTGGGGATTAGGATGGGATTATTGTGGTGTGTGTGTGTGAGAGAGAGAGAGAGAGAGAGAGTGTGTGTGTGTATGTGTGTGTGCATTTATTTATTTATTTATTTGGGTGATAAGATGGAAGATGATGCTTTGTTATTCGGAGTCCACAAGTGAGCTATTGGAAAGAATTCTAGGGTTTTGTTTGTTGTGTTTGATTCAAGAACATGTCAATGGGCTTTGGAAGCAAACATTCTTCATGGCAGCTCGAACATAATGAATAGTCTGTTAGCATATTCAATGCTTCAAGATGGTGCGTATATCTGGACCTGGGCCACTTTGAGCTGTCAAACTGATCTGAGAAATTGCTTGATCCAGTTCTAGCAAGTTTTGCTTGGTGAAAGCCTGCAAATTATGTTGTCTATGTATTTAGGCTATCAAAGTCTGTCCGCTGCTTGTAAAACGATTCATATCAGATTTCAAACCTAATGTTTTGGTTACTGAATTTTTTAATCCAACACTGATGGAGATGGTGGCTCCCTGCCCTTACCAAGTCCTTTAAACTATCCTTCATATGATCTCTATCTTCATCGATATAAATCCTTCAAATACAAATTTTCATGTACATCCGTTACTACCTCCCAAGTTCCAAATGTAATACCTGAAGACATCATATATGCATTATCAATTGGCCTAGGTATCAAACGCATGACAAGAAGCAATCTAGGAAGAGTCTTGCTCCCTTTCAATTTCATGATCCCTCTGTAAAACTGAGAGTCATGGCTGAGTGATATTCGACTATTCAGCAAAGAGAACTTTACGGTGTATTCTTTGGGCAAAGGAGCTTTTAGTTTTAGTTTTGTAATAGTTGATATTATTAGCTAGCTTTCACTTCGGAAATCATATTCTATGCAAGAAGCCTCTAGTAATCCAAGCTTCATAATCTACTTATATTTATTGAGCTCATAGACAGAAAATTCATGTCAAAAATACGGGAGTTCGCAGAACTGATGGGAAAGGTGGTGATGTTGGCTAGCTGTGGAAGTTGTGGTCTGAGAGGTGGATGGCGGAAGGGAGATGCATTGAAGTGAGCCAGCTGTTACGAATTGATTCCTAGAAAGGATATTGTTTGCGCTGACAAACTGTTAGATTGGAACGGGCTTCACTAGGCTATTGAAGATAGGGAGGATGCTTGTGAGTTTGCTGATGGGAGTTCGGTAATTAAGAACTCTGGGCTGAGGCCTGACTGAGGTAGATTTTAGTTTTTTGGTCAGCTGAAAGTACTGTATCAAGAACTTTTGAGGAGTTACATTATGATAACATCTGCTGCAGGTGATGAAGAGCCAGAGTGAGATCGCTTGAGGAAATAGACTGTGGAGGTTTTTGATATTGTGTCATCTTACAGAAGTGAGACTCAAGTTTTCAAGAGAAAGTTGCAACTATCGTTCAAAACTTGGGTTGATTTGCTACAGACCAAGTTAAAACCTAGATGGTTCCTTTGTCTCTGTCTTTGGAAGACTCAATAGATGCAGGTGTCTCCGAAAGCCATTAGACATAAAAGAGTGCTCTTATCCATGTATTTTCTACAGAAATCTCTCAAACTACCTACCTACCGTTACGAATTTTCCCTTTGACTGTCTACTACCTACCCAAGTATGTATATCCATATATTGTTTTTGAGTATTGCAGAGACTAGCATTAGGGGCTTTGATACCAATTCCTTTACGAAAGCTACATCATGAATGAATGATTGTGCATGAAAACCCACCTCTAGATCAATTATAACCCTTTTCAGAGGTTAAATCGATTGCTTTGCATTCAAATATTTCATCTTTCGCGCTTTAAACATAAATCATCTTTGAAGCGTGATGAGATGTAGTTGATTGTGCTGACAAACAAACGTGACAACAACAACATCGGAACGTCGGGATCTTCCCAATCTGTCTTAGGGTCTTCACCTCCTCACACTAAGCCATATCACTCGAACTGGTGCAGTCCCTTTCTTGATATTGATTATTTTCTCAACTTGATACCCGACTTTCCTGATAACAACATTTAACCTCCAATTCTTGGTCCCTGATAGGTATCGCATACTTTTTGTGATACTTGTTTCTGGTTTATGACCTTGTTAAATCCAGATCGATTCACATTCGTTGCTCTATACTGAGTTGATATTGTTGCCTGAAGCTGCTGTCTTCATCACGTTATTCTATTTTGTTTAACTTGGTCGGGTTTTGTATCATCTTTTTCAATATTGAGATCGAGGATTATTCGTCAGCCACTTCAACCTTTTGAATTACTCAGTGCTCATAAGCATTTTCATTCTTCAAGGCAATTTGGACCTTCCAAAACCAACATGGCTCCTCCCACTCCCATCAGTGATGATCCTCTCAAGATCAAGAGATATTTTGGAATGAAGAGTATCTGGGTAAGATGATGAATGGTTTGGTGTTAAGGGTTCCCACTAATCATATTCTGCAGAGTAACGTGAAGAAAGGCTCAGCCAGACAGAGTCCAAATCCAGAAATTTGGTCGACCCAACAAATCGATTCGGATTCAAGTTTTGCGGCACTATTACCTCCATCCCGAGACTCAATACAAGGTTCCAAAAATTCGTGTCTCTCTGATCTCACCAACTATATCCCTGCAGGATCGATTCGAATACACAAGCAGGAGTGTTCACTCTTGACGGAAGAAGCCTTTAGGTGTCGAAGTTGGCATGCTTTTTATCTTCCTTCCGATATCACCAACTTCCAACAAAGTATCTTGTATCTACCAAATACTATACAAGGTCAACTGCTCCGTTCCGCTGCCCTTGCTGGCTACACTGGAATACATAATGCGGGTTGGATCAGAATGGAGTTCAAGGCGAAGGATAATAACAGTGGTCAAGTAAGGGTGTATATCTTACCAGATGATATTGGAAATACTGCGTTAGATCGGTAAGTATTCATTGAAGATCGTATTGCTTCTAGGCTCGTACTAATCTCTTTCAGTTCGATGAAGCAACTTCGTAAGGGTATGCAGGCCTTACTAGACAAGTTGGATGTTTCGAATGCGGCTTGGCAAGGAACATGGTCAGATGACACACCAATTCAGCACATCGACTCTGAGTTGGATGAGAACAAATCTGCAAATACCATCTCGCTATTTGACATGTTCAATAATTTACCATCTCCAAAGCCGGACCCGGGTGTTATTGTTGGAGATGATTATGTACGAGATGCGATGCGATCTCTTCTTGCAGGTAATGTACAGGGGCTTAATCCAAATACACAAATGCATCCCTACCAGTAAGTACTCAGCTCACAAGTTCTCCGACCTTCCACCACTTCTTCTTCCCCACTCCTTTATGCGTTGAGATTTCGAGCCAACCTTCTTTTGAACTCGATTGCACCATGGCTGTGTCCTGATCTGATCTTCATTTCATGCTTCATTTCAAAGCAGCAAATACTGACCCATTCTTGACTAACAGATGTCAAACGGCTGCTATGATGCTGCAGCGGGAAACACAGCCAGGACACATCATGGATCCACGACTTCGAAAACTTCAAGATCAACATGGTCAGAGCTTTTACTGTGATTTGAGTGCGAACGTTTGCCTGAGGGAAACACGCCTCTATGAAGCTCCAAGGGGTGGAATATGCGCAGAAAACATGGGACTTGGAAAGACTCTAATCTGCTTAGCTCTGGTTCTATCAACAAAATATTTGAGACCTCAAATACCAGATGAGCACTCCATTGACTCTATTCCCACGCGAAAAAAACACGGGTTCTCTTCTCGATATGTGCGCTTCGACCGTCGGTAGACTTGGAATTCCGTGGGAGATAATCCTTGGAAAAATGGAGTCCGAAGGAGAACTCGGATTCAGCCAAATGCATGCCGCATTAAATAGAGAAATTGGCTACTATTGGTATGAGCCTGACCCACCAGCTCGCGAGACCCGTCGTCCAATAAGCCTAAGTAAGAAGAAGATTTGGCTCGCAAAGTCTACACTTGTAGTTGTTCCACCCAATTTGGTACATCAATGGATACAAGAGATCGAGAAGCATACCACCAGCTTGAGTTACTTGGTTATAGATGATGTGAGAATCCGAGTACCTGCCGCGCATGAGTTGGTAAAGTACGACATTATTTTATTCAGCAGAAGCAGATTTGAAAGAGAGGCTACAGAAGAGACTTTGACGTCCCCACAGAGCACCAATACTTGCGAGCACTGTTTTGGAAACCCAGAAGCTTCAAACTGCCCTTGCGAGATATACTCAAGAAATACACCAGCAGATACCTTCAAATATCGTTCTCCACTTCGAGATCTCCATTTCAAGCGCCTGATCACCGATGAAGGACATGGTTTCGGGAATGTAAAGAAAAGCGGACAGTCAAATGCGATAATTATGATTGACTTCTTGCATATTGATGCACGTTGGATTATTTCTGGAACTCCGACGAACGGCCTTCATGGAAAAGACGTTGAATTTTCGAGAACTTATGAGCTCAGAGATTATCACACGATGTCCATGGGCCTAGAAAGCGCCAAGATGCCCCTTGGAAAAAGCTACACCGACTCAAAAGTAGTGGCTGCCGAGCAAGAGACTAAGGACCTCGAAAAGCTTGGAAATATACTGAAGTCGTATCTTAAAGCTCAACCATGGGCAAACACGGCCGTGGTGGGTGATCAAGCATCGTGGCTAGACCTAGTCATCAAGCCACGATTTAATCGACAGATCCATGGCGACCCAGGAATTCTTAAGTTTACTTTAGAAAGTATGATCATCCGACATACAGAAAGAGACATCACGAGTCAACTTAGACTTCCCAAATTAAACAAGAAAATTGTTTCCCTCGAAGGATGTTTTCAGGATAAGTTGTCGTTGAATATATTTTCGATGATGATTACAATAAATGCTGTGACCTCGGAAAGAGAAGGTGTAGACTATCTCTTTCATCCAAAAAACAGGAGAGCGCTTCTGACTTTGTTCTCAAACTTACGAGAGGCTTCTTTCACTTGGTCAGGTTACACCACGGCAATGATTGAGAACTCGCTTCAAACCGGCGAAAAGTTCCTTACAAAAGATGACATCAATCCCGAAGACAGAAAGCTTCTACAGGAAGCAATTCGAGTTGGAAAGCTGGCCCTTTCGAATGGTATATTCACAGCCGTCAGTCAACTACATGAAATGGCCATGTATGTACAGAATCCTCTACAGGAAGAGATTAGGCGTGCATGGGCACTCGACTACCATGATGGAAATCCAACATTGATGGGCGCTAGTATGATATGTGCTGCAAAAGAGGCGTTTCGTACATATCGTCGTGGTGACCTCAACGATCCTTCCGATTCTGACTTCGATACAGCTAAACTCATCAATCTTGGAGAGAATTTGATGCGCAGATTTGCAGTGAACGCTGATGTAGACCCTGTCAAATTCAAATCAACACAAGCAGGCTTTACAGATCACAGACCAAATGCAATCCCCGATTTCTCAACTTCAGTGAAGAGATCCATGTGGAAAAGCTCTACTATCACATCCACCGCTTCATCTAAACTCTCATACCTCATGGACCAGATCTTTCTTTATCACAAAAAAGAGAAGATTGTTGTGTTTTATGAGGCCGAAAACGTGGGATATTACATTGCGCAGGCGTTGAAATGTGTAAACATCGAGCGTTTGCTTTATACCAGGAGAGATTCAACCTCTGAGCGTTTAAAATGTGTTGCAAAGTTCAAATCCGTCGCTGGTTACCGTGTCATGCTCATGGATGTTAATCAAGCCGCCTTTGGTTTGGATATGAGTGTAGCATCAAGAATATACTTCGTTAATCCGGTATTTTCACCACAAGTTGAGGCACAAGCTATCAAGAGATCACACCGCATCGGTCAGCTCCGCCCTGTATATGTTGAGACTTTGGTTCAGAAAGGCAGCGTTGAGGAGGTGATCTTGACAAGACGAAGCACACTAAACGGACAAGAGCACACGCAGTTGAAGAATATCCTCGATGACCAAACAATATATGACTGGATCAAGGATATTCAATTCTACCCTATTGCGAGTGGTAGATTACCAGGTCCAGAACAATTTGCTCCCCTTCTTTACCCGCAGCACGCGTTTGAAAAGTCTGACATTCTTCTGAATGATACGAATAAGAATATGGTTCGTACGACGGAGTCAAGAACTATTGACCCCCCTCCATCTCAATTGACCGAGAGCAGACACTCAGCTTCAGGTCGTGGTACTACCCGTAACGTGGCTCAATTAGGCAATTTAAGCCAAATCTTAGGGACTGAGATTTCAAACCTCATTCTTGCAACTTATAAGAGAGGACTTCAAGAGCGAATTCATGAACAAGAAATAGGACTAAGTCGCTGGCTTGATGGTTTAATGGTTTCGCATCGAATGATCAGTGGTACTGCTAGTGGTACAGAGCCCAGACAAACTATTCTTGAAGATGAAGGAGCAGAAGAAAATATTCATAAGAACGAAGAAGATCATCTAGAATCTCTCTCCACAAATTCCATGAAAGAAAGATCCAGAAGAAAAAGCCGGCACGATAAGTTGATGATGCGATCGATGCGATCGAAAGTCTTGAGAGAATTGGCTGAGACAAAATCAGAAAAGGATGACAAAGAGGAGTCCGATGACGACGGAGAAGAGCAAGGCGAAGAGCGTGGGTCCATGCAGGGAAACGAGGCGAGCTCCATGTCAAACCATCCGCGAAGACATGAAAACCAGAGCCATAGCTCTGCTCAAACGCTCACCTTGGAGGACAGAATAAAAGAAATGATAGGAGAAACAGCTGTGATTCAACGTAGTGCTAGTGGGTCATCTCCTAGTCTGTTTAGTGCTAGTATATTCGGTGCTGGCGAAGCATCTGCTGGTCGGCCCATTCCTAGGATATTTGGCTCTGATAGATCATCTGCTGGTCAGCCCATTCCTAGGATATCCGGTGCTGGTGGGCCATCTACTCGTGCACCACTGAATACCTTGATGACGGCTAGTGAACCCCGACTTGAGGAAGTGGAAGAGGATATAGCAGAACTCTTTGCAAATGAAGAAGATGCGAGCATGGAGGACGCAGGGGTTACAGATGGTGCGGAAGATGCGGAAGATGCGGCAGATGTGGCAGATGCGGTCACAGGTGCGGAGTTTGATGCTTCCTACGGAAACTTGTATGACGCATGAGAGCAACCAGATATGGTATGTGGGGAACTAGATTTCAAGCTGGCATGGATTGATAGAAAGAGCATGTGGGTGGAGGTGGCGTTGTGGTAAGACTTCATGAGAACGCGAGTTTCTGCGATACTTGTGCTCCTTAGTCGGCTGTTTGGAAAACTCTAAACAGACTCAGATGAGACAAGGCGTAGTATTGCAAATATAATGCACGTGATAAGACACGATATGGTGTTCTGAGTAATGAGAAAATGATATTTGTTAGAGATCCAATACAGAAAATTATAAAACAAACTCAGATTCAGTTCAAAGTGTTAAAAGTGATACCTTTGACTTTCTCACGGATGTTGTTGAAAACTGACGTGTAGCTATGATGGGGGAATTGTTTGGAATAAGAGATAGACTGCATATACAGATGGAGGAATGGTAGATGGGTAGGTATGAATTGCCTTCATGTGTATATGGACGTGTAATTTAATAGCGTGATAATGGGACTACCCAACAAGTGTTTGTTTGAAGTAAAAGTGGAAGAAAGAGATTGGTCAAAGACAAACAAGACGCGGGGTGGGAGTTTGCTAGTGAAGTCTTGAACGGGTATATTAGCGACTCCTGGGTAGTTTTCGGAGTGGATTGTTGGTGGTGCTGATGGTGAAATGCGATGGTAGAAGGGTGTATTGAATAACTCGGTAAAGTTTGTTCGGAATGGAATTATACGATCTGATACGATACATGTCTTCCGTCTCGAATTCTGAAGTATCGAAAGTTACACCCCCCCTTGCTTTTTTCGCCCTACCGCCTAGCTATCTCTCTCCCATCAACCCAATTAGCAAGCCAATTAACCACCACCATCACCCTCCTCCTCCACCCCCTCGTCCACGCAATACTCCCACTCCTCCACGCCAACCACGCCGACGCGCCCGTCCAATCCTTTTTTCCCTGTATGACCCCATCACCCCGTCCTATATACGCTACTAAATCTTTTTGTTCGTATCTGAACGGTTTACCAAGTTCTTCTCCTCCATTCTGCAAAAGATGTTGTTTTAACCATTTTGCTTTTTGCACCGCAACTTCCGCAGTAGTGGGTAATTCGTTATTGAGGATATCGGCTGCGTCGCCGAGGGCATACACATTCTCGATAATATCCGCGCCTGCTCCCTCTACACCGTCAGAATCAGACTTGAGGACTCTCAACCATCTATCCGTGAGAATTCTCTGTAACCCTTCACTTTTTCTACAATTCAAATCCTCGACGAGTTTTCCCGCCGTGTTTCCTACAGCCCATACTACTACTCCGAATGGCACCTCGCCTTCTTCTTTGACGGTCATACTATGTCTTTTTATTTCCTCGATGTGTTTCCCCGTTTTCACTTTCACGCATCCTCTGTTTTCGAATTTTTCCATCGCGTACTCGCTCAGTTTTTCGTCGAATTGTCCGAGCAGTCGATCGGCGACGTCGTAGATACTTATCGTGCATAATCCTTTCAATCGCGGATATACCGCTCCAAGATGTTCTTGAATCAATTCATCAATTTCGGCTGCTAATTCGATACCAGTGGGTCCGCCCCCAACAATGGCAAAATGTAACATATTCCTTTTTTCCTCTTCGGAAATGGTAGGTAGAGAAGCTCGTTCCAGACAGTCTAAGATTCCCTCTCTTAATCTTCTCGCATCCGGTACTGTTTTCATGAATAGAGCAAATTCCTTCACACCCGGTGTTCCAAATGTATTTGTTTCGCATCCAGGTGCTAGGATTAATTTATCATATTTGACATCGAAATGCGCTTCGTCTTCTTTAATATCTTTATAAGTTGGGGAATCCATTGGTTCGCCACTCACGCCACTTCCTCCAATACAAGCTTTACATTTGATGGTTTGCGATTTGCAATCAACAGAGGTGACGAGAGCTTGGTATTTTTCGAACTTGGAATCACGCCGACGAACGGGCTCTTCGGCGAGACGAAAATCGAAGATGGAGCAAGCAGCTGAGGCGAGGAGGGGTGTGAGAGCCATTGTTCGCGAGGGGGAGATGGCAATTATGTTGTAGGGAGATGTGGAGGAGGTGGTGGCCGAGAGCTCTTGAGCGAGTGTCCAGCCGGCCCAGCCGGTGCCGATGATGGCTATGGTTGGTTTGTGGGGGTGGGATTGAGGGTGTGGAGAGGAATCTTCATTTGAAGATGTTGAGGGAGGACGGGATATCGAAGTTTTGGAGTCATGGCTTCTCGTGGCTGGGGTCATGCTGAAATGAGATTTCTGATTGATGACGGCGGGGTAGAGGATAGGGCTCAAAACTCTATTTGGTATGGATTTGAATATGATTGAATTCCTTCCAGTATTGGGTGTTACCAAAGTGCAAAGATTTCGAGTACTAACTCTCAACTTTCCTTCCAGAAAACGACTTTTATACATCCCAAATAAAAATTATACAGTGCAAGGAAAACAAGGAAAGAGAATGCTTATCAATACAATGGAGACTCGGGGAAGGGGTATGTCTACATGCTTCTCGACTTACAATCTACCAGTATTCTGCATAGCTTGGTACGCGGTAGTTCCATGTACTGACGGCATTGATATCTCTTAGCGTATGTGGGATCCATAACGGTCGTGATCTAGATCCAATAGATTGATCGAAGATTCCTTGGAATTGTGGTCTCTAATGGGAATTCACAATTAGTAAATTGTATCAACAAGTATTTACCTACCATATGAAATAATCCTCAAAGTCACTGTTGTTGCTGTGGAGAATGATTGTCGTGTCGATGGATATTTATAAAACATCCCGAGATATACATTTTGGAAATCGGTATTCGGAGTCCATATCATGACGTAGATGAGTGGAGGTCAGTCTGGACAATCAAATCAATAGGTTATAAAGTCTAACCGCAGGGCACGTGATGGGCCTCCACGTAAGCTTAACCGAGAAAAGCTAACGGTGCCAGATCTGTGCCCCGTGATTTAGTCCTTTCAAATGTGTATTTTGTTGCACGTCTGAGTTAAGCTAGACATCATAGTGAAGTTTAAAGTGCTGATACATGTCAGAGTGTCGAAGCTTAAAACTTCTCGACTTAGGATGTCTTTTCTTTTTCCGATTATTCTACACGTGATCTTTGGCTGGGTTTCTTGAATGGAAACTTCATCCCCGAGTACTTGTGCGGTATCATGTCTTCGTGTTTCTCGAGCAAGGGGGCTTCATGACATGAATAATATATGCTCACTAACTACTACAGAAATTTCGTTTATACACTGAGAAGTGTATTGACACATAATGCTGCACGCAGTGGGAACGGGGGAAAATAAGAGGGGTTGCAACGTTGTGGCTCTGGTCGGACTTAAAGAACGAGAAGTTTTGTTCATCGAAATCGTTGAGAAATTCTTGCAATCATGAAGAGGAAGGGTGGGTTACTACCGGTAGTCACGAGGGAGATCTTGCATGAGAGGAACATCACCGTTTCACTGTTGAATGCATTGAGTTCTGCAGGTGAATGTGCTGATAGATGTTAGATTGCAGAACTTCCTACCCTATCAGATTTCCTCAAAGCTTATTTACCTAAATATCTGCCCCCTCACTTGATTGTTTCTAAACCTACCACGGAGCACCGTCAAAAATCTGCGCCATTCCTTTGTACTTATCCACAATGGTACCATCAGCATGGGCCGGTAACCACGCTAAAATAGATGGTACACACATTCGAGGAAGAGGAACGACCGAGGGGTCTTCTTGGGCATCTGCATAGAACCAGCCCATTATGCCTATAACCGGTTCCTGTTCTTCCAAAAATTCACGAGGTCTCTATTCTGCGCCAGGTTTCGACCGATAGCTTTTCTGAAGTTTTTACAATCTCTCATTGTGTGTTTAGCGTCACTCTGAAGACTCAATCTCGCTGCTGTTGCCCATTCTCCTTCCGCCGTGTATGCCGCTCCCATACCACTAAAGTCTTGAATAAAGAATTCGCTGTCCATATCAAGGATCCGTAATTCCAATTTTTGACTCTCAACGGGAGGCTCGTTAGGATGAAAATAATTGCGACCGTCAATGAGGAAATACATTTTTGAAAGTGCGGGGCAATGTAGACGGATAATATTGAAAAAAAGGTGCAGACGCAAAACCTCATATTGTACACCAAGCATGTCTCCCGGAGTATCCAAGCTCATGCCATCAAGGGAGGCATTCTGGAGCGCTAGGTACTTGATATTGGACATCAGAATGGTACCACCATAGATGTACAAGGTGAAGACTTTAGCGGCATCCAACATGAGGATATCTTCATCTGTTCTCATGTAAGTATAAGCTCTCGTGTTAGGCTTCGTAGATGCTTTCAAACGGTTTACGACTCCGTAATTACGAATGTGCGGAGGTATCCCCAGTACTGAGTTCCAGAGTGGCAAGTAAACTTTCGTTCCCAGCCTTGTGATTTCGATTTTCTTAACGTTTCGATATACCTCAGCGTGCGAAGCGGCACAGGCTTGAAGTAATGGGAGCATGCTGGGATTTGTGGGTATACAAACCTCCAGCTGTCGAACTATTTTTCGCGCACTGTGATCGCGGTTTTCGGAAATTTTAAACGCCAGATCGATGACTTGGGGGCTTGGTAACGCCCCCTTGAAGATCGCGCATTGAACTTCTACAGGAAGGAGGCTGAATTTCTCAAGGGTTCCATCGCGTGGATCTCGATTATCTTGATATCCCTCTTCCCAAGAGCATAAAGGAGGACAGTCTTTACACATAATGTGGTGCGAAGAGTAAGGTATCGATTTGATCGGCTTCTTTATTCACATGCGACAGTTTTGAAATGTGTTGAGAGTCGAGTTTGAAATTTGGGAAGATAAAGTGATGGAACTGAGAAGCTTTCTCTCGTTATTGATATCGTAGATTTTGAAGGTACGGTCGAGAAAGACAATTGTACCAGCTTTATAGTTTAACTTTCATTATTCAAATCATTGGTAACACGTAGATCGTTCTGTACGGTTCGCGTAAATGAATAGGACGAAATAGATGTCAGACCGTACCCGATCATCAAAACCAACACATTGACAAAAGATCAACAATGATTTAATTCTCATGATACCATAGAATTGGTGAATAGTTTTAAAATCCAAGACCAGGTCCGTTATCCTCCATTGCCACTCCATGCTGATCGTGCTGCGGGGCAGTAAGTTTTGGGTGAATGTTAATGTGAATGATTTGGCGAATGTTTGGATAATTGTGATGACAGTGGATGAGATGCATGACATTATTGGGGGTTCTTGGTATAGTGGTACTGCGGAAAACTCACATAAGGTTTAATCGACTGAAGGATATTACAAAGCAGCTAAGCGTCGTCGCTAATACGGCACATACTAAATGCTTCTAGCGAACTCGCTCTTATACAGAATTTCATTTTACAAAGAACATCTCCAACTACTCACTTCATTATCAAAGAATAGTCTCTTGAGCTACTCTCGGATTTCGAACATCTTAAAATTCAACAGCATGTCACTCGAAATCACCCATTCACCCATTCTCACTATAATAAAATGATTCCTCTCGAAGAGGAAACCGCTGATGAGGAAGTACAATGTAAGTAATTTCCCACGGCATGCAATAACCCAGGCTGGCAGAATGTATAGAGGCTCTCAAATATCCAGAATGATTTAATACTCGAGATGAACTGAACAGTTCATGAGTTGAAAGCGTCTAGCCATCGGACTGCAGTTTGGACCATTGAATCTCTAACTCTGTCTTTGACATATGACATCGCTAATACAATGAAGATTTGATTAATCCACCTCTTCCACAAATCTATGATTCTACTGAAGACACGAAAACTTTTCACAAATTTAATGACTTACCTATTGAGTTACAATTGAAGATATTCAAACGCGCAATGCCAGCCGCACGTGTCATTCGATGGACGCGCAAAGTTGATTGGCACTTATCCGAAAACAGGTATCCCATGTTCAATTTACGATCTTTTCCGGGCCTGTTCTCTTTACTGAACACATGTTCGGTTTCTAATAAATCTGTACATCATGATGGTGGATTTGTCAGAATCAAGTGGATATATGGAAAGGGCAGTACACCTGCATATCTTACAAAATGGGTACAGAAGCATCATACTTTCGTGCATTATAATTATCTGCGGCCTAATCATCATGTCTTCTTGCTGGATTATGATGATTTGATTGAGGCAGATCTGATCGGCGGATCAATCAACCTTCAAAGTTTCACCCACCTTGCCCTATATGGAAATCATATGAGACCCCAAGGATCTATACTAGGCAAACTGTTAGAATTCATTCAAACTCATTGCCCAAATATCAAGAGGGTGAGTTTTGTTATATCATCCATTTGGTACTATCCCTACAATCAATATGTCATTGCCAGATTTATCGACATTGATGAGAATCTTCTGAAGCTCAAGCTCTGGTATTCGGTCAGGACACAAAGACAAAATCCAGAAGCCAAGATGTATTTGAAACGAGATCATTAATGGACACCGCGTCTGAGTTTATGTTTGAAGTTGACGCAGTCTACCAGGAGATGGACAGAAAAAGCATGGCATTTTGGAAGAATGTTCAGGCGGTCCCTGTTCTAGACTGTGGGTCACAAAATCCTTTTGATGAATTCGAGCTCTACATTCCGCATCTAGAGGCCTATGCATGTTCCAATAATGATGAGACCCTTCAAACTACAACTTGTGAGCGGAACAGATTTAGCGTTCTTCCTTGTTCGCAACCTAGTTAGTGTTTGGTAGATGATATTGCATAGGTGATGTTGCATAGATGATGCTGAGGGTTGAGTGGGAACGAAAATACTATTTTCTTACCTCTTTTTTGGTAAAAATTCTCAAAGGAACGAGATGTGGTAAATACGCATAATAATATACACAATGTAAGTACATCTACTAATAAGCCAGTTCAAGTACAGTGAGTCAATTTGATCTTAGGAAAAACGATAAGGTAAGGGAATGTATGCTCTTCGTCTTTCAACTGATAGATAAAGTGTAGAATCACATTCAAATCCTTGAATTCACAGATTATTATTCATTTTTTAGATTACAGAAATATTAGGTATTCACTCTCTTCCATGAAAGATATAAAATTATAGTTGGCTCAAAATTGTCATCCGAAGATTCACTCAAAGAACAAATCGTATCTACCCGAAGTTTCCTTGATTTTGGCTCGGAACTCGGCTCTTCTTATACAGCTAGCCTTGTGCTAGAAGAATGTTTATAAACTCTCAAAGTCTTGTAGGGTTTCAGTTTGACTTTTCAATCCATTCTGATCACAACACAAAAGTGGTCATTTTCTTTCACAGATTATCTACGTCAGTTCTTTTGGTCGCATGATCCCCTTTTCTCTATTGTGACAACATTCAAAACTTTGATACTTCAATTCACAAATACTCATAACTCGAATCAACAACAAACAATACATCATAGCAACAATGTCAAAAATCTTGAATGAACCTGGCACATCTGATTCAGGAGGTTCAAACTTGTATGATGAGTCTTCTTCTGAGGATAATGAAGGTAGGATTAGTTGAGAAGGTTTTTTTTACAAATTTTCTAACAGAGCATAGAAGTAGGCGGCCTACCAACAGGTACATCAGCAGCCGAAAGCCATGGAGACGAGGATTTCATGGCATCAGATGATGAGTTGGTGTCTGAAAGCATCAGTGGTAAGACTTCGTGCATTATATCATATGTTTTCACACATAAATACTAATGAAAGATTCCATGGCATCAGATGATGAGTCAGTATCTGAAAGCATCAGTGGTAAGACTTTGTGCATTATATCAAATATTTTCACACATAAATACTAATGGAATATAGCTCCAGAAGCACCTCAATCAAACTCTTCGGACCCAACCAATCCAGCCGATGCTGCAACTTTGACAGAATTTCACCCCTTCAGTCGATTTTCTCTGGAGTTACAGATAATGGTCTTCGAACTGGCATTGCCCGTTTCTGACCCCGTTTCTGACCCACTTCTCTTGAAGTTTGAGATCGACATTCAGGAAAATCCTACCGAAATTCGTCGTAATAAGAAAACAGGAGAGGTTTACCACTCGGATACAGATTATACGGTCATAACCTGTGCCTGGAGTGCCAAATCTCCTCCCTTACTGTCACTTTTACTGGCATGTAAGGCTTCTTATCAGGCGGTATTAAACGGCGGATACGAGAGAATTGCGATCTCTTCTCCAGACAACAACAATCGACAGGACAACTATGTTTTACAACAAAAGCCTCACCTGAACATCAAATATCTTGTAGTAGAACCTACGCAGCGCGATCACACTTGGCTACGTCCTGCCAAGGATACATTGGTGGTTTATGCAAAGGAGATTGTGATGTTGTATCAACACGGAGGCTCCATGAACCTTGAGAATATCACACATCTGGCGGTACACAACTTGGTAGAGAGAGATAGACATAATGGCAGTAAAGTCCGAGCTCGGAACCTCTGGAAATGGGTGTTTCTTATTGCAGAAAAGCACTGCCCGGCGTTGAAGAAACTCAGTCTCCTTCTCGGTATCGACTTTACAGAGGAGGCCGATGAACTAAGTGAAATTGAACTTGATACACATCACATCATCGTTGATGTTGATGAAAATTTCTACCAACTGGATTTTCATGATGAATCATATGATGAACGCTCCGTGGCATATGGTGAACGATTTGGAATTGATGAGCTGTTTACAAAAGAGAAGCTGGTTGTTGAGCTAAGAGACACATCGACTGTACTAGCAGAGTATCTGGATGAACATGTTGACGACGAAAGCAAAGCTAAGTATTGGGAGAAAGTCGAGGTCCTCCCTGGCTTCCGAGCCCGGCCCGATCACCAGGCAAACACAACGAAGATTATGGGCGTAGGCGCATGGGTACCCCATGATGCCAACGGAAAGCTCACTTTGAGGGCTTAGAAAAGGGTATGGGAGGTAGAGATTCTGCGAAGTTATGAAAGTGGTGGTATGCTAGACGATAGATCTGATAATCTAGGATATCGATCGGAAGTTTAGGAACATGTAGAGGCTGAGGATCCCGCTTCTTCGATAAGGCTACTATGTACTGAATGGAGTTACAGAGTAAGTATTGCTGATACTCTGATTACTGGGATATCAGGAACATCAGGTTATTCATAAGATAGAATATTAAGTCATTGCGGAAATTCTATCTTGCCACTCTATCTTGTGACGAGTGCTGCTCAGTCACATACTGTAATGAAAAGCAGAAGTGACATTACAACGCGGAGAATACTGAAACACCAGTAATCCTTGCTGCAATACTCAAACGACTGTCCTTCAAGATATACGATGATCCGCTGGTAGGATCGGTATCATATGCCGCCAGAGCCAACGCTATATCAAAGTAATTGTTCATTTCCACACCACTCCACCGTCTCCCTGTTCCATATTCTCCATCTATAAATCCCAACCAACGATCACAGTCCGCTTCCCCAATTGTCGCTGTAATTCCTGCCGGCGTTTCCTCATGATCTTTTGCCAGACAAATTCCACGCTTTTTCAAAACGTGCTGCCAAACTTGAAGATTCTCTGATCTGCTCCAGAAATCGCTTCCGAGACTTACATTCATACCTCTCACAACTTGCTCCTCAACATCACCTTTTATATCGGTTGTCAGAATAACGATACCATTGAACAATTCTAACTCTCTCAAAAACAGCGCTGACATATTGGAATCACCGTCTGAAGGGCTCTTGCGGTGTGGGAACCGATGTTCCGCATCTGGAATTGCAATTATATAATTCCATTTTGTGGCTCGTTTGAAATGAGTAGCAAGCTCTCGTGCAGCATCCCATGTGATTATACCGAGATCTGAGCTGGTGATGGTGTACAGTGGTCTATTGAAATGAGAGGCGAGTGCTTTCGTGGTGAGAAATTTCCCCGTGCTTTTTGGGCCGTGGAGCAGAATTGCTAAGCTGGCTTTTGTTCTCATTAGTAGGCTTCTTACTTTGATGTATCTCAATAACTTACATGAGCCCCTGCTTATTTTGGGTTGTAATGATCGACTGCTGGGGTGCGTCCCCACCAATGCTTTCAATAGACTTTCGTGTCCTTCAGGTATCACAAGAGCCCTGAAATCCAAAGGATTCTCAACGCCTTCTTGCTTCAGATCACTTATCGTATCCACACTCAGCATCTTCCATCTCTTTTTCTCTAGTATGAAACCTTCAACCGTAGGCGACAATAGCATGAGAAGCTTATCTTCGAGATCGCTGTGAATATCACGAGGATGCAAAAGATGCAAATCATCTTTGTACTTGGCCGCACGATCATTATCAACGACATTGTCCACGATCAAATCCGAGCATCGACAATCTCTCTGGAAGCCTCGGCCATCGAAATATTGATTGTTCGATACTCCATAATGTGTGCAGTTCTCTGCGGTTTCTCTCGAATCGAATTCGATTGCATCGAAAAGACCAATAGCTTTGTTTTCAGTCTCATGCTCGTTGTCTATGATGACTTCACTCTGAACCTGCTTCAATGTTAACTCTGATATTTAATATGAGATGCTTCACATACTTCTTCGCGTTCTTTCTTCAAATTCACGAAAGGACCAATCCCATACCCTGGTGGTCGCCCTGCAAATTTTACATCTTCATCATTTGACGAGTTCGATACTTCCTCCCCGGCAGTGCCCACATAGAATTTGTGATCACCTCGCTTCAGGGATCTTGATTTCTTTCCTCTAGCAACAAGATTTGAGATTTGCTCCTCTCGTTCACTAATTGAGAGTAGTTTGAGTGGCAAAACCGTAACTTTCTCTGTCATGAGATTCCCATCCAGCTCAACTAGTAGTTCTGACACTAACTTCTTTCCAGCATACTCCGATATTCTCAAAGTCTCATGAATAGGACCAACGGTCTTCCAATCGGGCTTTATGTAAAAGCAGTTAATATTGAAAGGCGAGCACACTGTTTTCTTTTCAAATAATTCCGGCTTGGATAAGCGCAGTCGACTACCTGATGTGTGAAAGACTCGATATGCACGAGCCATGGGATAGGTGACAATCAGATCGCCAGGACTAAATAAGTGCCAAAGATCGGTGAAATCAATTTCGGTGACAGAACCGTCTTTGATCTGTTGACGGAGGCCGAACACATGTTTCAGATCGTGGTCCATGAATTCGATCAGGCACTTTAAGTGAGCCACTCTAGTATCGAGGCATGCGAGAGGGGTTTCGTGAGGAGGATAGACAACATCGCAAACCTCGCAACTGGAGGGTGGATCTCTGAATCGGACCTTGCGATCTGATTTCCTTTCTTCATGAACTTGATCGACAACTATGTTTTTGTCCTTCACCGGTTTCTCCGCCAATTTTTCATCTCGAGATTCCATCATTTCCTCCAGTTTGTGCAATCGTGATCTGATCGCTTGCTCATACTCCACAAACACCTTCCAAGGCCCTGTCAGAACTCTACGCCATTCAGTTATCACAAGACCCACACCAGCTCCTATCACTATTCGCAATTCGTCTCTCAAAGCCTCTGAGTTGATCGCCACTCTAATCGCTTTTCCATCTTCCACCGCAACATCCAGCACATGTTTCCCTCGTTGTACCATATACTTTGCTCCTGCCCAATCCTTAAACTCCATTCTATTAATATCCAGCTTCAGCTCCCCTCCTTGCTTACCCACACGAACTTCAATGATACCAGGCGACGAAGCTCGGTTAGAACGAACACGAGATGGGTATGGAGAGCTGGAACGACGGTTCTCAGAATTGCGCTTGGTACGCGCAGCACGAGTGGCAGCCCAAAGAAAATCTTGCTCATCTTCGGGAACCCAACGTTGAATCAAGACGTAATCTGGATCCTATTGCATTTATGAGTAATTTGTCAATTTGATCGAAGTCGGGAGAATATACATCAGGATCGATCACATAATCTATGTTATTTGCTTTCAAAACTTCGATGGACAAATAACGGAGGTGCATTCGAGTCCAAGTTGGACGCATTTCGGGTGTCTCATCTTCAGGATTTATTTGAGCGGTCTTGGAGTCTCTGCTGAACGTCAGAAGGGGAAAACAAAAACTTGGTATGCTAAGATCTGCTTACTTATAGCCGGTAACCTCTTCCTCCTCGTTGTCAATCTCCTTCTTCGCATTGGTTCTCTCCTCGCTATTCACAATATCATGATCTACCTCAACCTCCTCTCTGACACCCTCCAAAGGCGGCGTAATATGTTCAAACCCATCTGATAAATCCATCACTTCTCTCTTATTTTTCATAATATTCCACAATTCCCACTTCTAAACTTTTCTTGTAAATCAAAAAAGCGAAACAATTTCTTCTTATCAAAATAAATGTTCTAGGCACCAGCTGTTCCACCGACACCGCGCATGTCAGCTTTTGGGCTGTGTGACGATCAACGAGCTGTGATTTGCAGGCATTCTAGGGCTGCAAGGAATATGCGGACGCTTTTACTTGGCGTGAAGCTGAAAGTTGATAAATTGGGCTGTGTGTCAGCAGATTGTTTCGGGTAAAAGTAATAATTTTGTTTGAGATAATTCATTTGGAGGAGATATGAAAGGAACCTTAAACATATATCAATACGAAAGCATAAGTAAGTACGAACGGGAGAAATCTTTGCCAGCAGGGGTATCACAAATAGCTACACAATTATTTGTCAATTTAATCAAATTGAATTATCATTAAATGTAGTGAGAAGTTCATGGTCATCAAAAGTTTAAATTAATTATGCATTTCTTAGCTAATCGTTACTAGTACACATACATAACCCTCCGATCTTAACCGTGTTCATATTCGCTTTCCCGCGCTAGCTCCTCGCTAAAGCATCAATACGAGTACCCTTTTACAACCTCCACAATATGGACAAGATAGACGCGAACAGAACTCATGTAATTTCGTCGCTTGAACCCGGAAATCTACTTCTATGAAGTTTGAAGTGGGTGTTTCTCGCTACAACGATGAGGGTGGTTTCGAGCGCAAGTTTACAATATGCCATGTTCGACAGATCTATGATTCTACGCCCTCAACAAGATCCACGATCCCCTCATACCTGTCAAAAGGATTTCCATCATCATAGCATGGGAGCACAGATGACAGTGCAGGGAACCGTAGTTGAGGACTTTTCTCACCTTCCAACAAGCCCACTGTAACCGACACGACCTTCATTTTCCTTCAGTAATCCGCCACAGCACTGTCTGGTAACATTTTCGTTCGCTCGAGATCATCTCTGAGTTCCATGATTGCGTGTTGTGCATACTCGGCATTGTTACTTATCTCTTCCTCTAGGTTTTCTAGTTCATAATATTCTTGCCTCGCTTGGTCCTCGAAATCGAAATCTTGAAAGTCTTTATCCCTTTCAATCATTCTGAGATTTTGAGTCAACTCACTATCCTTCACATGGCCAAGCGGAACTGCTTCAGTGTCGCCAATGACCAAATGAAGTTTCTTAAGTGCTGGGCAGTGTGTTTAGATGATATTGCAGAGCTTCTCGGAAAGAGTCGTTATTTCCTCATCGTCGCAATCATCGCAAAGATCGTAATCCATTCCTGTGACAGCCAGTTTCTCAATGTTGCATAGAGATCCTATCGAGCCGCCAAGTTGATATAATCTAACGAGACTATCAATGCTGGCCATAAAGACATCACTCGAAGGCCGAAGGTACATGTAGGTGAGGGTATCAGGAATTGTCTCCGTCGTGTCAAGAAAATGACGAGTTGGAGGACGGAATAGTTCGATCTTCTTAAACCCAGCGTGACCATGCATAGTTTCATTTGAGGTTTTGCATGTCTCCAAGAGGGATGCAACACCAGGACACTTTGCGAGCACAGATCCGAATTTGATGATATTGGTAAATCCACTACGTATCCTGTGGATCCAGAAGTTGAATTCCATGACTTGTGAAGGTGGCAATGCCTGCTCGAAGATCATGTATTGAATTCGAGGGGAAATTGACTGAATCGAGGGAGATCGTGGGATTGCTTTCCAAAGGATTAGCGAATGAACTCATCTTGGATAGTGGAACCTTTGCTGGAACTTCCCCCATTGTATTGGGATTTTAAATATTCTTATGGATTGGAAAAAGCTACTCTTTGATGATGCGGTTGGTTTGACTTGCTCTTTGGACTCAATAAGGATGCTTAATTATTGAATTATTGATAGCTGCGAATCGAATAATTCGAGTGGCCCGACTTGAGCTGATTGAATGTGGACTTGGTATTTGTAGATTTGATGAAGATGGATGGATGAAGCCAAAAGCAACTCTGGATGAAGGAGGATATGTCGAGTATGTATATGGGTCTATATTTTGAGCCGTACTGTGTGTGTTAATGATTATGTTCAATGAATCGCGACGAACTGATTCACTTTTAACCTCACTATTACGGTAAAATCGTGCTGGCGCCGTATTGTTTGATCGTTGAATTTTCTGTGCGACTGAGGTAGATTCCAGTCACGATCGCACACGAGCATATCGACAGCGGTCAAATGAACTAGGATAAGAAATCTAAAGAGGAAAGAGATCCTTAAGGGATGTCTTTATCCCTTATATGTGAAAGGTCGCTTAATTCAAGCTAGTCTTGAACTGAAATTAGCTTGATGAGTAATCATATAGGTATGTGATTTCCGTCACCTATGCCCAGGTAGGTTTTGAGCAAGTCGTATCAGAAAATCTTGTAATTATTGCCGTGTTGATTATATGTGACTAACCAAACAACAGACCGTACTAAGTAACAGATGGTTTACGGTTGTTAAGTTCATATAAGCAGTTACCTACTCTAACGGTTAACTCCCTGATTTGTATTTCGCGCCAGTGTAGCCGTACTAGTATTTGCATGATAGATCAAGACTTACGGCGTTCACACAATTGACGCAATAGCCTAAAATGTACCCAAGCCGTAAGTTCCCTTGCCCAATTAGTATATAGTCGTCGTCTAGGCACTGCCGAAATGCCTCCAATTAATCTTCCTTCCTTCTAACATAATATAATACCAACACTAATCACATCTCTGGATCAACAACAACTTATTTCGAACTTGAACTTCCTCCAACCAAATTTTCAATCAACTCTATCCACACATAAACTCTTTCGAACGACAATCATGACCCAGAAAATCATGAAAAAATCAATCCTGAAGAAGGCAGCCATGCGAAACGCACTCATGAGAAAGACAGCCATGAAAAACAAGACCATGAAAAAGACAATCACGAAAAAGACAACCATTGACAAGACAATCGTGGCTATGAATAAGATGAAAATCGATACCCCCCACTTCAAGCTGGCTCACACCAAGTCAATCCAAGGCCTTTAAGGCTCTCGAACGCTCAACCGAAGACGACAGCTTCTTTGCATTCGAGTTTCTTCCTCTCGAAGTTCAGATTATGATCTTGAAGTACGTATTCCCTGATCAGCGTCTCATCCGCATGGAATTTAGGACCATATTCAACAATTCGAACATGATCTTGAATTTTCAGATGCTACCTGACATGCATCTCACACCACTGCTCAATACCAACTGGCTATTCAATACAGAGGTTAATAAGGAATTCAAGAAAGTTGAGCTTCGAAAGTACTCTAGAGGTGCAAAGTCAAAGCTGTACAAGGCATTGCATGATGAGAATTACTCCCCTCCCAACTATTTCTGGGATCGTTGTGTTCGCAACATCTTTTGTGGGAGGGGATCCGGATATCGCTCTTTAGATCATGTCTATATCCGACCCGAGACTGACACATTGATCATCGACTATCGTCAGATCTTCATCCTTTACTTCGTTGGTGGGTCTATTGACGTGTCAAATGTCAAGCATATCGCCCTTGCCAATTGCAGACCATTTGTATGGGATTGGCCTTACTATCCTCTCCCAGATGATGATGTTGATCGTTTAATCCACGGTGTAATCAGTGTCGAATGTCCTAATCTCAGAAAAATGACATATATCTTTTCAAGCCAGGACCCCATGACCGAGATACACATCGATACAGAAGAAGTGATTTTCGATGTCAACGACGAATTCTACTATCGAGATTTCGAGTATGAAGATGGATCATTGCACGAAGACCGCCCCTATGCCTTGATGCAAACAAAGGCAGAAGTGGATCATTGCTTCAGAGAATTTCTTAGACAGCCTAACGCTAAGTATAGACTCAAGGACGATGTTATGAATTTCTGGAAGAATCACGTACCGGGTATTGGCATGATTGCGCGGTTCGATGCAGATGCAGATTGGCGCTTACGTATGAAGCGCTGCCCAGAGCCTAGGTATCATTTTGTGGGATTTGATATGTACTTGCCCGCTCATGCTGATGGAACGATTCTGAATCAGTATAAGGGATTGGCGCAAATCTTTGAGGGCGCACCATGGTAGATTGGTCACCGTGGGAGATGAAAGGGCAATCCGCGGGAAGTTCACGGAGGACGCAGCTTTAAAAGCTAGCAGATTGGGGAACGCAGGATCGTTATGAATCAGTCAGGTGGCGCATGGAAGGAAGTTCGCTTGATGGTCATGTTCTAGGATTGACTGACTCCAGTGGGGATTTTGATAACTGTATCAGCACCTGGACAATTTAGGAAACTTAGGGTGGACAACTATGACATTGAGGGCGGGTCTTTTGTGGACGGACAGAAGGACCGGAGGAGACATAGTATACCTCTCATCCTCCCTCTTTCTCTCGCTTATCTATACACAAACAAAAAAAAACAGTTCGTTACTCTAGCTAGTCTCTCCTACCGATACTGACACATATTTATACACCAAATTCTTGTGACTGTATTATTTGTGCAAACTGTGATATACTAAGTTTTGTGAAATGTCCATCCTCACGTTGTTGTGATTTAGCTGTGACTAGCGGACCCGTTTATTGGTATTTAGTTATTGCTTTCAAAAGGGGGTATTCGCGTATCTTATCTAGCTTGATCCCAATGAATTAATAGAACGCTAAATCTAACGTTATTTCACTAGCAACAGCGGTAATCAAATTTGATTCATGTTTCTGGGTTTTCGGCAAAAAGGCTTTTTCCTCGTTTGACAATTCGAGAGATAATGAAAGAGATGGATTTACTATGAAAGTCTGAATAGATGGGAGCCAAAAAGGGTCGATCAAAGCACCCATGAATCTCAATCTCAATTTATATATTTGCTAGAAATGATTGCGTCATCCCACTATGGGGCTATCTAACTCAACTCGAGCGACTGCATCAGATCTCATTAAAGAGAGAAAAAGTAGAATAGAACTCATAGACCACCGTGGTTGAGGCTTGATGAGCGGGGACTCATACAGAAACTCCACTTAGGGAATTGATTTGATTGCTCCAGCTTGAGACTTTGATGTTTTCACCTGTCACTCGCTGTAGGGATTTTCGGGCTTGACTTAAGACCCTCTTAGATTGAACAAAACTATTTGCATTGTGTACAGAGATAAGATGCTATTTCCCTCTCGCGATGATGAATAGTAATGAGGGTAAATTGTGCTTGCAATTTACAAGTACATTGAATTTGTGAGGTAGCGAGGTTGGTATGGGACACAATTAGGTGGGAATTGTAGGTGTGTATTTATTTATTCTGTAGTGTGAAATCTTACATAAGGTTACGCGAGAGAAATCAACCAATGAAGTCGTGCTCTAGCTCAACCATCGCTAAATGCAACCCTGCTCAGCTTAATCTCGCACCTACTCGACCCCTCATGTGTGTCCTCTTTGTCCACAGTGTCCGTTATCATACAATGTAAATCTTCATCATTCATCGTGCACAAAACATACCTGTAGGTCTATTGAACTGAAGGTCAAAACCTTATTACTATACCAAAATGTCTGGCGCAAGGAATCCAGCCACGAATTTCTGTGATTTACCCACGGAAATTCGCCGTGAGATCTGGAAATTTTGTTGTTCAGAAGAGAGGATACTTCACTTCAAAGTCGATGCAAATGTCCGACTGCAGGAATTTGACACTTATTGTCTTGAATACCTGCCTCCACCTAAATTCTTAAGTGTCTGCCAAGAATCACGAGAAGAGACATTAAGGATGTATCAAGAGTCATGGAGTACCAAAGAAGACGAGAAAAATGATAAGGCTATTGGTTATAGCATCTCGGGTCGCTGGTGGAATCCATCTATGGATATCATTTATGTTCCATATTGGCTTCCGATCCACTCTAAAGACAATCCGAATTTGAATCCAGGCGTGAAAGACATGAGTTTCCCTCTTGACAATCCTTTTTTCCAAAGGCGAATGGGTGCGATGCAGCATCTTGCAGTTTCGACAAAAGCTACTGGGATCCGGTGGATTTGGGAAGAATCGATAAGACACCATGAGCCTTTCAGCTGGCTAAAGCTAGCGACGTGGATAGCCGAGTTCCCAAATCTAAAGACATTCACATATGTTGTCGATTATTACACATATCGGTATAAGGAACAGGGACCTCGATGGATTGACCATCCGGATTTCGCGATAGAAGGAAATTGGCGAAGTCACTCGACAAGATGGGATATGACACCGTCGAAGATTATTGCGGAACTCGAAGAGTGTTTCGAGCGCATAAGGTCTGAGAGAGACAATACGAAATGGAAGCCTCCGAGGGTGAGGATTGTGTTAGATGAGGAGGATCAGGAAGAATGTTATTCTCGTGAAGCTCGTCTTCGAAGAAAAAATCCTGGATCGTATGAGCATGGTGCAGCAACGGTGGACATAGCAGTTGGAAGCTAATAAGGACATTGCACAACACGCCTGCCGATGAAGTGGGCTAGAAATGAAAGTCTGGAAGTTTGAGATCAGTGGAAACAATTGGGTTAAAGAGAGTAGGTTGGCGATCACAGAAGGAGACTACATAGAAGGGAGTTGGACGATGTCAGGAGAACAGTATATTACCATTTCCGATAATTGTTGACAATGTGTAATGTGGAATCCTTTGAGAATCTCAGAAGTCATTGGTTTGTGAGTAATTCATTCTCAAATCTGTGATCTTGTAGTTTTTGAATACTATTTGTGAGAATTTAGGGTGCGTTCGGATCGATTTATTTAAATTATTAGACCTTATTAGACCTTATTTATTTAGTAAACAATAATACTAGATAAGGTTCAAATAATAGATTTATTAAATGCTTAAGATTGTAAAATAAATTATTAAAAGTTATTAAGAATTATTTAATAAATAAATGCGTTTACTAAACATTTAAGATTATTAATAATTCCTAATAATTTATATAATGAATATTTTTAAAATAACAAATTCTTTCAAGATCCTCATACATTTATTAAATAATTCAGAATATAGTTTTTTACTATTTTTGAAAGATTATTTATCAAATAGTTTAATAAATCATTAACAAATCCTTATTTTCAATCGCTCTTACTCTTTTTCTTTTACTTTTATTAACTTTTTATATTACTTTTTTATATTAGTCTAGATACCCTTATTGTTTTAACATTATTAAAGATTTCATTAAATAAATCGAAAATCGATCCAAACGCACCCTTAATACTTAACCATTAATAATAAATGATAAATATGCTAGTCTCGAACTAACATCGATGTCGATGTTGTTCAGTCTCATGCGCAGAAGGATTTTGATTGGTGTATGGTGGGGTTGCTAGGGTATTTGGGTACTGTAAACAAAAATCGTAAACAACTCAACTACCATTTTTAATCCAAGAACAACTCCATTTCCACATCTACGACCGGAACATTTTCGACAACTAATAACCACCCCCATAGGATCCCCAAAATGTCTGCTCCTGAGGATTTGATCGATTTCGACATAATTGAGAATCAAAAAGAAAACATTCAATCATTACCACAAGGACGATCCGCAAGGAATCTCGCAAAGATATTCTCTCCATCACCTCTACAACCCCTCTCAACACCTACACCATCCGATACTAGAAATTTGAACGATGCACTTAGAGAAGAATATGAAGAAGAATTAGCCAATATTGGTGAATCAGACGACCCATTAGATATCTACGATCGATATGTCAAATGGACACTCGATGCATACCCCTCCGCACAAGCAACACCCAATTCACAACTTGCCCCTCTTCTCGAGCGCGCGACGAAGACCTTCCTCAACTCTCCACAATATAAAAATGACCCACGATACCTAAAGCTATGGCTTTCATACATAAGATTCTTCTCCGATACACCGCGCGAAACATTTGCATTTCTAGCTCGTCACAATATTGGTGAAGGATTAGCATTATTCTACGAAGAATTTGCAGGATGGTTAGAAGGTGCTGGCAGATGGGTACAAGCGGAGGAAGTTTTTCAGATGGGTATTGATAAGGAGGCTAGACCGGCACCACGTTTGTTACGCAAATTCAACGAGTTCCAGGAAAGATTTGCTGCGAGACCAGATAGCAGTAATGAACCTTCATCCCCCGCATTACCTACAGTTCGACCAGCTCTTGCGGCGAAGATAGACCCATATGCTGCAGTTGCGCCGTCTCCAGAGGATCCTCAAGCACCTAGACCTTCGGCGGGTGTAGGCGGCGGTTCAACAACTACAAAAAGTGGTAAGCAGAAGTTGAAGATTTTCTCAGACGATGAGAAAGGATCTGCGCCGGCAGTCTCTGCATCTCCAGGAGCAGGTTGGGAAAGTATAGGATCATTGGCAGACCGGAAGAAGGAGAATAGGATTGAACCTAAGCCATGGGTTGGAGAAACATTAAAAGCGGGTGGAAAGAAGAGCAGTACCAAGATGGCAATCTTCAAGGACGAGGTAAGTTTTTTCTTCCGTTCTGTTGTCCCTTGTTTTGCATATGTTGATGATCATAGGACTAATTTTTGGCACTTGTGGCGTTATGTATTTCAGTCATTAAAATTACCTCAAATCACAAATCCAGAATTGCAACAAGTGACTATTAATCCCAGAAATGGTAGAAGTGAACGAATTTTGGTTAATCTTGAAGCTGTGTATCCTACTCCAGATGAAATTGGGACGGAATTGAGCTTTGAGGAGTTGCGTGCTGCTCATCGTGGATGGTTGGATAAATCGTGGGAACCGGAATTAAATCTACCATCGGAGCCAATGTTCAGTGAACCAGCTCAAGCTTCTAATATAGGCATTGAAACTATTACACAGCAAATTCCAGAGAAGCTAGTCATTGCTCGGGATTCAGTGTTTTCCAATGAGAATCGGAAGGAGAAATTTGCAATTGCTCGGGATCCCGTACCCACGGATGAAAATCTGCCGGAGAAGCTAGTTATTGCCCGGGATTCTGTATATACTGACGAAAATCATCGACCGGAAAAACTCGTTGTTGCTCGAGATTCAGTATATCTGGATGAGAATGGAGCAAAGAAAGAACATAATAGGGAAACGAAGCATAGGAGAATGAAAGTTAAGGAGGTCAATAAGACGCAAATAAGTGAGTGATTGGGTAGTTTTTGGTAATCTTCAGAGCTAATAGTCTCTAGTCAGCGCCAAACTTTCTTCGCCGACGGGGAAGAAGATGAAAAAGAGGAAGGCATCAAAGGAGCAAACGATGACTCTTCATACTAAAGCAGCCACGGATGAAATTTACGACATCTTTAACCAACCTCTCAAACCAGCGAATGAGGAAGAAGAGGAGGAAGAAGAGGATGAAAGTGATGACGAGGATGAAGATATGACTGATGGTGATTATACAAGTGGCGGAGAAAGCACCATGACAGGTGGACTTCATGGTACTAGTGAAGCTGGTGATGATGACGAAACTAGGGATGTAAAGAGTGAAAGCGAGTGGACCGAATATACAGCGCAGAGGCCAGGTACAGATGTAGACGATGAAGATGGAACCATAGCCTCTACCTTCACTGATGGAGAAGATGAAGAGTTCGAGGCTATCAAGGTTGCCATTCCTCGTGATGTTGAAGAACAAGATGATCTCGTGACTCCAATAGCCGAGGATGGACCATTCAGATCAACGACAAGTTTTGTGCCAATACCTCCGGAAGATTATGATCCACCAACTCATCCATATCGGGACCCTGCTCAAGTTTCTCAAAATCGCCTTCCTTTCATGACTCCAATCGTTGAGAGAACTGAATCTTCCCTTGGATTACCGACAATCAGGGATCAGAAACATTACTTTAATTCTACCACTAGTCCTAGCAGAGGTAGTGGATCAAAGATACAGGTTTTCCAAGATGATGGGGAGGAGGAGGACAGTAGTCCGTTGAGAGAAATCGTTAATGAAGCAAAACCCATCGACAGAATTCCTCAACCACAATTAGGCAAGAAAAAGCCTTTATCACATTCGACAGCATTCGCCAAGGAAATTGCACCCAGAGGTCCTATTGTTCACGACTCTCAATGCAATCCAGTTGATGAAAGTATTCGACAGTTAATATTTGAGAAGTTACAACCTCCTCTCAGCTCCTATGAAGGATTTTCTCAGCACAACGAGACTAGGGGCCAGTCAGCAGAATTAAAGAAATATGCCAAAGCAGCTTCGAGAGCGAAAGGTTCAAGCGACAGAACTAGTATCTCAGCTCTCCCAACCCTGGAATTTCCTGGAACAGATAGACAATACAAATTGAAACGAGAACTTGGTGCCGGCGCATTCGCTCCCGTGTATCTACTCGAAAGTGGAATAGACGATGTTGAGCAAGATGAGAACGAAACTCCGGCAGTCATGGGCAAGGGAGTTTTCGATCACTTCAATCGCAAATCATTAGAAGCGTTAAAGATGGAAGATCCACCGAGTGCATGGGAATTTTACATCATGCGGCAAGCGAAACGAAGATTAGGAGTTTCCCGTCCTGCAGAAAGTATTCTTGATGTGTACGAAATGCATCTTTATAGAGACGAATGTTATTTGATAGAAGAATATAGAGATCAAGGTACTCTTCTGGATATCATCAATATTTCCCGCGCAGATGCCAAATCACCAGGTGGTGTTATGGATGAACTCCTCGTTATGTTCTTCACCATCGAATTGTTCCGCACAATCGAAGCTCTACACTCTAAGGGTATCCTTCACGGTGACCTTAAAGCAGATAATTGTCTCGTTCGATTCGATTCTCTCTCGGACTCTGATAACTGGAGTCCTAAATATAAGAGAGATGGAAGTAACGGCTGGAATAAGAAAGGCATTGCACTCATTGATTTTGGCAGAGGGATTGACATGAAATGTTTTAAACCTGATGTTCAATTCATTGCGGACTGGAAGACTGGTCCTCAGGATTGTGCGGAAATGAGGGAATTAAGACCGTGGACTTATCAAATTGATTATCATGGACTGGCGGGTATTATTCATAGCATGCTTTTTGGGAAATATATCGATACCATTGCCGAAAGACCGGGTGATTCAATTGGTGGAATGGGAGGTGGATTGAGAAAGTGGAAAATCAAAGAGGGTCTTAAGAGATACTGGCAGACGGAAATTTGGGCAGGTGTTTTCGATATCTTGTTGAATCCACACGGATATGTGGACGGAGAGGAAGGAGGGAAATTACCAGTGCTTAGAGGAATGAGGGTTATGAGGGAGGAAATGGAAGAGTGGTTGGAGAGCAATTGTGAGAAAGGTGCGGGATTGCTTAAAGGGGTTAAGAGGTTGGAGGATGGAATTAGGGAGAGAGCTAAGAAGAGGTAGATGTTTAGGTTGGGGGATGCAGTTTCTTAAGTATCGGGGTGTTTATTAGGACGTGATTTGGTAATTAGGAAGTAGGGAGTAGGGAGTAGGATATTGCTCCGGTGGAGTTTGTGGGTATATCCAATCTATCTATCGTGGCTTCAAATCATGGCGTTCCGGTTCATGGGGAGTTATCAATTCCGTTGTAGGACTTGAGACTTCGATGGATGTAGATAGATGGGTGATAGGAATTTTCATGAGAAATTTATGACTTATGATGTTTAATGCTTGATGTTCGAGTATCTAATGTTTGAATATTGAATATTCATTGGACTTTTAATGTTCTTGAAGCGGGAGTTGGAGTTAAAGTTGGAGTTGGAGTTTGAATGCCATATGTATGTATTTCTCTTGTTTGTAAGTGTGTAAAGTATGAATTTAGAAAAGAACAATGATCCTTTTGAACTTGATTTCTTGGTGATAATGGATCTTTTCTGGGGGGAAAGGGTTGTTAGTGAGGGTTGTTAGTGAGGGTTGTGAGTATGGATTGTAAGTGAGGGTTGTAAGTGAGGGGATGACATGATGAGTGTAGGTATGTAAGGTTGTGAGTTTGCAAGCTAGGTAATTTTTACTTATTTTTGATTCTTTTTTTTGTTCTTTTTTTTCACGATTCTGTGGCGTTTTCCTGTTTCTGCTTTGGGTTCTGGGTTCGGTGAGCTGAGTTTGACTCCGATTAGTGGCATTTTCCTTTTTTTGATTCTGGTTCTGCTTTTGGTTTTGAGATTTTAAGAGTTTGAAATGTTAGAAATTTGATGATATTTTTAGGGTTAATATTTGAAGTTTTGATGGCGCTTAGGGTTCCACGATTTCACATTCACAGTACAGTTACATGATAAGTGCTATAGTATTGATGATATTTATCAATGGACTCATATATCTAAGGAGTGTGCAAGCTAAGTATTTGAATCTCGTATTGAGTTTAATCTCTATCACCCTTTGACTTCTTCACTTATGTATTCCCATTTACTTGTACTGTAACTCCTACTCCTACTCTTTCATCTGGACATCCCGAATTTCTCCTTCTACTTTTTAGGATCGGGTGTCTGTTTATGTACAATCTTGTTCTTGGGAATCACTACTTCTGGTTTTTTCTGATCAACACCCCAAGTGACTTTAGATATACCTTGATTATTGACTGGATTAGCCGACTTCTTGGGAGGAGAACAGGAAGATTCTCCTTGTGTCTGTCCGTTACTCGCAGCTGTTGGTGAACAATTAGATTCCCATAACGCGCCCTCGTTTCGTCGATGTTTACGCTGGTTTTTGTTAGCTCTCTTTCTTTGTATTTTCGAAACACGACAAAAGAAAAAAGGAAAAAGAAAATTAAATCATACATTAGACGGTTCATATTTTTTCATGTAAGCTTTATCTTGCTTATATTCTTTCATGGCTCTTTCGTAATATTTTAAGCTATCAAACTGATTCTTGTTAGTTGTTCTTCTTTACATTTCCAAAATACAAGAATGATAAAAGGGCAAGGAAAATTAAAAATAAAATCATACCTCTTCTCGTTTTGGTTTGGTTACGGGGTTATGATTGGCCCGCGAAGTCATTGTCGTTCTGAGATAACGTTTGGTTAAATTATTGTAGAAATCGTATTGCTGCGTTTTGCTAATGATGAAACTATTAATGATGAGAAAGAAAGTACTGTGGATGTAACTTCATGATTTCTATATACACTGTTGGATTGTCTATTCATCTTCTTACTTAGTTATTGCCTTGTGTTTCTTACCATGGAATTTCTAGACGCCTTGTAGGCAACAATCTGCAAGGTTAAGAGTGTTCGTTTCCTGAAATCCTTGACGTCTAGATTGCCAGGCAGTTGGGTCGAGAAAATCTTAGCGCTCGCATAATTATTTGTTCGCTTATTTCATTCGGTTCATTGAGCACCACCATGGGATTTGCTATCAATGTAGTCAAGGTATAACAGATACAAAGGACAAACGAGGGGTCTAAGCTGTTTTCTTGGGGGAAGTGGTCAAAAAAATACTTCTATTTTGAGAATATATCGACCAGGGAAACTCTCCCGGCCCATTGTTGAAATTTTCCGTGACCTCAGAGGAGACCAAACGAAGACCTTGCTGCCTTCGGCTATTGTTTAATGCTGCGTTGTAGTGGTATGAAACGAAATGAAAGTTGGGGGCTGAGAGAATAAAGTTACGAGTCTAGAAAGGAAGGGGGGATGGAAATGGAAAATAAAGCACGGGGAAGACAAGCAAAAATTAGAGCGGGGAGAGAAAAAAAATTCGTTCTTTCGAATAATAATTTCAGAGACAACATGTTAAACAACCGAAGCTCTATGTAACCTTACAGCATCGATGGAGAATAGAGTGAACTCATATATTTTTACAGAATGATCCGGCCATGACTCACCTAACACATGATCACGCGTTATCTGACACAAAAGAAGAAACTAGACGGGCAGACTTTCTGAGTTGTATTTGATAGTAGGTCTACCCACCTTATTTAAAAAAAAAAGACTTCAAACAAGTGCTCTTAACCTAGACTATGTTTTTCCATCCAAAGACGATTGAGCCAAAAAGAGCAATGGGGATATCACAAATAAAATTGTATCAAATTTTCTCACGCAACACGAAAAAGGAAAGCGCTCCGAATGAAATTTCATTTAAAGATCTTTATATAAACCTGCTTTACAACTCTATGCTAATTATTATCATAATTGATAGAAAAGAAGAAATTCATTTAAATGTCAAAAACTCAAGCCAACACAAACCAATCGCCCGAAAGGTTAAAAAAGAAATACAAATCAAAAACACCAATCGGTATGCAAGCAACTCCCTTTACTCTACTCCCGGGTTCCGTCCTCTATAATCAAAATCTAGCTTCTACGAATTCTCCCCTTATGCCTGGAAAGATCTTTTCTTGATAGAAGGATACCTGTAAACAGGCGTATACGTCGAAATCGTAGAAGAGTAACCAGAGGGTGCTGAAACACCCGTGATCCAAGGTCCAGTCTTAGTGGTATAAGTATCAGTGGGAGCAGGAACGCCAATGATAAATCCAATTCCGGAAGGAATGACTATGGAGTTACCACTGTTTTTTGCTTTCTCTAAGAATGCATCAAATTTACCTGCGGGGTTGATACCAAGAACCATGCCAGCTTGGCAATTTGACTTTGGGTTTGCTTGAGCACAGTGGAACCAAATTGGTTTGTTTGTGTTGACGACAAAATCGCGGGTGATATCGGTAGTATTAGTCAGGTTGAATTGGTTGAAGCCGGTATCCAAACCACCGTTGAAATTGCAGGGAGTGTTGAAATTGGATTGGGTAACGATGTGGTTTCTGGCGAGGAATCTGAATCGAATGATATCTCCCACGTTGGCGTTGATTTGGTTTGGAGAGTAATTATTGAGACCTTTATCGCCTACAGTTACATCATGAATTTCGCCATATGTTTTACTGGTTTCAGTGCTGTAAGGCGGGGTAGTCGTTGTTTGGATGGGAAGAGTTGGAGTATGTGTGACGCTGTCGGTTACAGTACAGTATTTGTCACACGAAACCATCAACGATGATGATAGTGATATCAACATTGTTTACGTCGATAACAATGTCATTCTCATAGGTAGCGACGGTATAATGCTTTTCGTTCCCGGTACCGCTTGGGTAGACCCAAACTGTTGACTTGCTTTCTCCATCATAGTTGACTGAGGTTACCGTCCCATCTACTGTGGTAACATATTTTGATGTGATGGTGGGGTAATATGGACCAGAGTTTTCTTCTATCATTGTGACTGTCTGGATGACAGTGGATGAGGGAGCCCCAGAACACACAACTGGTATAGTTTCGGTATGAAGCTGAGCGGTAGTAAAAGCTAGAAGACTACTCACGGTGGAGATGCTTGAGAACTTCATGATGAAATGAGATAAGATGAAATTGTGGAAAGAGACGGAAAAGGGAGAAGATTTAAATTTTGAAGATCGAAACAAGAGAGACGATCTAAAGATTGTGATAAGGAGAAATTGAAAATATGAAAGTAAGTAGGAAATCGGATGAAAGGCAGAATGAGATAGGGAATGAAAATATAACGAAGAACTTTCATCTACTTATGTCAAGTTGTTTCCAGGACGGCAACATTGAGATTATTTTCTTACTATTGTAGGGCTGATACCAGAATACATCACCAGTCTCTCGCATAGAACCGTTCCCGAAGGCTGTGCTCATATCTAGAGTCAGTATCCCCTGTCAAGCCAATGATCATTGGCGATGAAAACCTGTTGATGAATTGTTTGGCCGGTGATGATTGAGAGTCACATCCCGCCGCCTATTATGCCAGAAGATCGTAAACCTTAGATGAAAATCTTAAAATAACATGATTCTCAAAGTTCTGACTACTCAGCCCTAAGATTGGCATTGGGTGGCGTCTGGTGCAAATGCTCTCAGTCAGCACCTAGCGTAAGCATAAACTCTTAGCGGATGGCCTTCTGTTAGACAAACCGTATCATTGGAAAAATGAAAACAATAGAAATGTATCTAACAGGTGAGATTGATCGTATTGAGCGCGGTCGGCCCTCTTATCACGAGATTCGGCATAGGCTATCATGAGATAGGATTCCGGCTAAGTGAAATACCGATGCATTCAAGCTGTAAAGACTGAATTTGAAGAATGTTCTTGTTGAATCAATTGTGTATATTGCATGATTTGCAGTAGTGTAGAGCAACCAAAAATGTTGCCCTTTTTTTTGGTGTCGTCGGACTTGACGATTTTTCAGCACTTTCCGAACGCAAACGAATAGCCGCATGACAGGATTGTATCACTTGTGTTCCTTCGTTAAGTTGTTCGAGCTGGAAAGAGGCCGTGATTAGTGAGAATGGCATGATGGATGCCGATGCACTGCAAGCCGTTTGGCTGTCTCGTACATATCGTGGAAATCTCAGATGATTACGAGTAAACATTTCGTAATTTTGGGCTAAATAGCCGACAGCTCTAGCGAATAGGTCTAGAATTTTAAGATCATGACACCATTCCAATTGATATGAGCCGTTTGAGTGATGACAGCCATGCTGAGTCGTGTGAGAGACTTGATGCTTGACGAGAAGGAACCCGAATGCTCGCTATTCACATAGACTTCGAGGATTGCTGTGTGTGAACAGTGGCGTTCGGAGCTCTGTCGAAAAATATATCATCCCAGATGAAAGCTGTTTGTTCGTCAAGATATTATTCCACTCATTTAAATCACCACGCCGAGCGATTTTGGACTCAATTTTGCAGTGGTTTGGTCCTTCCAGCTCGGAATTCAAGAATGCCTACCGAGAAGAATACTGTTTTCAACTTGAAGTCATCATCAGTTGTGCCAAAAGAGCATCAGAAGATAGATTGATTGTCTCTAGATTAGATGCAATTCAAAGTAAACGATGGAAATTCAAAACTATCACGTGATATTCGTGCTCCATTCCCGATGTGGGTGATGTCCGACAAAATCCCGATGTCTCAGATCAAAAGCTTAAATCGTTAATAAGCTTTGGCAGACGTACGCCTTGACCCGCACATGTTTACGAGGAGAGCCAGATCTTTCCAAACATTCTTTTGCTTGGGTCTTTCAAACTTCTCCTAAAGTACGTCGATTAGACGTTGGTGTGGAATGAATAATCGATATCTGCAGATGTTCTCGGTTACTTAGCTTGCCATTCATCTTGAATAGGAGTCACTAGTATTGTGGTCACCAACCAGTAGACAATTGCGTCTAATATACTGGAGTGCACGATGATAGATTGCAAAAGCAAACCCGGCTTTCCCAGCATTACAATTATCATATCTCTTGTCTCACCCTTACTTGGAGGTCCTCGTAAATTTGGGAGGATCTAGCCATATTGATATGGATTCTGATTCATCATCGGATAGGTCACATCCCACGCAAATGCTTTTTGCGCTAGCGGAAGCCGCGTAAGTAGGGGTTTTAAAAGTAACTATCAAATGTAATGTGGGTTCGTATAAAGTCAAAGTATGGGGTAACTGTTTTTTCTGTCAACTTTTTTCCGTTTGTATTTTTCTCTTTTGGCTGTGCTGCAGCGTTTCCTTCCTTTCGACATTTCAACTTGGGTTTGTGGGTAAGGAGTGTATGTAGAGAAATTGAAATTCTGATAAGTGTTCAATATGTCTACAGGTTTGGCATCATGGAGTTTTGGGAGTAGAATGAGACGAATGGTAATAGTTGGTGTATTCATAAGTCTCGTGCTTGTTTATGGGTACGTTCTAGACCCATACTATTTGAACAATCAAGTTGTGTCGGTGAATTCACAATTCAGTCTAACCCTCTCTTTTAGATTCGCATATCGTTTGAACTATGACGAAGTCCAACCAAAACTCCAACCCCTCGACGCCGGACCTATTACAATTCTCCAGATCGAAACGATAGAACATACAGTGACACATACTAGTACCTCGATTTCTGTTTCCACAAAGACTAAATACGCTTCACCAACTTCTACTCTCGATCCCACAAAACTAGCATTTATGGTGGAGACTCGCCCATTACCGCATTTACCTCTTCAGCTCACACACATGACAAGTGTCATTCCCCAAGAGTGGACCTTCGAATTCATGGGAAGCAACACCTCCATCAATTATCTACTTGATTTCCACCACTTGCGAGATCTAGTAGCTTCGAATAAACTCACACTCGTTCCTCTCCCACCCCATTGGGATGTCTCAAGTCGTGAATCTATATCTCAGATGTTCACCGACCCGAAACTTTACAAATCCCTCTCCCCAGCGGAACATCTCCTAGTTTTCCAACCCGACTCTATATTTTGCACCAAGGCCCCCACTACTCTGAACAATTTTATACAGTACGATTACATTGGAGCGCCTTGGTCAACATACTCTACCTACGGTGGGCAACGGCGGTCTTTCTCTCCGTCGCGTATCATCCATATTACGATTGTTAGAAAAAGAAAGACGCAAATCCGGAGATGGGGCATTTGAGGATTTATGGCTCAGTAATGGGCTGAATAAATTAGAAGGAAGTAAAATGGCAAATGCAGCAGTGAGCAAGACGTTTAGTGTGGAAAGTGTTTGGGACGAAGCGCCGCTGGGTTATCATATTGGATGGTTAGGTGTACACCATGAACAGGTTAGTCATTTCATCAATTCTTTCGCAATTATGACACCGCTGGCAAATCTGTATTGTGCCTTCTGCATCATTCTCATGGTAAAGTCATATCTGTACTGCGCGTTTTAGTATCTCCTCTATCATCTATCCATCTTGTTTCTTCAAAAACACAAAACACAGAACGAAACTAACAACAACCCCCACCATACAGATCTGGGACAAACCAGATTACGTCTCCCACATAATGAACTACTGTCCCGAAGTGAAAATTATCTTGGGCATGAAACTAGATAATGACAAGCCTCAAGGCGTTTCCTAGTCTTTCGCTTTCACCTTCTCATCACCCTATCCCTATGCTGTTGTATATTGTATATGATGTATTGTATCTTTCTATCTATTAAAAGAATATGAATCGAATCATGCTTGAGTAGAATAGCAAAATAACCTTGGAGACAAAATCCAAAGAAAAGAGACTCCAATCCCTAAATTCAAATCTCAAGTACGCTGTCTCAATAATCCACCATTACTATTCCTATTCCCATCGCCATTGCCACCACTCAACTGCTACGACGGATGATCGAATGACCCGCATGCTGGCTCGGCCTCGGAAGCCCAATATTATTATTATTCAACCGATTGGGCACCGCTCCCTGTACATTTTGTACTTGTATCGCATGTCCCGATTGCGGAAGAACGAGATGACCTGCTCCGTTTGAGTTTGCACCTTGATTCCCACTTCCTCCGCGGCCACCTCCACCTCCTGCATTCCCGGCTATTAATGCACTTCCTGCTCGAGTTAATTGAGCTTGTGCTTGACCATGAGCCTGACCATGAGCCAACAGATTCCCCACCCCCGACCCACCATACATAGCCCCCACACAGAGATATTCAAATAGCACTTCTCTCTTCGCCACCTTTTGCTCTTCGTGAAAAGGTGCGCAGGTTCTGCAGTCGCAGGGAGGATTTTTGGTTCCGCGCTTTGGACTGTTTTGATTATGCGCGAGATGAGCCAGGAAAATGGCGAGGGCTGCTGCATCGTTAGAGCGGTGATGCGTTCCTACTGGGAGATCGTAGGTGGTGATGAGGGCGTCGAGGGTTTTTGCTAGGGAGAGGGAGGGAGTTAGTTTTTTGTCCTAAAAAAAGGGTAGAAGAGGTGTGATAATAGGGTTTGGTGTATGTGCGTGAGAAGGGATGAAAGAGTTTGGGTATTGTGGGGGAAAGGGAAGAGTTATGTGATGCTGAAATTTATGAGAGGGATAAGTAAAGAAATGAGGAAACAAACTATCCATCGCCAAAAAATCTCTAATTTTCAAAGGATGTTGAAAATCTTTCGGATATCGTCCCTTAGCGTCTAGCTTCGGGTGAACTTCAGCGTTGAGCATAGATGCTCTGACGATACCATTTGCAACTTGAGCGCACACATTTACTCTGAATTCCATATTAGTTTCTAACAAACACACAGTAAGAAATGGATATATAACAAAAAAAGTAGACCAAGGTAGGAAAACAAACCGTCTAATCTCTTCCAACAAGTCAATTTTGCTTTTCTGTGTTGGTAGATGATCCGAATCCGAACTCGAGTCTGAACTTATAACTGCCTGTCTATTTCCTCCATTTCCTCTTCTACCACTACCGATTGCATTCCCATTCGCTGCTCCGTTCCCATTATTGTTATTTCCACCTCTTCTTCCTCTCCCCTGTGACCGACTCCGCGATCGATTTCTACTAGTCCCAGCATTCGCTTGAACGCTCAAATTAGAATTAGGATTTCGAGAGTTGGACATCAATCTCGCTATACTGATCGCTGTGCCAGGCGGTAAATTGATTTGTAGATAGCGGTGTAAAACATCCCGGATGAGATTTGCTAAAGGAATATTATTCAGATTGATTGGGTTATTTTGTTGATTATTGGCGTGGTTGTGTGGGGTGTTGTGTGCATGGGGGTGTGGAGAAGGAGAACGAGAAGGAGAGGAAGACGGGGAGCGGTGTCGATGATTGTGATTATGATTGTGATTGGGGTGATGATGGGGATGATGGGAATAAGGATTTTGGTGAGGATGATTGGGGAAATTCATTTTCCGTTTGATTTTTGGGAGCGGAACTAGAGCAAGTGCTTGAGCTGATGGTGTGACAATTCGGGGAGGTGGAGCAGGACCGAGAAGATGAATGTGGTTATGTGGTGGAGAGGGTTTCCTCGGCGGAGGAAGGATGGCAGGAGGAGGTAATACGTGAATATGATGAGTCGTAGGAGAAGGTGGAGGCGAAGGAATGTATGGTGGTGGAAGCTGTTGGATAAAATGTATATGTTGCCTTGGTGGTGATTTGGGACGAGGAAGAGGTAGATAAACTTCCGGTTCTGGCTCGACAAAATGAATTTGCTGAACTGCAGGCTCTAATCTATGTCTCAAGTCTGGGCCAAGAGGAACACGGTGGAATCTCTGTGGGTAGAAAAGCTCGGGCTCGGGTTCGAAATCGCACTCCTGTTCTAGATGGCATATGGGACTGATAGGACGAAATTGTTCGTAGTTCTGTTCAAGGGGAGGAAGTATGGGTGCAGGAAGAGGATAAATGGGTGTTGGAAGAGGATATCGACGATGAGGTCTTGACAAAGCGAGAGAAGCGGGATTGATATATCGTTCCCTTTTCTGTCTTCTTCCGGGGCCCGGGCAAAAGAGACCAAGGCAGAAATCAAGCATATAGGAATGTTTTGAGGAGGATTCTTGAGCTGAAAATCAAAGATCTATGACTCTTATTTATAATAAATGATTGCTCGCTATCGTGATACAAAAATGTAAATGTAACGAGCAGCTCCCGACACAGTGGTGGTTACTAGTCAATTGTGCAGTTTTTGCGTTGATATATTCATCCATGTGTCAATCGGCGGACCAATTGAACTGATTTGGGAGGCGAAGCTCTGGCAAATGTTTGGAGAATTGTTTGCGTAGCACAAAAATACCTGGGCATCGAGGCTGAGTGACGAAAAGTTTGACGACGCTACGTATGTTTGCTCTATCGTATTGTCTCATTGTACCACAATTTGACTATCGAAGATCATGAGTTGGCTCTCTCAGTGGAATGACCGAGTATGGAATAGATAAGATCCTATTCAGATGCCTCATTGATAAAATGCTAGCTAGGTCAGGTATTATCCTCAGAAAACTAAGGAATCTGTAGGGATACCGTTCATCGCCTCATGCTAGCCCCAAATATCGCTAGTTCACGGAACTTCCGTTGATGACTTACCTCAAGAATGCTCATTGGTAATATGTTCAACATGTATACATGCCGGTTCTCCATGCATTTACTGCAAGTGCTAATCAGAATTGCACAGAAAAACGTCCCTTTCGTCCCACGCGGGAAGGAATTGTAGAAAATGTGATCGTTCGGAGAAAAGGGGAACTTTCCACTTTGTAAAATCTACTACAGATAAGAAATTTCGGACCGAAAAATGTGGCGAATAGTCATTGAAGTGATGTTTCACGCGAGACAAATATACCAACCCAAACTTCCGGGGAGCGATGAAGAACTTTCGTAGATTACCTATATTAACATACTATATATTGTAGACGAGACGCTTAGTAGTCTGACTTTTGTCCAGACCTAAAACTCTACAAGACATGAATAGCTCAATGTGAACAACCACCATCTTCAGAGTCCTCGCCATCATTCTCCTTCGTGGCTTTCTTGCCTTTTTTCGCTGATCCCTTCTTGAACATTGAATCAAGAGTCTTTTGTCCCTTTTTGAGAACATCTTGCTTTTTTTTATCAGCTTGGCCCTGAAACTTCTTCCGTTCATCTGCTCCTAAGTCCTGTAGGCGTTTCTCTTCTTCCTTGAACTCCTTGCTTTCAGGATCTCTTTCGAGTAGGCCCTCGAGTAACTTGATCTCCTTAGCCCAAGTAGATGGATCCTCAACAGTCTTTCCCTTCGCGTCTTTCTTCTCAGTTGGTGTTTCAAGAACCATAGGCATGTTTTGAAAAGGTTCAAAGTTTACGACATTATGGAAGGCTCGAAGGCCAAGAAATCCAGTACCGATGTTGGCGTGTAGATCCCGATTTGATGCTAACGGCGACTTGCTGTCATTGAGATGTAGAGCTTTTAGGTATGGTAATCCAACAATCTTGTCAAACCCATCCATGGTCTCCTTAAAAGCTTCGGGTGATCTCAAATCGTATCCTGCAGCAAATGTATGACATGTATCTAGACAAACACCAACTCGGGTTTTGTCATCAATAAGGGCAATAATGTCCCGAAGGTCTTCCCATGTAGAACCAATTACATTTCCAGCTCCAGCCATATTCTCTAACAATGTGATTACCGTCTTTGTTGCTTTGTGAGCTTTGTTCAATTGAGCAGCGATACGCCCGATTGCTTCCGGTCTTGGGTTGCCACCTGTACTTCCCGGATGAAAGTTGTAAAGTTTAATACCTAATTGTTCACACCTTTTCAGATCGTCCAAAAAACAACCGTATGCTTGATTGGCTTTCTCTTCATCTGGTTGCGCCAAGTTAACTAGATATGAACAATGTGGGAGAACGAATTTCGAGGCGTCATATTTCTGCTCTTTGCACAAAGCCTTGAATTGATCGCGAGCTTCAGAAGCTAGAGGAGGATTGACCCATTTTCGTTGAGATTTGAGAAATAAAGCGAATGCATTGCCACCAATACGAGAGGAGTTATTGACTGAATTTTGGACGCCTACGATAAATATGTTAGAGAGAATCTTCGCGTCATGAAGAGGGATTCACTTACCTCCTGCACCACTAACATGAGCGCCAATATGCACAGCCCTTTTTAAAGTCGAAACCAATGTGCGTTCTACCAATGGCATAGTTTCTGCTTCTTTTTCTTCTTTTGTTTTTCTCTTCTTCGTGACCTTTTTCTCTTCCTTGTCCTCTTCGTCTTTGTCCTCGTCTTGCTTGAGTTTGCGTTTCACAGGAGCTTTCTCTTTGGTGACCACTGCAGCCTCCTTCTTCACATTAACAGTCTTAGCTGTTTTCGGGATATCAACAGCTTTTTTTTCGCCTTCGTTTTCGTCTACGTCCTCGGAACTGCCACTATCTGCTTTCGCTTTGCTTCGGATACCATTCGCAGCTAATTTTGGAACCTCGGTATTCTCAGATTTTATATCATTTTTCGATGCAGCAGACAAGATTTCAGTTTTTGGAACATCTGCAATTGCAGCATTAGCATTTCGACCAGATCTTCGAGGAGGCATTGTTGCTTGCGAGTGACGTAGTTCTTTTCAGTTCTCAAAATTCATAGCTGAAGATTTCCAAACGCGTGAAGGAAACACACATTAGCCAAGCGTGTCTCGCGAAGGCACGTGACAATACATTATCTCAATTTATTTGTATGTTGCCTAGTTAGACCCCCTATGGACAGCCTGGTGGGATTTTACGGCGTATTGTGAGTATTAGAAATATATATTGCAGCTAAGTGTAAAAAGTAAGGGTATCTATCTGCTTTCTGTGTAATGACTATGGTCCAGCCTTTCTACTCTCGACGATCTTCATAACGTCCGCGGCACTATTTGCATCCCCCTTCCTCTTCTTCGATCCTCTTTTCCTCTTACTTTTACCTTCCCCTTTCTCGTCTTCATCGTCGTCTCCTTGACCCCACGCCGATAGCTTGACTTTCGTCTCGTCGAAATCAGCTTCGTCTTCAAATCGACTGCTTCCGAATCCCATATCCATATCTTCCATATCACGATCATCTTGTTGAAGCATCTTCTTCCGCCGCGCTTCCTTTGCGGCCTCTTCTGCTGTTTCGGGAACTTTCGATATATGGTTAAGAGTTGAGGCTTTCTTGAGGGCGGCGAGAATAGTTGGATCACTGAAAGCCTTTGGCTTGGTCTCATTGTCTGTTGTTTCAGGTTCAGATTCGCCAAAGTAGTTTCTAGGTTTGCTGGGTCGTGGAGGTGGTGCCATACTTCCAGATGTAGCTGGCTCTTGCGGCGACTCTTGCGGCGATTCTTGAGTCTTGGGCTTCTTTAGTTGACTATCTTCGGTAACTTCTCCGTCTTCAGCCTCCGCATCTGATTCCGAATCATCGTCTTCAAGCCCAGCTAATGGATCATAATCATCCCCAGCATCGTCAAAGATGTCGATATCTTCTTCCTCTGGTTCTGGTTCTTTTGGTATTTCTGGAACTTCCATGCCCAATGGTGTTGCATCCTTGTCAGGCATTAATAGACCATGCCCTTTCTCCACTTCCGGTTCCACCTGCAGTTTCCTAATTTTCCTCTTCTCGTTTCCATTTTCATCAACAATAATGAGAACCTCTCGCCCTTTTCCGTCCATTTCAATCCTGCTCGTAGATTTTGGAGCTCCAACTTTTTTGAATCTTGCTCCTAGAGATGGCTGCGCTGCCTCCTTTGCCGCTTGCCTCGCCGCTTTCATCTCTGCCAAAATCTGATCTCGAGTCCTCTTCTTGCCCGGGATCAAACTCGGCGGTGCCATCTCTCCCTTTTTTTTGCTTTTCTCCTTCTCAACAGCGACCACGTCTTTTTCCTCTAACCTCTCAAACTCGTCGTCCAAATTATCTGGCTCTTCAGCATCATCTTCGTCCTCATTATTCCCACTCAAAACATCTTCACCCCTTCTAACCCGCTCCAACAACTTATAATCCAACCCCTTTACTAAATGCGTACTTTGAACATCCCCGCCCAATATCTCATCCCTCAATTTTGAAAATGTAGATTCGTCAATCTGTTGTAACTTCATCATCTCCTCTAACGCCTTGACTCTGGATGCTTTATCATCTTCATCCTCATCGATGCGCTGTTTCGTGCGATCGGTATAGCCGGCTGCGAGTTTCGAACCTTTAGGTGCGGCGACTGAGCGAAGTTTCTTTGCTTGCGAAGGATTATTTAGAGCTCGTTGTTCAGCCACTTGACGTGCGAAATCCACACCACCCACGGAACGGCTAGGATGTTAGTTAGCACTCACTGTATAATCTTACGCAAATGGACTGTTCGAGCCTTACGGTGTCATGGGTATTGAACTTCGCATTCGAGAACCTAGGGCAGATGGTGTTGCGCCATCTCGTCTTGGAGTTGCACCAATGCTTGAGCTTTTGTCTCCCGTTCCGGCTTGTCTCGCGGGCGTATCTAGTACAAGTTTACGGAACTGCTGATTATTCATAATGATTGTGTTTTGAATTATGGAATTCAAAAAAATGCTTGAGTCGTGAAGCTGTCCCTGTGTAGGTAGGTAGCTTTGGATTGCGGCAATATTCAAAGCTAATCTCACCGCCTCAAATTTATTACGTAACCCACCCACAAATCTCTCTCGAACATAATTATTGTTAGGCACACACAAGAACACATCTCAAATCTTTTCAGACATGTATTTGAATCTTGATTTATTTTCATTCTATGATGAATTTCGAAATCCTTTATTTAGAGCATCGAACATAAGTTCAAGAATCCCGCAGCCACGATCAATCCGTATCCCATTTCCTCCCTTTCAAGAGATGGAAGTAACTACATTTCGAAGCTCCATACTACATCCTTCGTACTCTCCCTGGGTACTATGTTTACCATGAACTCCTTCTTTGGCGGACCTGTCTGAGTAGACATGTTCTCGAGATCTTGGCCTGGATCAGTCCAATCATTTCCGTTTGAGATAATATCAAATCTCATCGCAAACATTCCTGCGAAGGCCGCAATGATATTTGTTACAATTCCCTGACCTGGACACCTATTTGCTCCTCCTCCAAAGACACGGAATGCATTTGCAGGAGTTTTACCGTAGAAGCGATCGAAACGAAAGGAATCCGCCGAGTCTCCCCATGCACGCTTGTCAAAGTGTAGTCTCTTGTTCGCGATGATTACCAGAGAATCCTTCTTAAGTCGGTATTGTTGATCTTTACCGACAAAAGTGTCTTCCATAACGAGACGGGGTCCGGTACCAGTTGATCGGTATCTCAAAGTTTCCAAAATCAATGAAGAAAGGATTGGTAGTTGGATTAGCTTCTGTAGGTCGATCTTACAGACTATCTCTCCTTGAGCTGAAACTTCGGATGTGGTCAATTCTCCTACTTGGGACCGGACCTGTTCGAGAAGATTGGCATCAGAAAATAAGTGATAGATTACCCAAAATGCTGAAGGAACTGTGTTGGATAAGGCCGCAATATTGATCAGATTTTCATTTTTCGCCAGGTCGCTGTGACGACTGTCCGAATGATCGACTAGCAATTCAAATCTATTTTTCATGAGATCTGAGCCTCTAGCTTGCCCACCGTTCGAGAAGTAATCCTGGAATCCCTTTACGACTGCAGCTCGACCGCGCACAGCTTCAGTAGCGATGATGTTCGACAGGAAATCTGGCAACAAAAGTTTTAATGAACCGTCAGAGAAGGCCCTATTTTCGTTAGTTCTCATTCTGTGCAGAGGATGTTGTGTGATGTTGACTTACCAAAATCCTGCTTCGACCTCTGGATCCCGAAAAGGGTTCTTATCCCCATACAAACTTTCTGTAATAACAAGTGTCAATTGGTGTTGCAGCCATTCCAATAAGTTGATCTGATTGTTTTGATTGTTTCCAACGAGATTTGCCCAATTATCTAGTTGGTCTTTCGTAACTTGTGTTCCGATACGAAGCATTCTTTTTATGGACTCCGTGGAAGCGAGTGTACCCTGGATCACCTTGATTCCTTGGAGCATCAGACTTGGATTCTCTTCTGAGGACATATTGGTGTGCATCCTGTCTGCCGCAGCTTTAGTCAAGCCAGCCAATTTCACTGTGAATTGTGCCTCCAACTCCCATAGCGAAACTGCTTTATATTGACGATGAAGAGATGGAATAAAGTCGGCTGAAGTAACGATATGAATGTCTTTATGGAGCATGCCGATTGTGTAGATTGGAAAATCCCATTTTTGACTGTTTGAATTCAAAGAACAACTTGTTAGTGCCTGAAACCATTTTGAAGACACAATCGGGGAGTGTAGTTCACCTCAAAAGATTGTAGTATTCGTTTCTGTGCCAGAAGAGACCGATTACATGGCCAATGAATGGTATGGTTGAGCGAATGCGAACTGGCTCCATAGAGTTTTGCTTAGACTTGCGGGGTAAGAGTGCATTAACACAGAATATGACGATGCCCAAGGCAAGGACATAATAGATTTGAGAGTTCTCAATCATCTTTTCAAACTGTGTTTTATCAGAATGTTTTCGCAGCTTGTTGATGCACAACTCGAATGTGTATGTGTGAGATTGTTAAATCGAAGAGAGGAAGAAAAGGATGTCTGAAGAATTGTTACTTTTAAAGAATTGTTGGTCTTTTAAAGTAAATGTCCCTTTCAAACATCGTCCTACTGAAGCGATCGTACTTACTAGAGATATTGTTGGGTTTTCATGAAAGAATGGATCCTTTGAAGATAAAAGGACTTTTCTATATGGCACGATGCATTGCCCTAATATTGCAGCTTCGAAATTCATAATCGATAATATAGCGCTTGGCTGTCTGTAGCCGAGGGACCCACTCATTATACACCAGCTAAAATCAAAATGAGCTATTTAGTTAAGGCCAATCCACTTTCGATTCACTTCGTAGAAATACCAGCTACTTGCAAACTATCCAGTCACTCAAAGTATGCGAGGTCTTTATTGTTTCTATCATCCTGTTTACTAGTTTTGCATCATATTTTTCCCCGTTATCCTTCTATTCAATATCATGCTGTGATCTTGTATACTAAACATGATGTATATAACACGGGAGCTTTGATTTGATATTACCACTTTTATCCATGTATTCAGAAAGTTTACTTGACGATGAGTTAACAATTTATACCGTTGTATCAACGACTTTTCCAACGTGTACTGACTGAGCGATTTAGCGGAATAGTGACTGCAAGTCTACTAACGATCCCACTTACCACTTCAACATTCACTCTTTTTTTTTTCTCGTCAAATGATTTCTCGGAGATTGATAGTCTAATCGTTCGCCGTTTATGCGCATTCGCCAATTGCTCACCCTACGCGGTTTTGATTCACTTGGGTGGTAGAGCGATTCATTACCATTATTTGCACAAAGTTCAGACAGCTATAGCGAAAATACAGCAGCCAATGTTGTTGCTAACCTGATTACTCCTATTGCATACAGACTGCAAAACGTTCTGCCATCATGATATCGCGAATCGAGGATACCTCGGTTCGTTGGTGAACTTCAGATGTTTCTCGTCATTCCTGTGGCACTTCCATCACTTGACAAACGATCAGTAGTAAAATGCAAGTTCTCCTGTAAGTTGTGAGTTTCAGTCTTATCTGAGTATTTCTCTAGATTTCCTGTTCGTTTCCTGTAAGGATGGATAGTAATTTTGAAGTAAGCTACATAAGTTGGTGTTGGTTTCGTGACAATCTTCTTCAACAAGCATCCAACGCTTGACTTGCCCTGTTATGATATTTCTTGAAGCAGAGTTCTATTTGTATTCATTTCGTTTTTTAACATTCTCTGCGGCTTCGTATCACTAATTTTGGTCAAAGAAAAGTGGTGGGAGTGTAGGTGTGTGGTAGTGCAAATTGACCGACTGAATCAAAGCTATCTGAGGTGTAATGGTGGTCTATTTCCTGAATAATTTTTTCGTTACAATTGAGTCCATGACTATAAGATATCTATAGGTGCTATCTTTTGTCTCCAAATCCTTGACCTTAGGTAGCTCTTTCCATTTCGTGCAATCCTCTTTCGCACTTGCTTCAAAAATGTTGCTCTTCATGATTGAATCATTCCATTCAAATGTTTCTCCTCAATCTTCAACCTTCATGCATTACACATTATTATTTGATACCAATTGATCTCTTAACCAATCATGGATTCTCCTTTCAGTGATACATGCTTCGAACATGTGTCTCGACAAAAAGAATTGCTCATGCTCCACCAACTTCGAAAGCAAAACAGTGCCGTCGATGACGCACTCTTTCCCTACGGACTAGTTCTGGCAGACCTACCACCTTGGGAGGTGCAATCTATAGTACATGATCAATATACCGTAGGCTTAGACGTGGAGCGAACAGTTACATACGTATCTGCTGCTCTAGACTATATCAATAGGAAGTCCCGTAGACTGGGAACCGATGCATGGCTCTTCTGTGTCGATAGAAACTTGAACCAAGTATCTTGGAGTCATGAATTATTCGTTCCTTACCAATACGATCAGGCAGTTGCAGAGCAGAGAATTGGCAAAATCCTTATGGTTGCCAAAATCGAGCAATCAAAGATAGACGCAAACAGTATACCATGGAAAAACACATGTCCAGACGGCACGAACCTATCTGGTCAGCTCAGATGGTTTCCCCATCGCTATGAGCAACACACCGATCTACTCCTCAATTACAATTTCCTCATTGTTCAAAATGAGTATCACTTGGGGGATTTGTGCGGGGGCCGCTACCTCAGGGTATTGAAGATGCATAGATCGCGAGAGGGGCGATCCAGGACTATACCGTTCAACCAACTTTACCCGGGAGCTCTATTAGTGCTACAGATATCATCAAGGCGCAGTTTCCACTCAATTTCATACAAATACCTACCCCTCAAGGCCCTGAAGGCGCTGCACAGATCACGAGAGAGGTGGTCCTTGATTATGCTATTCAATCAGTTTTACCCGGAGGCTCTATCAACAGACAGAATTTTCCACTCAGCCCTATCCAAATATCTACTCCTCAAGATTATCAAGATTATATACAAATCATAAGGAAGGTTGTTCCAGATTGTATTATTTAATCAACTTTAACCAACAACTCTATGAGCAAATCAAATATCATTAAATCGAAGTTTTCATTCAACAATCTATTTTTCAAGATTTCGAATATAGCACATAAATTACAAAAGAGGTGATCCTGGATTATGCAATTCTACCTGAAGACTTTCCAGCGTCCCAAATATCATCAAATCAGAATTTTCACTCAACCTCATCCAAATACCTATCCCCCAAATACCTGCCCCTCAAAATCCCGAAAGCTATACACAGATCACATCAGAGCTTATTCCGAATCATACAATACCATCACCTTTACCCGAGAGCTCTATCAATACTCCAAATATCATCAAATCAGAGTTCCCACCTAACTCCATCAAACCACCTACCCTCCAAATACTTTACCCTCAAAAGCCCCCATAAAAATCAAGAAAGAAGAATGCCCACATCCTTTCATCCAACCACCTCCGTTTGGAGAATTTCCCGACGCTCAGAAAATCAAAGAGGAAGATGCACCTCAGCATTTCGCAATTCAAAATTTCTGCGTTGGGGGGCTTTGGAAGAGGGATGGAGTTTATGAGGAATTAGTAGGTTTGATGGGTGAGTTTGGAGTTTGATGATCGGATTTTTGGGAGGCTACAAATGTTGAATGTTGGAGGGTGGGTTTGATGATTTGGAGTCAGACGGTTGGGATAGTGAAGTTTCATTGATTTAGTCCGTTCAGGATGTGAAGTTGTAAATTAGATTAGATGGGAAGATTCTACAGGCGGTTATGCAGCAAGTCAAGTGTTGGGTGTGAAGTGGTTGGAAAAGCAATACAGATAGGTATGAATAAAGATGCAAGCAGTATTGACTACAGATTCAGCCCTTGACAATCGCAGATATATGCTGCTGAGAATGACTAGCGTGTTATTTTTAATTTTCCAATGAATACTAGGTATTATTTACAAGCCAACAATCACTTCGTCTCGGGTGTTGAGCAGTTGATGCGTGAGATTTTGTGAAGCTTACGGACTAAGATCCAGGGATATTTGTCCGATATGATACCTCATTGTTACATCAGTCTCACCTACCTCTCTCTTCTTCATGTATCTTAGTACTTGCTTCGCGGGAATATTATGATTGTTTATCGAGATAAAAAATATTCTCATTTTTATTAAGAGTTCAATTGTTCAATAATCTAGAGATATAATGGTTTTCTGATTCGAAGCTATAGTATATGAAGAGACGTATAAGAAGATACTTACTTAAGAGATGGTTCTAGGCCTCCATATATTCTGAACGAGTTGATAGATTAATCTTATAATCCCTCATTTTTCTTTCCATTCGCTTATTGCCCTGACTAAAATTTTAGAGGTAATGCTAGGTCATGTTGAGAAAGGCGTTCTGCCTTGGGAGCTCAGTCATGAGATATAAAGCTGTATGTATACTTTATATAGATACCTCCCTCCCCTCATTTTCTGGGCAATACATGGTATGATATACGATATGTCTTTATGGTAAGTTCAATTTTGGTATTTAGGGAGGCCAATGGTTGATTGTGTTTGAATGATAATACTTTAAGACTCATACATAACAAAAGAAACACAAGATCATGAAAATGAATATTCATTTTTACATCAAAATATTTCTGACTATCGACCTAAGTATTGAAAAAATGACATGGTCTGCCAGCAACATTTGTGTTTTTCACTTTATCGATCGCTCATGACTTTACGGTGTAAGGAGATTCATAAGAATCATAGAATTTTGGCCGCTAAAACAAAATAGAAGAAATGAAAAAGAAACCCTTCCCGCTTCGCTATGCTGTGCCATCATGCTGTCTTGTGAATTGTTACCACTTCGTATTAGTATGACTCTCAGACTCGTTCATCGTTTTCGCTCCTCCGCAGTGTTCGTGCCTCCATCCGTCCATAAATTTATCAATCTATCCATACCCACAACTCCCTAGCGAAATCTCCATGAAAGTCCCCCTGTCTGTCATATCAAATGACAATACCTCTCTTTCCACGCCTCTGTCCCCCATAGACTACCCAAAATCACTAGAAATGCTAGATCTAAAACATCTCCCATTCCTCAACTTCCTCGCTTTCTTCAACACTCTCGAGTTCCTCAGGTGCACCAGCCTCTGCAACATCATCACGATCATCATCACTAGGCATGACCCAAGATGCGTCAGATTGAATATCGCTATTATATTCGAGATCGACTTTCTTTATAGGGCTAGAGGCGGCTTCTGGAGTAGAAGGGGGAACGGAAGGGAGATCTAATACGAGTGACTCTTGCATCACGTCTTTGCTGGTGATCTCCGGGTTATCAGTGTCTGAAATGTGAAATTCATTGGGAGCGAGATTATCGATGGCGGTCATCTCAGCGTTGGCGATGGTTTCATTGATGGGATTGACCTTGTTGTTGACTGCCTGATGAGTAGTAGTGACATCACTGATCTTGTTGACTTCGATGGCGGCTTTATAATCGACAGCTAAAAGATCAAGCGCAGTACTTGCTACAGCAGCAAAATTATCTGTGCTTATAGAAGTATCCGGTCTTGAATAACCCCATTGTCTAAGATGCTGGAACGTAGCATGGTCAAACTTTACTGGCTGTTTATCAGCTAATTGACGTCCTCTAACTGCTCGACCTAGAATCATAGCTTTCATGATGTCGGAATGGCTTGGCTTGGGCTTCCACTCTTCGAACATAGTCATATACTCAGCGCGATCTGTGCTCTTAATCGATTGATAGCTTCGACAACCTGGATTGGGATCCTGGACCGTGACTGCTAGTGGCTTTGGCGAAAGATTGGTCTTCAATGTTTTTGGTACACAATTAGCGGCAACTTTATCATGACGAGGAAGATAGGCTTGGAAGACTTCTTGATCGTAATTATCATATTGACCTGGAGCATGCTCTTCGACAGTGATGTAATTGTTTGATGAAATGGAGTTGTTTCGCTGTTTCTGATCACGCATTGATTTTTCGAGAAAACCATAGTGACCATCAGTCCAAGCGTGATCTATCGTACGAAGTGACTGAAGGTTGGATTTGGCACTCATTGCGGTATAGTGAGATTCAAGATGTGCAAATATGACACGAACAGAGTCGTGGTCTGCTGCAAACGTAGAGCAAATCGAGTTGTCCATTGATGGCTCAGTCTTTTGAGTAGTACTATCGCTGCAAGCACGATTTATAGCTTCGATTTTCTCCTCAAAAGTTTTTTCTATCTTTGTGTTTCTGTTGACAGGCGTGTCTGATTGCATTGAAGGTACCAGCTCTTTTGCTGTATTCATTCTTGGACTCAGCAAATTTCTCGTCTGCGTCGGACATCGATTTCTTGAGTTTCGGATTTTCAAGTGACTCATTTCTGCGAAGAATTCCCATCGAAAGATCTTTTCTCTCCGCGACTGCTGTTTCCATTTTTGTAAAAGCATCATCTTTAGCACTTCTTGCGGCAAGGTAAGCGCAGTAGGCATCGGCAATAGAAGCTTTGAATTCCTCTTTTGCTTCTCTCATTTCATTCAATTCTGGGAAAGTCATGTATCTGTAGTCCTTGAAATAACTGCGATCCAAGCATGTCGCATCGTTACGTCTTGCATCGAGTTCCCTATCTTGGTGGATTTCATTGGACTTGTTCTGCTCATAATATTGCCGCGTCTGGCGGAGCGTCTGAAGATAAGCTTTGCGTTCTAGATACCACGTTCTCTCGGAAGCTCTTGAAGCTTCTTGGGAAACTGCATCACCATCGTTGAGATCGATATTTCTGCCCGGTGAATATAGAGCTATTTCCTCTTGACACTTCTGTTGCATAATCTTAAGAGCATTGAGGTTCTCTTGAAAGATAACTTGAAACGAAAAATCATCACTAGCAGTATTGGTGATGCTATCTTGTGTAGGAAAATCTCTTGCCCTATCACTTTCCTTAGCTCGGTCAAGATTTGCAGTGGTCTCTCCTCGGGCAGTATTATAGGTAGAAAAACCAGGGGTGGTATGGGTCTTCTCTTTCGGTGTGAGTAAAGTGTTCGCTTTCACCTGAGCATGCGCGGCTTTTGTTATCTCACTTAAACTCTCTCGAGAAGTATGGACCCCGGAATCATTCAATTTTCTCTCTTCATACTTCTTTCTTTCTAAAAGTAACGTCTTGTATACCAGTTCCTTTTGACGAGCTCCATCCATGAAAGTAGCTTGTTTTTCAGGAAGATCTTTCAAACCTTTGGTTTCGGAATCAGAGCCGCAATTCTTCGTCAGCTGTTGTATTACTCGGCCCGTAGGATGCTTCGACGAAGGATCTTCTTCCCGATAATTGGAGGAATCTGGTTGAGTGCTTTCAATGGATCTTGCGTGCTCGGAGGCTCTTCGCAAAGTCTCACTCTTTAGACTATCGATAAAGTCGTGCTTATTATGGTTTCGCTGGGCTGCCATCAATATATTGCATTTCTCATGTGATAGAGTGTTGAAAGATTGTGCTCCCTTAAGAATATTCTTCAAGTCTACGCTGGTCGGCGAACAAGCTGGAGCTTGTAACCCCTCGATAACAAACAATATACGGGCTGTAAACTTGTCCATTTGAAGTCGTAAGCTGCTTGAATCTAACTCTTTATGCTGAGCTCGATATATGATGGCTCTTTCAAAAGCAGCCTTTTGCTCACTTTCCATGCCTTTCCAAGCTTCTCCGGCAGAAAGAGCTTCAGTTGCTCTTGACCATGCTCTCTGAAGCCACATCATATCTGAGTTTTCTTGCTCGTATTGTGGAACCTGCTGTTCAGAAAGATCGAGTGAAGTAGTGTCGACATTGAGAAGTTCTCTGTTTAACTCAATGGAACCGTAATTACCGGTTGAATTGACGGGACAGTATTTCTGGATATCTCGAAGAATCTTTTGCTGGGGATCGGAGTTGGCAGAGGAATAGGATGATTTGTTGGAAGCTTGTTGGTTCTTTTTGTTGTGATCCTCCTTATCAAGGTCCACATTGCTTGGAGGATGGGCAATGCAAGTTTTGTTGAAGTCGTTGGAGCTTTGTGCTATTTCTTCTGGAGTAATCGTCAAAGGCGTCTTGGCTTGCTCTTGAATCTTCTTTTCCTGTAAATTTGAGGATTTACTAAGAATTCGAAGGTTGTTGAGATCGACGAAAGGTTGTGGAAGGTCCTGAATCTCTTTAAGGGGACTTTCAGAAGATTGAGAAGGGGTACGAGGACGCTCATTGATCTCAAGAGCTTTTTGGTTGACTTGCATCATGGAAGTGGTAGAATCAGCTCCAAAGGCCTTCATGATGGCATCGTGTGGCTCCTCCATGGCAAAAAGTCGTGATGCCACTGAACCAATCTTTTGAGAGTCTTTGTCTTGAAGATTCTTGCTGTCGAGGTTCATCATATTGAATCCTCGAGCTAAGATAGGATAAGATATTGTCTGAGCATCATGTTGTTGAAGCATCTCGGTGCTTTCTTGTGGAGGCATGGAGTCTTTGAAAGGTATAGTCTCTGAAATTTCCTCCATTTCGTTGAGAGGAGGTGGCTGACTTGCCATGATTGTTATGCTTTGTTGTTGGTGTACTTTTGTGCAATAAATTGTCTTTGAAAGTGTTTTGGAGTTGTAATACAAGAATTGTTGCGGGTACAAAGAGGATGTAAAATTGCAGGTGAGGTTGATGAGTTTATATGACCAGATTATTAGCTAGTACGGTCAAACGTCTGAGATCACGGGACTACAGCTTGAGTGAATGCGCTGCCGTGACAACACTTGATATGAATACAGCACCCTATAGATGAGTTGATGGCAGTGAAGTCCGAGTCTTTGTTGAATCAAATCAAGTTTCAACTTGGAATCTCTATGATTCACTTTCGGCTGATTCCAGAAACGTTTATCTAAAACTTCTGTACCTACAGTCCCCCGACCTCCTCTTACTCTATCCCAAAACAGAAACTTTCCATACGGTCCTTTCATTGGATCATCAATCATGGATCAATTCTCCGTAACTGCGGATTCCGCGAGAATTGATTTTCTACGGGTCATTGAAAATCGTCAGGTCTTACTGCAACAGATCCTTGGTCAAGTCGTTGCTACTTCTGGCTTGACTCAAGAGATGACCTCGAACTTCCTCAATCTTTACAAAAATTTTGAGGGTTTGTTGCTTGCAACTCCTGCCCCAGGCCTAGTCTATCGCTACGGTGAACGCGTCGCCCGAGTCACCTTCCATTCTCTACAGACTGTAGGCAAGAATTATAGTGGACATATCTGTGTTAACCACCTTTGGAAAGGCGATGGAGGTTTTGTTCTGGTTGAAGACGTCTTCTTATTTGGCAGACCATCAGAGATCTTTCGATATGATTCCAACGAAAGCCCACCCGTTCGTAGACGTACAACCCTCTTAAACAACGACAAAAAGAAGCTCTTCAGCCAACCAATGATTTACGAAATCATAAGCCATGCTGATCGTCTCATGATGGGAACCTTGTCTGGATTGTTGTTACCCCAAGATCGAATTTGTTTCTATATCGAACGATTGGGTTTGATTGAAAGTCTCGCCGATGAAGTCAACTGTCTCTTGCCTGAGGAGCAACAAGCTGACGTCGAAGACCATGCAAACGAAGACGCAATGTGAGTACAGCACTTCTTATTCTTTCATCGAAACCCCACTGTATCACAAGATTTTCGCGAACATGAAGTTGAAGATCCATTCCGCACTTTTATTCTAGAATCCTAGAGCCTTGCTTCCTGGTATTCAGTCTCTGATGGAACTAATCATAAAGCAACATATCTAATGGTGATCCCATGCTTCGACCTCGTATCATATACACTCTAACCACATCGTTAGGTGCTGAGGCCGACGACTTTACTATCCATGCTGAAGATCATTCAGGCCAAGATGATTCGGGAGAAGATGAACATTACAACGGTGATAGTGAAGACGGCGATGCTCAGGATGCTGAAACGGAACGATACAAACATAAGTTACAAGGTCAAGAGGAATGGATCGCCAGAGATACGAACCACGCAATTTATCTTGTCGCTACCTTGAGAACTCGTCTCGACAATGTTGCTGCTCGTGAGCGAGACGTCGAAGATCGAGAAGCTATCTTGAAAACTGATACCGCAGCTCTTGAGAGACAAAAGATCGATCAAGAAAACATTCTCGCAGCTCGTGCAGCAGCCATCGAAAAACAAAAGCTTGATCAAGAGACTGCTCTAGCAACTCGTGCTATTACTCTGACAGACGTGGAATGGATCGCGAGAATGCTCTTGCGGCCCGTACCAGAGATCTTGAAAGACCTGAAATTGATACTGGTGTTGAGTTAGCAGCTCGTGAACGTGCTATTGCCTATCATGAGAGAGGTCTGGGTCCTATGCCTGAGATGCCGCATGAACCGGATGCCAACTATGTAAGTAAAAGTCTTCTGCGTTTGCAATCGCTATACAACAACTAATATCACAATTTTAGTGTGCTCAGTTCCGAAAAGCTGTATGGTGGGCAGAGTTACCACCACGTTAAGAAATAGCTGTGGGTAGGCTGCGCAACGGGTACCCGCAGAACGGATAATGATGTCGATAGATAATCCACGGATAATCCGTTTGTGAAGCAGATAATTCAGAATTTGAATAAATAATCTATAAAACAGATACAAATTACCTACAAATATTCACCTACTTATATATTATATAACTATTTATAATCTTTTATAATATTAATATAATTTTATAATTAATATAAAAATTAATATAAATCTAAGCTTGAATCACTTTTGAACTAGAAAATAATTTAAAAATAGCTTCATATTTTAAGCAAAAAAAACAAAGATTCTCTACTTTTTTTAAAAAATCTATATATTCACGAATTATTTACAAATAATTTATATATTTATAAATAATTTATTCATTTATAAATAAATAGATTATTTACAAATAATCTACAGATTATTTATACAAAGTAAATAATTTTAAAGTTTTAATAGATAATTTACGAAGCAGATTATCTACAGATAATTCATGGGTACAAATAATTTGTGCGCAGCCTAGCTGTGGGTGATTTTCCTCTTTACCCTAAGGGGTTAATTGCAATTTGTACTTTTGATTGGGGAAATATCGAGTGGGCTGATTATTCAAAGGGACTGCTGAGATGAGGTTTGTCTTTTCCGATCAATAGATCAGAAGTCCTCCCGTTAGGTGTTTGCCGAGTCATGATTTTATGATTACAAGGGATTATTTTTTCTAGTTGTCTATAGATATGACACTCATTTTCATATTTGACTTCCAGCTTTTCCATGTAAACTTGTGAAACGTTCGCAGAAAGTTGTGTCCTGAAACTTATAGACTGAGGAAATGCCTTGCTGAGATATGCACTCGTTGTGACAGCGATGAGAGACTCCAGCATCAGCAGCATACTCATCAACTCCTCGCCATTCCATCCCATAATCTATCACTAATAAAGTATCAGCTGAAATATCCGCCGATAATCCTCCGCAAATTTGTTGCATATCTATACCATCGCAATGTACAGTGCGGAAATAAGAATTCAGGACAAAGGCATGAAATATGAATAGCGAATGCTGAGAAGGAACCCCTTACAATGATTCCCCTTGATGAATGTCGACTCACGTGCCATCGCTTCCGTTACCGACATCACTGGACTACCCGTCCTCAGAGACTTCGGGTTTGAGTCGCGAAATCTTCTTACTCTTTACATTCTCACCAGTTGTTATATTTTGACATGCAAAAGACCCCACAAAGCAGAAATCATGGCAGAGCGCAAGCTTATAATCCATGATGGCCAGCCTGAAGATTTTCAACTTGCTGTCACTGCAGTCCTGGAACTGATCGAAAGCCGTTGTGAAAAACAGGAAAGTCTTCTACAAAATTGCAAATGCCTGATTCTATTCCCATCTGTACTCTGATTGAAGTCCTACTTTGGCTACAAACAGAAAGACATAACTTTCGTCCAACTTTTGAATCTCGTTCTTGAGAAGAAAGAGGATAAGCTTACGTATGATCATCTCTGGAAGGTATCCGATGGTTTTGCTCTTGTGCAAGATCGTATCTCGCTCATTACCAAACCTGGAGAGAAGTTGTTCAATGGCCGAACCATCACTTTGTTGGATCATGGCCTACATGACTCCTGTAGACGTCGTCTGCACTATAAATTGAGCTCGAATGTGGCAATTTGTAATCAGGAATTATCACCACCCAGAAAGTTAGTCCACCAGGTTTATTGTCAAGTTTTTTGATGCCATGATATATCGAGAGAGCTAAACTGACTAGAAGCAGCAACCAAGTAGGAATTGACAAATTTTCTGATTCTTCGTTGTCCTCTTCGTTGTCAGACACCCTCGATGGTGAAAAAGGCGGCAAAAACACCCCAGTTGATAACTGCAGGCTGTCTTCAGATTGTTTAATGGATTTTGACGACCCGCCTCGTAATATACCTGCTCTAGAAGCTAAAAAGCGTCAGAGTCTTGAAGCCGCAGCAGATTCGACTACTATGAAATGAAAATCTGCCAGAGTCATCAAAATCAAAGAGGGAGCTAATCAATCTCGCGAAGCTCACCTCGATAAAATTGAACGAGATATCACTGCACGTGTCGCAGGGCTGCAAGCCCGGGAGTCGGACATTGATTTCCATGAGCAAGAACTTAACACACGCATTTCAGCAGTTTTGACGAGGGAGAATGACGTGGGGATTCGTGAACGCGAATTACAGGCTAGCTGGACCTAATATAGCAAACTCCACTCGGAAACATAGGCTCTCGAAATCGACCTCGAGGAAAGAGAATATGATCTGGATCAGCGAGAATATAGCGTTGAACAGGGGGAAACTGCCAATGCGGAATTCGAGGAAATTACAAGAACTAAAATTACTGCAGGACTCAAGTGTCGAATTCTTGATGCCGAGTCACTCGAAGAGTCCATTGCAATTCGCAACGCAGCACTAAAAGAACGCGAAGAGAGACTCGACGAACGAGAACAACTTGCGGTGGTTGATAGAAAAGTATTGGAGGTGGAGTGTGCAAAAGCCGCGAGTCGTATGGATGAGATCAAGATACACAAGGATATGGTCAAGGGTGCTGAAGCTTTGTTTCAATCTCGCGAGAAAGCTCACGAGAAGATCAGAGACGAGTTCGAAGCTAGAGAAACTCTGCTCGGAGTAAGAGAAGCTGCGATCAAACTCAGAAAAGATAATGCTAAGGAAAATCATTTTGCATTTTTTCAAAAATCCTACAGGTCTATTTTACACGGCTCTAGGGCTTGTTGAAAAAAAAAGCAAGCACAGCTCAACTCGCCGATGATGGCCCGCGAATTAGCAGTTCTGGAGCGTGAGCAGAAAGTTGCAGCTTCAGAGGCAGCTTTGAAGTTGGAGCGTGCGATGATTCAGATTCGAGTCAGAGGCACTGAGGATATGAAGAAGCTTGCGAGTGAAAGCCAGGCCGAGACGAAGAATTAAGGAGTCGCTAAATGTGTTGCGGAAAAGAACAAGTCACAGAAAGCGAAGAAGTAGCAGTAAGTAAAAATTCCACTGTGCCTCTGAATGACGCTAATAAATACCTCATCAGCAGACCTTTTCCCACACTCTCCAACACCTCCACTGCCCTCTCTCCCTTTCTCCTTTCCGGCACCCTCAACCCCAATTTCCCACATCTACTTTCACCCACTTCATCTCCTCCCCACCAAAACTCAACTCCTACACACATACACACCCTCTAAGTATAAGTCTCTGGCATCTTCTCTAATTTTCTGCCATATATCTTCCTCTTCACTTGGACATATAATAAGCTAAGTAAGAACTTCGTAGAAACATACAGCTATTAAAATAATACCGTAAATATTAATGAAATAATATAAATAAGGATATTTTATTTTAATATTCTTTATATACTATGAACCCCAGTAGTATATAGAAATATATAAGAAAAGTCATACTACATCCACAAAATGTCAATATAGTATACTTGCCTCCATTCCCAGATGATGGTTATCTGTGGAATGGTAAGCCAAAACACGTCATAAACCCACAGCTATGAAAGCTGTACCGATCATTACATGTACAAATGTTTCAATAACCCACGTTATTGTTTAGACTATGTATTCATATTAATTTAATTAAACTTATATATTGTCGAAGTTTAACATTTCATATGTAGAGTTTAATGCCATTCTTTCACTTTAAAATTTAAAGTAACATAATATTTGTTAGCTAGTCGTTGAACCTGTATATATTGCCTAACAATATACACTTGGCTAGGCTGCGTATAAATTATCTGTACTCATGGATTATCTACGGATAATCCGCTCTATAGGTTATTCATCAAAGGTTCTACTCATTTTATGGATTATCTATTAAGGTTTTAAAATTACCTGCTCTGTATAGGTAACCTATAAATTATTTGTAAATAATCTACAAGTATATAAATAAACAGATTATCTATAGATTATCTATAAGTATATGAATAATTTGTAAATATATAAATTCTTCGAAAAAAGTGGAGATTCGCTTAAAATATAAAGCTATTCCCAGATTATTTTCCAGCCCAAAAATAATCCAAGCTTAAATTTATACTAATTTTTATATTAATCATAAAATTATACTAATATTATGAAAGATTATAAATAATTATATAATATATAAGTAGATAGATATTTACGAGTAATTTATACTTATCTTATGGATTACCCATTCAGATTTTTGAATTATTTATTTTATAGATGGATTATCTACGGATTATCTATCGAGGTCATGTTACGACGGTATCCAACATACCGCGTCACATGACTAAACGGTCACGTGATAAACCTAGAGGATCTAGGGGATCGAAGAATAAATATCTAGATTTATAAGATTCAAAGGATCTAAGCAGAACAAAGCCTTATAATTCTATAGAGAACAGAGGTTTATATAAGGAATAGAGTTTTTTTTATATATAAAGCTTCATATTCAAGAATAATCATTAATTTCATTACTATAGTTATAAGAACTGTAATTAGTTACAACCTTATTGAATGTTACGGGAGCTGCCTCTAGGGTCACGTGGAAGTGTCTAGAGTTCTCTCGAGGTGGTTTAGACTAAACTTCAAGTAGGAATTCAATAAGGTTGGTAACTGGTTGCAATTCTCGTAACTATAGTAATGAAACTAATGATTGTTCTTGAGCACGAAGCTCCATATTATAATGAAACTCATTCTGTTATATAGACCTTCGTCCTCTGGAGCCCCTGGGATCCGTATGCTCCTGGAGCCCGTAGCTCCCCAAGGCTCCCTCACGTGACACGCGAATGTGTCATGTGATGTCTGTCGTAACATTGAATTCCTACTTGAAGTCTAGTTTAAACCACCTTGAGAGATCTCTAGACACTTCCACGTGACCCTAGAGGCAGCTCCCGTAACAGGTCATTATCCACCCTGCAGGTACCCGTTGCGCAGCCTACACTTGACAGTAAATTATTTTAATATCTAATAAGACTTTCTTGCTATTGACTCTATTTTCAAAAATAAGTCTATATATTAACTTAAAACAAACTTATAACCTTTATATGATTCACCTGAACTTAAACATTGTTTAATTTTATTCCTTCCTATCTTTAGATTTTTAGCACAATCAGATAAACTAGAATAAATAGTATTATTACCACTAGTATCTATAACAATAAGATTTATACCTTCACTTACTAATTTATCAGTATTTCTATAATATCTAACTCTCCATATCCAACCCACATCCCACATCCCACTTCTTTACATCTCCACCTCTCCACCTCTCCAAACCTCTATCTACCACCCACCAGTTCACTCCATCCGATCTCAATTCTGGTTCTGATTCCGATTCCGATTTCGATACCAATACCGAGATCACCATCCATTTTTCTTTTTTCCTTCTCCGTCCTTAATCTTTTTGTAAACTTTGTTTCATTTCATTTCATTTCATTTCATTTCATGTTTATTCTACTTCCAACCCACTCACCTACACACATTCACCCTCACCATTCTCTCACGATATTACACATCCCATAATCACACACCCAACGACGCAAACAAGCAAATAAATAAATAAATAAATAAATAAATAAATAAATAAAACCATTCATTTAACTTATCTAGAAACATACATATATTCATATACTCCGCCATCGCTCTGCCATTCATCAAATCCCTCATTCCATTTCGTTTCAAACTATATTAATATACTATAATTTGATCCATAAAACAGAAAGAAAAGAAGGAAAATAGACCTAAGCGAAGCCCTCCATATGCACCCCTCCCCTTCAGAAAACACGTCCTTAACGCCTACGAGTGAGATGTAAATGACATATCCGTTATCCTCCTTCCTCTTTCTCTTCCCAATACCCCTCTTCAACACATCCATCTCTCCTAAATAGTCTCCCACCCCCCATTATTGATATCCATTTCCAGCTTTCTACTAATCACACTTGGGACCCCATGACCTAGCCAGACCGTTCTAAGTAGTGCATCGTATCTCTTTTGATTCAAGAACAATTGACGACTATGTCTTAGTCCAGGATCGACTTCTCCGTATTTATCGATATATGGAGCTACCATCCATGAACCACTGGTGCGGTAGAGGTAGAAGATGCAGCATTTACGGATATTTAGGAAGAGAGCTGTGTTCTTTTGACATCTGGAGTAAAATGTTAGTTACAGTTACATATGAAAGTGAATGAGAGGAAGGACAGAGAGTAAGAACGTTCCAAGGAAAATGGGAAGAAAAGGAAAGGAGAAACGTACTTAAGCATATGCTGTTGTCCACCACCAATTTTATCTCTTGGTCCACCACCAGGTTTCTCCGGTCCATCCCTCGAACAACAAATACTCTGACCGCAGAAAATTTCTCCACAGAAAAGACACAGCATAGGATCTTGAACATCTCTCTTACTACTAGGACAACGTCTCTTCATCGTTTCCTCCATCAGCGTATCGTAGTTTTTAGGCAGACCGATGAGTTCGAAGATTGTAGGATGACTAGGGCATAATGAGTTATTGAAACCATTGACACGAGCTCTCTTCTCTACAGCCTCTATGTTGCGTTCAAACGCCTGCGTGTAGAAATCCTTGAACACATCTGGTAGACGAGGAGCGGCTACATCCATTATATTTATATCATTTTCCATTGTATTCCTTGTAACCTCAGTAGCAGCTGAAACCAGCTCATCATTCAATGAGTTCGCATGTCGAATCCAGCGAGTAACTAAAGATGGAACGGTTCCTTCTTCCTCGGCAAAGCTGGAGAATATCTCACCAAAAGTTGGCAAAAAGAGTGCTTCAGTGAGGCGATCGAGCTCATTTGAGTCCGAGTTGGATGAAATGTAATTGTGGAAGATGATGCCATAACGAACATTCAAAAGAATCATGACCTTTCTTAGATATACAAGTGCATACTTTTCCACGAATGCGCGACAATCTCTGAGCGTTTCAAAGATACCTAGACTTGCAGAATCTTGAGTGTGTAAGGCAATATCGTCGAATATTAGAACGTGGAAACAAAAATCTCCAAAGTTATCGACTCCTTCCTGTTGATATGTTTGAATCATATCGAACCATTTAGCCTTATCGATGTGTCTTTGTAATTGGAGAACCACCTTCGTCATCTCCGCAATATAGCAAAGACGAACAAGATGAACGATATCAATATCTTCAACAGGCGCGAGACACAAGGAAGCTTTGGCTAGGAAGACAAATGTATCTTGAGAAAGCAAAGACTCAGGATGTGGCGGAAGATCGCTAGGCGTGGAATATGCGTTCTTTCCGAACAATTGTGAATATTGTAATTCATAATCCTTACTATATTCTCTGGCAACTCGATTGTCTCCTGCAAGCTTGAGCCCTCCCACCGTAACGTAAGAGAGAGCAGTCTCAGACAATATCCTAAGGTGAACAAGAGCTTGTTGTGGAATACTTTCTAGGAATGTTTGCCCCGGTGGCGTTGCAACACCACGCTGCTGAATTTCAACAGCAGAGATAGAGAATCCCAAAGCTTTGGCTAGTACGTCGCTGGAACAGAAGTCTCTCTCCTCATGTTGTGCGAGGCTGTCTTTGTAGCTACTCTCCAGTTTATTTTTGGTCATTGTGTCTCTTAACCTTCGATATATGTCGGCCAATTCCCGTACAGAAGAGGGTGCATTCGCTGATCTATCGTTTGGAAGAGGGAATGAATTTTCAGACCAAATAGCACTTGCGATATCCGCTGGAAGAGCAGCCCGTATATTGGTTGGTGTGAATGGCGACCAATGACTTGGTGATGGGGGATCCCAGGCATCCATTAAGAGTTCTGGCATCTTGGCTACCAAAGGGCCGGCCATGGTATCATCATTGTGCTTTTTGAAAAATTGTTGGGTTCTTCTGCTTGCAGGAAAGTCGGATTTGTTATCATAATTATGAGCGCTACCGATTTGGTTGATCTTCTCCGTCCTAGGTTGCTGAGAGGCACCAGCAAACCTTTCGATAAAATCATCAAAACTAACTGTTGGCTTGAGGGCTTGGTCTTGTATCTCTTCCTTTGGAGACCAAATTATCGGCAAGAACGAATTTCCTAAGGCTTTGCATAGCGGACAAACGAATTCATTCAACTCAAGTTTTTCAGGATGATGTCGAGCAATTTGATGTTGATGTCGTCTATTTGAAGCTTCATAGTAGACTTCAAAACACTTGTAATGCATGATGTGTCCACATCCGACGGATACCGGTCCAGGTCTCGTGAAATTGGATGGGAATCCTTTTCCGATGAACGATCGTTCTGTGATAATATCTACCCCACTAGAAGTAACTTTGTGAACTTGCTCCTTATTCTCACCCGAAACACCAAATGGCCGAATATCTTCTGCGGATATATCTAAATTCGAAGGAACATTAGCAGCTTCTCGAACGAAGTCTGCATCGGACATATCAGTTTGTCGCAAGACCGAACTGGTAGTCATTAGTGCAAAGGTTCCGTAAAGACGACCATCCTTAGTTTCTTCCTGACAAAGAATACATGTTCCTGAGGGGTATTGATAATAGTTCTTCGAACTCTCGCCTTCGGATTCCATATCTGAATCACTGATATCATCTTCACCCCAATCAATATCTCCCTGGTTGTCGAGGAAGTTCTTTTGCTGTTGTTGAAACTGTGCCATGACCCTCTTTTGACGTTCTAATGCAGCTTGCTTCTTCTTCTCCTTATCTTCGAGGGCATTATTATTTGCAGGCGAAGCCGTAGAGATTCTATCAACTGGAACACCTAATCGCGAAAAGGCAGTCTCAAAATTTCTAGGTCGCTTTTGCTTCATTCTCTTGAGCACTAGAGTAATCTTTGGGTGACAAGTTTTAAATTCCTCTTTCCGGGACAACATTTCTAGGATAGCAACAATTGTCTTCGAGGCTGGAGAACTAGGTGAGAAATTGCTTCGTGCATTGCTTGTCAGCGCAATGTAGACAAACGACTCGAGAGACTCTTCTGACATCTCGTCCTCATCCGTCTTATCTTCCGATACGGCAATAAGAACTAGGTGGAGGACGACATGTAAGAATGCCTCCACGCGAGTTACGGGTACAGTAGGTGTAAGCTTATCCGACATCAAAGGATAAAGAAGAGCATAATAGATTATTTGAGCAAAGATACCTGTTCGAGTGAAAGCCGCTAGATCTGAGAATGCACCAGACTCAATGGAGCGAAGTTTTGGCTCAAAGACAATTTCGGCAGCTGGTCTGCCCGTCTTCTTTGCTACCCAAGCTTTGTAAGTATTTTCGGATTCTTCTCTTTGGTTCTTGCTATAATGAGCGATGTAAGGATCGATATCCTCCAGATACTGTTCCTTAAGCTCAAAGGTTCCGACGTCATTGAGTCCCTCGGGAGGTTTGAAATTTGTCATCTCATCAAGAATATCTTGACACTCTTCCTGGTCTTGGAATTTATCGGGTAACTTCCCACAAATCTCTGTAAATGAAAGAGGTTTGAAGCAAAGTACATGGGCGATGTCTCGACGCATAGCCATTATATGAGAACCAGGGTCATCGTCATTCGAAACCAAAGACGTCCTGTCACTGATCAATACAATGAGAAGATGAATTAAATCCTCCGCAATATCAAGGATCTGGCCATCATCAACCCCATCTGATTTCACTTCGTACAAACCTTTCATCCATTGCTCAAGACCAAATCGATCAATGATTGAAACCAGCATACGAGCAGGTGAACACACAACCATGGCAGTTTGAAGAAGGAAAATATCTCTGTGGTGGGATACATCACGTAGAGTGACTCCGCGGTATGTACCTTGTTGGTGACGAAGACTCATACCGTTTCGAACCCACATATTAGCTTTCATTTGTGCCAACCACGCACATACTCGAAGAGGATAATCGAAAGCTGCCATTAAATGATCTTCTGGGGAGTATTCTTGACTTGGCATGGTTCTTTGTCCCATGGGCTTAGGTTTCTGAAGAAGTTCCTGGGTAGTAAAGCTTAATAGTTGGATGAGCTGTTCCCGAGACATACTCTTTCCACACTCAATGAGCCAGGATAGAGTATAGTGGAGAGCATGATGGAAACTAATAGGTTGTGACTCTACCACGAACTTGACGACTGAATGCTGAACGACGCTATTCGACTGTTCGGTAGTATCAAATTCATAATCACCCACTTTCTTGAATTTGATTTCGTCCTTGATCTCTGCCTGAGTAAATCGCTTTCTCTCAGTGCCCAGAGAGCTGAGAATAACTGCTTTTGCTGCAGTTCGAATCACCCTGCAGACAGGTTCCGTCGACTCGCCAGGGACCCACTTGAAAGACTCTGAGAATTGTCTACACAATCGATTGATTTCCCGTGTGATGAGAGATGCACTAATCCAAGCATCCGTTTCATACTCTACGTGTTCACCAACTGCCCTAATATTAGGACAAATACCTTGATGGAGTTTGACCAAGTCTAGGAACTGAAGCATGTATCTTTCTTCCGTGCGCAACTTTTCTTGTACATGCTCTGAACCGAACAAATATTTCAAATCCATGAAAAAGTGGTACATTCTTCGATTTGTTACAGAGCCCGAGTCAAACGCCAGAGTGGCATTTGGAAAGATCTCATAAGGATGTCCAACCTGTCGAGTGGTAAGGAAGGTGTATAGAATTGCCATTAAATTGGTCAAGAAGTTTCCCCTTTCCACGATTTCAGCAGTAATCGATGGCGTTGTCAACATTTGTAGAGAAATGTTGATAATTGAGTGATCTGGTTCCCTGTCGGCAATCAAATAGAGTTGCGCGAGAGTCGTGTAAAGGCCTGAAAAGCGAAGTCCCAGCACACGTTTGAATTCCGGAATCGATACCACGGTCGAGATATATAGTTCACGAAGATCAACTCTAACTTTTTTCCACATCCTCAAGTCGAACAAAATCAACCAGTCTAATCGTAATTTGTGCCACAAATCCTCATGTAAAGGTACAGATTCCCTGTCCGTATAGCCAGGAGGACTTTCAAGCCAGTATCTAGCTGGTTTTGCGATTTCCTTCTTTACTGGATTCGCCGGAGTCTTAGGAATCTCCATCTTGGCTTTCGCATAAAGATTATCTGAAATAAGAGGTTGCATTTCTGCAGTATCAGAATCTGATGGTGTAAGATCACGATCTCTAGTGACTCTGTGAGGGGCGGGAGGGGGTGGTGGAGGTGGGGGTGGATATCCAGCCAAAGTAGCTTCTTGTACCTCCAACGCCTCATCGTCTCCACCAATCATATCAACATCTCCATCGTTATCGGTCTCTGTTCCAATCTGGGTTTCCTGCTGAGGTGCTGGAACTGGTTGTCTGGTTGGCTGTATAATTCTTATCTCCGCTGGCTCTGCCGGATCAAAACGAACAAGTTCTACTTCTTCATCACTAGAAGCGTCTTGATCCGCATTTTCAAGCATTCGTACAATATTGGCTTCATTGAGGTCATCATCATCTCCATTATCAGTATCGTCCGAGTCCGAGTCAGTAGCAGCGACGGCGGCCATTACTGCCATAGCCTGAGTTCGGCGATCTGTTGTTATAATATGTCTCAGCACGCGATTTTCAGCATCTGACCACAACATTTCCTCTCTTTCGTGATCATCAATACCCTTCAACCCTATGTCGGCATTACTGGCTTCACTTCCACGATTCCACTCCTTGAGCATCTCTTCACAAACCACCTGACGTAATACGTTGTGGTCTGGACCGACACTGCAACCAGAGATATCACTGAGCCATTCAATGATGGTTCCACACATCTGCTCCCTAAAGGTATCCCGAGCAGAACGAATGGTAACTGTGACCTTGATTTGTTCCACAACCCTTGAGACTCTTAGCAGCTTGTCAATGTCGTGATCATATTTGATGACGCTTCGACCAATATCATCAGTTTCATGCGCTCGCTGCATACCCTCCGCATTCGTTACCTTGCAAGCTCTTGCTACCTGGTCTCGAACTTCATTGACAGTGTGCTTCTCGTCGTTCCAAAGAAGAAGTGCATATTCACATGGATCCTCAACAATATCTCCATTATAGTAAGACGAAGTCAACCGCGACCTCCTCTCATCCTGTTGTATCGACTCCTTTGATTTGGGTAATCGCAGCTGTTCTGGTGAACATGATATAACATCGCAAATATAATCAAAAGCCCTTCCGATGGTCATTCGAATGCTTTCCACCAATTCATCAGGCAGACTTGCTGCTTTGCCCTTGCCTTCACCTTCTACACCAGGTCCATGTGATGTATGTATCGAGCAGTGTACCGGCAAACGCCATGCTTCTGGATCTCCACAGTCGCAACATCCGCTGTTGCCCAATGATACACTCACATATACCATATGACCCGTATGATCAGAGGAATCGTAACATCGACTGCAGAGTACGCATGTGTCATCGGAACTACAAGTTTTGCATCGGTATGTAGCTTCTCCGGTCTTGAATATATGTCCGCAGACTTTCCCTCGAGCCGCCTCTGTAAATTCGTCGCCATCGGTTCCTCCTTGCGCTTTCCTCAATTTCCATACTTCACTAGCTGATGGCCTCGAGTTTTCTGGGAAGAAGAGGTTCAAGTGTTCTTTTTGTCCGCCAGCCAATGACCAGAAGAGACTCTGTAGTAAATCGCGTTCCGCTGCCTCTGTGTAGCGGTTCTGGTGGACACGGGGCAATGTTTTCAGGAAGTCGCAGAGCTGCCTCGATGGCATAGATTCCTCCGCCATACCTCTGTGAAACTGACAAGACGAAGAAGTTCCTGTCTTCTGCTCAAAGTGGTGGGCGTTGACTATATGATGGTGGTTGTATGCTTGTTCATTGATAAAGAATCGTTATCGGTATCGCAGTTTCCGCAAAGGAGGCGAGGTGAGTGCGTGTTGGTATAGATATAATCCTTCAACTCCAGAGACTTCAAGAGTGAAGAGGGAATTATATGTAAATGTGGGTTTAATTTGATTTATAATACAGAATATAAATTGTAAGTATCTGTGTACTTACTAGATAGGTGACGTTGTAAAAGGTTTTGATTTATTTGTGGATGGATGAATTGCGGCGGGGAAGTGTTTCGTTTCATGAGCTTCCACAAAGACCAACCCTCACAACTCAACATCTGACGTCTGGGCTGAAAATCCTACAATGTGATCGCCCATATGAGGAGGTCAAGTTGTGATGTTTTGATGTTTTTAACATAGATTCATGAAGTAGGTCACTATTCGGATACAGATGCTATACAAGAGTCTTCAATGTCAGAACTTGACTTTGATGATGCATGAATGTCCAGATGGGTCTGAAGAACAAAAACATTTCCCACAACACATTATTGAATACAACAATCGCAAAGGTAGTACTTGTAGTTCTTACGCGTGATAAAAATGTCTTGTTGTTGTCACAAACTTAATGAAGAGTAGTACCAGAAGGCAGTGTCATCGTTGTGCTAGTCTGTGATCTTGCTTTTATGCCCGTATGATTCTATGTTGTCGATTGTCTTTTGTACAATTTCAATGAAGGCTTCCTGCCCAATACTGACTCCCCGATTCTTTTTTTCTAACAACCGCATATCCCCATCAAGGAAGGATTCTCTCCTCTCACAATCGTCTATACCAGAACCCCTCTATTCGTCGTCATCCGCAGCCTCAACATATCTCGCTCTGATGTCCTTCCATTGACGCTTTCCCGGTGATCAGCACATATCCTGTCTTCTTCTCTAGCAATGCAACTTACTCCCTTGTTTATAGAATCCCAGACTCGATCTGTGATTGAATCATATGCCCTATTACACATCAGCCCAAGTCCCTTCCAGAAATTCCGAATGCATGTAAACATACATCTCGAATCCAAAAGCAGCACCAAATACTGCACCGAGGAACACATAGTTCTTTCGGAAGAGGAAGCTATATTCCCATTTTCATTAGCCCTTCGATCTTCAAATCACCCTCGCCATAACAAGTGTCGTCGTGGTGGGCGCATCGCATAGCATCGCATCGAAGGAGTAACTAACTTGTAGAGAGGACGACTTGCGGAAGACTACAATTTCGCCCATTAGCATAACTCCAGAGACGTCGGGAATGCCCCGTCGAGAAAACATACCATAGCGAATGAATCAGTTCTGATCGCAGATTATAGACAGCTTATCGAATGAAGTGATTCCGTAAATTGAAGTTGTAGGGCAATCGGACGAATTTTGGCTGAGCCGGGATAAAACAACGTGAAATTCCGATGGTCATATCGATGAGCTTTTGATTGGTTGAGAGCTTTGGGCGGGATTGACTTATGATTGGGCGATTATTTTGGTACGACAGCCTCATAGCAATTCTAGTAAAGTTTGAGAAAATTCAAAGTTTATCTTTACAATAATCAATTGGTTTCACCATTTCTTAATTGAGCATTTCTGAAAACCATATCTATATATTCATCGATATCCGCATTATAGTGATTTCCTCTCCATCCTAAGGGCCTCGTCCCTCAAACTCAAAATATGCCTTCAGTCCCCACCCCCTCCAAAGCCGGCATCGTCGAAACTCAAACGGGCGATCGTCACATCCCCTCCTCCACGCGCGCCGACGGTACAAAGCGCAAAGAAATAAAAATTCGTCCAGGATACAAGCCCCCCGAAGATGTCGAAGTTTACAAAAACCGGACTGCAGAAAACTTCAAGAATCGTGCTAGTCGAGGTCCACCTGGTGCTGAGAGTTTGAAAGACGAATCGGCGACCGCGGGGTCGGCAGCAAGCAATAAAAATGCGAAGAGGAGAGAGGCGAGGAAGAAGGCTGCTGAAAATGCAAAGGATGGGAATGGGGAGCTGAAGGGAAGTCAAGCGGATAATTGGAGGGACGGGAAGCAAAATGGGGATGGAGAAGAGGAAAAGAAAGAAGAAGTTGATCTGGAAGCGGAGAGGGAAAAGAAAGCGAGGAACTTGAAGAAAAAGTTAAAGCAAGCCAAGGAGTTGAAGGAAAAAAGTCAGCAGGATGGCGCAAAGCTTCTACCGGAGCAATTTGCGAAGGTTATCAAGATCAATGAGTTGATCAGGGAATTGGATCAGCTTGGATTTGATGCCGACGGGGAGCCAAAGACTAAGAACGATGCGAAAGATACTGCAACTACGGAAGCGGTCTTGCCTACAGAGGATGTGAAAGAGTGATTTTAATCTTCCTATCACAGCATCGAAAAACACTACTATACGAACGGCGTTAAGTTCGGGTTAAACAACGGTGGCATTTGAAGCAGCAATAAGCGTGTTTTGGAGTTATAAATTATGGGTAGACAGATCTCAAGATCACAGCATAATAACCTGGAAATAAATGTCTATAAAATTTCTATTTGTCTATACGATTCCGTTTGCCTTATTTGCGGCATCAGCTCTAGCTAGGCAATCTTCTACTACCTCCCAAAACCTCTTGATATCCAGACCTCTTGGAATCTTGACTCCCTCCTCTCCTTCGGGAAGTAATTTGACAATCGTCCTACCGGTCTCCGATCCTTTTTGAGCATCATCATGACTTCCCTCAGTAACAACCTTTACCTCGAATCTCTCCCTCTTCCTCCCATCCTTGAAATCATAAAATGGAATCTCCGCACCCGAAATCCCATCCATGATAACGGCTACCGCCAACGGATCATGCAATGGTGGTCCCTCACTGATTCCAAAAACTCTATCATAAGTAGCCGCAAAGAACGTTAGTAACTCCACCAACATCGTTCTCAACGTAGTATTCTCCTTTCCTTCCTTCCCGTTCCTCAACATATCCTGCACTTCCTTTGTGGCTAAAACCTGGTGAGTGATATCTAATGGTATCAACACCGCTTTTGTCTTCAGAACCGGGTGATCGAAGATAAATGCTGCGGCTTCGGGATCAACCAAGATGTTGAATTCAGCCCAGACACTCCAATTTCCAATCCGTTCTTTGTGGTCGACTTGCCCTAATACCGCGTTTGTGAATCCGTTTCCGACAGAACCACCCATGATACTGACACCTTTAATATGCCCAGCTAATCTCTCATATTTCTGAAAGCACAACGCAATATTTGTCAGTGCACCTGTAGCAACAACCCATGCCGAGCCTGCTGGGGTAGCAAATAAGGCTTTGGCCATAGCATCGATAGCAGGTTCATCAACTGGCCCTTTCGCTGGTGTCGGTAAAAGATCCGTTCCTTCCAAACCAGATTCTCCATGGATAGCAAGGGCGTGAACACCTGGACGTACTAGTCCGGCTCCTGAGCCCCGGTAGACGGGAATGTGAGTTGCGGATATGGCTGTGAGGAGAGAAGTGGCATTGTAGGTTGTGTGGTTTATAGAGGAATTTCCGTGAACGGTGGAGATGCCTAGGAGGTTTAAAGAGGGGTGATAGGCTGAGAGGAGGATTGCGAATGCATCCTATTAATTTGATTAGCTACCCTACAGCATGGCATTTATCTTCTTCTTCTTCTCCTTCTTCTTCAGCGTAATATCAAACTCAGTTCAACGATCCATATTTCTTATCTCTAGAGAATAGATCATGTGACTACATAAATCCATTTCAACGTCTCTGACTTTTGCATAACTGCAATGTACAGAAGGCTTTCTAAACTCTAATAAAACATCTCATATTCTCTGATTCCATGCATCCAACATGCGTCGCGTTGACAGACACGAAGACGTGATGTATAAAGGTGGATATAAGACTTACATCGTGGCCTGCAAAAAGTGTGAGTGGGTGGTTCCGATATCGCGGGGGTTTCATCTTCAGATATTATACTTACCTGGATCACAATCTAACCAGACATTTACTTTCTGTTGTTCGGATCCCATACTGCCCATATTTGTAGTATTCGTATGTACGATATCTTCAATATTTGAAGATGTTATTTATTCAAGAGTAGTTTACGGCGTTGGGAGGAAGAAGCTGTCCTTCGATAAGTTGAAAGTGGGCTGAACTAAAGTTTGACTCTAGGTTACCCGTCTTCCCGCCAAGCGAAACGGACTTCTTCCCGTAAAAGGTTCGTTCGTAATAATTGATGATGATCACCAACGTCGATGCAAGTCATTTTTTTGGTAGTAATAAATGTACCGCCGCGCATCATGATCAGTGAAGTTGACACTGCAAGTTCTACTTTCTTATTGCGTGCAGACTTCCATGCATTCTCATGATTGGAAGGATATGGTTCGAGAATCACTCCTATCAATGTCAATGCTGACTTCTATGTTGTTTTAGTGCAACAACGCAACAGCACCAATGAACTTTCGGAACTAGGGGCCGCTTCTATCTTTCCATGCAGGTCGACTGTATATCCAATACTAAGTTTGATGTTAGGTGTATGTATGTGTATGTGTGTGTCACAACGCATCCAATTTTGAGCCTCACCACAAATCCAATGTAAAGTTGCAGATTACAGATACCAATCACAGTATAGCTCTGTTGACGTTGGATGCCTATACGCCGTAGACCTTGCGGCAAGGAGCTTCCATAGGCCACAAGGCTGATTATTCAATGGTCCTATCAGGATGTCCTCGCTCTAAGCAGAGTGTCAAAACCTTCCCCCCTTGTGAGTGGTTACACAAATATGTCGGTGATGTACTTGTTTTCTGCCACGATGCTTCAGATGTCCCACTCATTGAATTATTATTTCAAGAGAAGTGCTACCTGTGCGCTTCCTCGGCTTACCTTTTTGACTTGGTGGTAGTTATTGTTGTTCGCGTCGAAGTGCAATTTGTCTACACTAAATAGAGTTTCCGACAATGAATAATAAAGACGGCAGGTCTCGTGACGGTCCTTACAAGTCTGCTTTCAGAGATGGCTCATGCATCAGTTTGCCCGAATCTTAAGCCCTCGCGAATGAAAAAGGTGGCACTCAAAAGAATTGCGGACATTTGAATGATAGTGTCTCATATAATACGATGGTAAATCCCTTTTTTTAATGCTGCTGAAGCAAGGAGATCAGCTACTGTTTGCTCTCAAAGAAAACAATCTCCCCCCAACTCGAATATTAATATTTACTTTACGCCATTCCATTCCATTCACCGAGGAACCTTGCAAATCGGACCGCATCCCTTTTATTTGAGATTACTTCGCCGTGAATCTTCCTTGATTTTGCCAATCATCCAAACTCTATTCATTGCTATGGATACTGTGGATGTTTACTCACGAAACAACCACAACACCGGGAGTGAAGGCCCATTCCTGTTAGTTGAACATTTCCACGATATACTCCATGCCTTCGATGGATCATATATGAAACAATTAAACTGGTGGAAGTGAGGGTCTAGTACCATTAGTTTCCCCAGTCTCGATTACCGTTGTCGAAGTGGAGATAACAGAATGACCAAAATAGTGGATGTGAGGGTCTGGTAACCGACACGTGGCGCAGGTAGTCTTTTAACATTACCAAAGATTGTTCATATTCCAATATATTTCGGTCCAGCACCAATAAATTCAGTTACCAAAAGCCGAATCACGATCCGGAAGCCAAGCTGAAATTTCACCTTCAGGGATCTCATCTCAATGGTGACTGGTCACATGTCCAGTGGAGAAACGACGAGATAGATGGCTCTCAGTAGTCCCTTGTAATGAAGGGTGCAACCTGAATGTGAAACCTACAGGATAGAAGTTCGCAATAGGCAGGACATATGCGCCAGAATGAACTCATATGACAAGTGATTGAAAACTGCATCTCATTTTTGGAAAGACTCTCACTTTTCCTGAAACTGATATTCTGGAACAGAATTTCATAATTTCAGCTGAAACAATAGGCCTCCACAGGAAGCCACGCAAGAACTGATCAAAAGATGCACGTCGTTGTTAAGGCGACATCGCGCTGAATCAACGGTCAAGTGGTATCAGCTTCTCTTGCTTCTCGCTAGCCACTCCTACCCCATAAACCCCGTTCCACACTCCTCGATGACAAACGTATGTGATTTTGTACTTTGGATCATGCAATATAAGTACTAGAATGTAGTAGCTCAGAAATAATCTGAGATCTTTTTTTCTATAATGGGAGGATGAATATATAAATGATAGCGCGCAGTTTCTTTTCTTTTTGTTTCGTCAATTGTCAATTTCACCCACAAACACACCCCCTGTTGCGACGTTCCTGATCAAAACTCACTCGCTGAAACAAAAAATTAGAAAGTCAGGCATTCAGATGACATTCCGACAGGTCCTGCACGCTGACGGGCTCTTAATCTCTTCATTTACGTTATCTTGAAGTACATACGTCGGGGTATTACGCTCTCTTTCCTCAAACCCCGAATCCAACTCTTCGCTTTAGATGCCACCCTTGATTCTTACATTCATCTCTCTTCATCCTCCTGTTTCTCACAACATCTAAGAATGTGCATCCGCCATATCCAGCCCTTTCCTTCCCCTCGTTGTCAATCCCAATTCGTTCCCTTGCAACTCACACACCCACCCAGACATGTTGCCCTGAAGGAAATAGATTTTTGTCCAGGTGGGTATTGGGGACTGGGAATCAATTAGTAGAAATAGCTTGCTAATTCAACCACTATGTTCAGGATACGATGTATCGAACTATTTGACATGCCCAAAAGGATTAGAGGAAGTTGTTTGGGAGATATGGCCAATGAAGCAAGCTTGTTGCGATTGTGAAATGGAATTGGGAGAAGGGATAGGAAGATTGAGTTTGTGATTATGGGAGTAGGAGAGTGGTGTTTTGGGGGTGAGGGATAGCGAGGTATGTTAGTTGGAAACGTAAGAGTTTGGACGAAAGCTGACTTAAAAACCAGTTCGAGTCTGTCAAGCTTGTGCATCGCCGATTCAACCGCGCTATCTCCTTCCTTCCTTTCCCCAGTTTCTCTTCATATTATCGAGTGATAGTACGCCATGTGTAGGTCAACTTTGTGCTATAGTATGAAATTTCTCACGATGAAAGGATGCAGGAGGTTGGACTGAGTTTTTTTGTAATGCGACACTTTTAAAAAGGGATCATGGTTTGATTGTTTCCACATTTTTATACGAAATCAACTCTGCTGGAACAGAATTGTTGATCTTGATCTTTACATCATGTGGGTTTTTATGGTTTGGGGAATGACTTCGTTTGGAGTTTGATAGGGAAGCGAGATTGGTAATACTGGTGCGATATAAACAGACGGGTATGAAGTAATGGCAGGGCAGGCGTAATGGACATAGCTAATCGACCTTGAACTTTATTACTTCTTGCATTTTTCTCTTGTCGAGCTAGTTCAAGCAAGGTGCTCAGAACTTAGGACAGAATTCCCAAGATAAAATCACTTTCACGCGGATTACAAAGCAACCTCTCAAACAAAAACCAAACACTTAATATGGACTTCGATTCTTCTTCTCGGATTCTGTCTATCCCTTCCTATACTCATCATCCTCAACCAAGTAAAGCTGTCTCGATTACTCACACCCCATCCCCTTTTTAGATATGATTCCATTTAATTGATATATAATCAGTATCAACCAACAGTAAATCGCGACTGTACACTCTCCATTCCCCAAATAACCTGCACATTACACATCGATCCGCTCCATTATCAAATATTTCTCTGCTGACGATACTTCATACAACATCATGGGAGATGATGAGATATAGCAAGACTCATTAAGCCAACAAGTAATCACTAACTCGAAATACGTCCCCTTGAATTAATTGAACAAGATATACGCTTGTGAGAGTTGTATGGGACTGGCTGAGTAAGTGGTGATTGGGCGGGGTGTGAAAGATTAGGTGAATAGGAGGCTTTTTTAGAGAGAGAGAGATTGGAGTGGGAGATGAATGGATGAGTTTGGGGTTGTCATCTGGGACGAGGGTTTAGGGGAAGAGCTGGGGATTGGGGAGTTGGGGAGTTGAGGATAACTTATGTGAGGTTGAAATTACTTAGAATTGTGTTCGTGGAAGTTGAGGAATGAGGAATCATTGGGTAGCTCTTTATATCTTTCTCTTGGGGATTCAATACGATTGATGAAGTCGGTGCTTTTTGGTTTTGTGCGAGAATTATGAAATGTCTACCATGGAAGATTAACATCAACATATTTGAAAAATGATGGAACTTTTGCGTGAAGTCGTAATTATGTCATCAAGCCAAACAGCTTTAGCGCCATAACGTGACACCGCGTTTCAGTAGCGCGCGCAAGAACGCCACCCATTTGCGCTTCTTCCCTTGAAACCTAACATCATGTGAAAGCTATTGCCAGAAAAGCCTGATACATGGCCAAATTACAAGCTGCAACAGTTTCCAACAAACCAGTACGGAAACGCAAACGGAAAGATACCGAAGATGCGCATTTAGATGCTAAGTCGTCCACGTCCCTCGAATCCGCGGTCGAGCAAGAACAAGGAATATCTACGACGACTGATAGTATCACTATTCCCACTAAAGAAAATGATGGTGGTAAAAAGCCACGACGGGTATCGAAGGGGAAAGGCACTCCTGCGCTCGCTCGAAATGAATCTTCTTTCACGAATCCCGTAACGAGTACCATTCCATGGCCTTCCTCTTTTCAAACTCTCGACAAGACGCATAGAGCATTAAATCTAGTCTATACATTTTGCTCTACACGAAAACATCTAGCAACTACTTTTGATAACCTCAAGACTGCAGTTGAAGGCCATATAAAGCGGGAACTAAGGGTCGAGGATGTTGCGCAGATAGTGGCGTTGCGCCCGAATGGAATGAATTTCTCTTACGTCGATGAGGCAATGTTACAATTGGATGTGCGAGGGGCAGAGAGGGATGAGACCTTTAAAGGTGGGCGAGCGAAGAATTGGCACGCTGCTGGACCTGCTCCAGATGCTTCAGTGGGAGGACTTACAGGTGTCGAGGGATTGGGGTATGGTGAAGGAGCAGATGGGGAGGGAAAGGAAGTTCTGCTGTTTGAATTCATAGATGGTGATCTGAAAAGACAAGTGCAGAGTAAGAAGACGGGAGAAGCAGTCAAGGCTACAAGAAAATTAAAGGATGAGGAATTGAAGATGCCGGTTTTCGGTCAAAAACAGATGATGAATTTAATTGAGAAGAGGAATACAAAGTTTGTTAGTGCAATCAATGAATTTCTTAACAGATGCGAGGCAGATGGCGTTGATGCAGAAGTAACGTTACTCAAAGAAGCTGAGCCGTTAATTCCTATACCGTCAATATCGAGAAGTAGCACGCCAAAGCCAGATCATAGTATTCTACCCAAAAGCATACCCAAAGAACGCGCAAGCATATCGAGTATCATTACGGAAATCAAAGAGAGCGAATGGTATACCGGTCAAATTGTACCTGATGGCCATCGTGTGTTCGATCCTCAAGAAGCAATATATGGAGATTTGAATTTTGTGCTCAGCCAAAATCTAGTTAATGCCTTGTACAATACCAAGAACATTACGCAGTTTTATGCTCACCAAGCCGAAGCTATCAATAATCTTCACGACGGACATAATGTTATTGTAGCGACGTCTACAAGTTCTGGAAAATCTCTGATCTATCAGATACCTGTTTTACATGAGCTTGAAAAAGATCCGCATTCTAGAGCAATGTACATATTTCCTACCAAAGCTCTAGCACAGGATCAGAGAAGAAGTTTGAAAGAGATGATGAGATTCATGACCGGTCTTGAGGAAGCTATTGTGGAGACATTTGATGGGGATACGGAAATGAAGGATCGAAATATGATACGTGATGAGGGGAGAATCATATTCACAAATCCAGATATGCTACACATTACTATTCTTCCGCAAGAAGATAAGTGGCGAACATTCTTGCAGAATCTCAAGTTTGTTGTTGTCGATGAGATTCATGTCTACAATGGACTGTTTGGTTCTCACGTGGCTTTCATAATGAGGCGGCTAAGAAGAATTTGCGCGGCACTGGGAAATCGACGCATTAAGTTTATATCTTGTTCCGCCACGGTCGCAAACCCTATGGAGCACTTCAAGACAATCTTCGGCATTGATAATGTGCGAATGACAGACTTTGATGGGTCGCCTTCTGGCAGGAAGGAGTTCCTTTGTTGGAACACACCTTTCAAAGATCCTGGAGATCCTGCAAGTGGACGTGGAGATACACGAGCCGAGGCTGCTAGATTATTCTGTCAGCTGATCCTTCGAGGAGTTCGAGTTATAGCCTTTTGCCGTGTTCGAAGACAATGTGAAGCTTTGGTTGGTGCGGTGAAAGAGGAACTGGCCACCTTGGGACGTCCTGAATGTATGGCTCGTGTAATGGGATATAGAGGTGGATATACACCACAAGATAGAAGACGAATCGAAAGTGAAATGTTTGAGGGGAAATTAATGGGTATCATTGCGACGACGGCTCTGGAACTAGGTGTGGATATCGGATCTTTGGATGCGGTTTTGACGGTGGGCTTTCCGTACACAATTGCGAATCTGCGGCAGCAAAGTGGAAGAGCTGGACGGAGAAACAAGGATTCGCTTTCTGTTCTGATTGGTGATTGCTTCCCTAGTGATCAGTATTACATGAATAATCCGGATGAGATCTTCACCAAACCGAATTGTGAGCTACAGGTTGACTTGCAGAATATGCTAGTACTTGAAGGGCATGTTCAATGCGCAGCATTTGAGATGCCCATTCGTCCAGACGAAGATGCCATCTACTTCCCTAAAAACTTGGCTGAGGTAGCGGAAGAGCGGTTGGTGAAAGATGAGCTTGGTTTCTACCATTGCAGCGATCGATATAGACCCACTCCGTCAAAATTAGTCGCAATTCGAGACACCGAGGAGGATCATTTTGCCATTATCGATATTAGTCATGGTAAAAACATTGTTTTGGAAGAACTAGAAGCTTCTCGAGCATTCTTCACACTTTATGATGGTGGTATATTCCTGCACCAAGGAAATACATACCTCGTCAAGGAGTTCTCACCAGAGCGAAAAATCGCCAAAGTCGAACTCGTCAAGGTCGACTGGACAACCCAACAGCGCGACTACACCGATATCGACCCCATCGAAACCGAAGCTATCCGGCGCATCCCGAACTCTCTTTCTCGTGCATTTTTCGGCGCTATCAAGATCCAACGAAACGTCTTTGGCTTCTTTAAACTCGATAAAAAAAGACGGATTCTCGATGCCATCCAAGTAGATAACCCACCTATCATTATACATAGTAAGGGAATGTGGCTCGATGTTCCTAAACTCGCTCTCGAAATCCTCGTCGCAAAACGTCTCAATGTCGCTGGTGCCATACATGCAGCAGAACACGCAGTCCTATCCCTCATGCCCAATTTTGTAATCAGTTTGCCCGGAGACGTCCGCACAGAATGTAAAATCGCAGTGAAAGATTTTGCTCAGAAAGAAACCACTAGAAAACGTCCTGCGCGTCTTACTTTCTATGATGCAAAAGGTGGAGCTTCGGGCTCTGGAATTAGTACCAAGGCTTTTGAATTTATTGATTTGTTACTGAAACAAGCGTTGAGGAGAGTAGAGGGTTGTCATTGTTATGAAGGTTGTGTGGAGTGTGTGGCGAGTGAGATTTGTAAACATGCGAATGAGGTCATGAGTAAAGCGGGTAGTGAGGTGATTTTGAAAAGTCTCCTGGGTATGGAAATTGATGTTGATAAGTTGCCGATGGGCCCACTGGATGAGAGGGATAGGGGGGTTGAGACGGTGGTTTTGGCGGAGACGGTTTTGGGGAAGGGGAGAGTGAGGGGATTGGGGGATGTTGATGTTGATGTTGATGTGAAAATTAAAAATGAGCCGGATGATTGATTGATTGATCGAATGGAGGGGAAGTGTATAGATGAGCGTGTAATGATTTATGATTGTGGGTGGTGACTTAAAGTATTATGTACGATCACATCTCATCACATCACATTACGGTAAGCATCCATGTAGCATTGGAACTATCAGGAACTATAAATCCAATCAAACAAACTTATAAATCGGTTCCTATCACAAGGAACTTCGACCTACTTATACTTTGCAGCTGTTCGTTCGTTCAATGCGGAAAGATTGTGTTGGTGTCTCGTGATAAGGGCAGGCGTCCATTATGGCTAAGCGAGAAAAAATGTTAATTTTAATTTGCGTGTTTGAGTCTTACGAGAAGAGGAGAACTGAGAGAGGTTTTGGGAAGGATTTCTTTCTTTTAGTTTTTTATTGGATTTGGAGGTGTTTTTTGATAGTTTTTTGTGTGTTTAATTTTGGGAATTTTGGGTGATTGTTAGAATCAGATTGGCAGATTTGTTAGGGATTTCTTGGTATATAGGGGGTGTGTCTTATTGAACTTCTGATTATGATGGTATAGATTTTATTTTTCAACTTATTGTGGGATGTGATTTGAGTGAGATCATGTTCTTGTTTCATACATTTTATAGGTATACTGTTAGTCTGGCAATCTCCTTTAAGAAGAATTTAAAGGGGAATCAACTACCGACTGACCAAGACTGTTAGTTGGTGACTAGTAATGTGTCTTACCAATTTCAAACCATATCTTTGAATTTTGCCCGGAGAATAGTGTGTTAGATGCGTACTATCGGTCTCTGTCTGCATGTTTCAAGTATATCTTTGTGATATCCTCAAATCATGATGTTGTTTGACTCTTACGGTATTCATCTAGCAGTCAGTTGGTGGTAGTAATGTGCCTTACCAACTTTAAACCACATCTTTGGATCTTTCATATAGTCAAGTGTTGGAACCATACTATCAGTTTCTAACTGTGTGTTTCAAGTATATCTTCGTGATATCCTCGAATTATGATCCCATTTAACTACTGTGATATTCATCTAGCAGTATCCACTACAGCTCTGCAGTTTCATACCACATGGGGAATGTCCTGAGGATGTAGTTGAGCCTCTGGTTGGAGTATGATGATTGATACTATCATGTTGAGCTTTCAAGTGCTTCCTAGTGCTTCTTAGTCTGTCAATTGCACGGTCAAGAGAGTAGTTCATGATTTTCTTGAGCGACTTTGAATAGTATAAATACTCCATGTTTCTGCGATATTTGATTTCTCCCATCAACAACTTCTGAGTTCTTACTCTTTGATATCTTGACGTCAGCGAGATTCTCGAATATCTTTTCAAAGTCCTCACATAGTGACTCACAGTTACCATTGTCTTTATCGAATTTGCTTGTTGTTCAACCAATTATAAGCCCTTTCATCTTCTCAAACCACTTACTTTATTTCGAAATGACCAACATGAATGCTTTCCGAGGGATATATGCCGCTTCATTGGCATTCAAGAAGGAATTAGTCCAATTAGCGCCGGGGTATTTCCTCGGAGATCTCCACCGTCATGTTTATATGACGGGACAAGACTTAATACGCGATGCAGGCACTGCTTATCAAGAAGGCCTAGCAGGAGAAGAAGATACGGCTGAAGATATTGAGCTCGCTCGCCAGAAGAAACTATGTAAGTTTTCTACTGTCCTTTCAAGAATATCTTGCCTACTAACATATCCACCTAGTGATGCGATCGTTTGGTGATCTTAGCATAACCAAAGATATGATTCATGGTACCAAATCATCGTTTGAATCACCTTGCCGAAAATGGCTATCTTCTGCTCAAATGTTACATCCAGCATTCGGATACTTTAAATTTGTTTACTCGCCATTGATGCAAGTTGACTACGAGTCTTGTTTCCGGGGTGAAAACGTACTTAGTGATGTTGCAACGACAAACACAAAGTATTATCCAACCGCTTCATCATCTTGGTTGTACGCACTACCGGAAGCTTTCACCGGAGATGATAGCGATACTGAAACCATCGGAGGTACTGAGGATCAGGTCATTGATGATGATGAAAATGATGAAGATGACAGGTCAAATGAAGTCGGCGAAGCTGCTGATGATTTCCATCAGCCATGTTTCGCAGCTTTGAGCTCTTCTGCAGCGACGAAGCCTTTTGTGAGCATGGCGTATATCCCACCTCACAAAAGAGGCAGTCATGATATCTCACACTCCCGATCACAATCCGATTCGGCTGCTTCTTCCGCAAAAGCTTCTTTGCCGGGCAGAGGCAGCCAGAGAGCACAATCTGAGGACAGCTTGCGATGGCAGAGAACTGTGAGCGAGGGAAGAACAACCTCCACTGGCAGTGCTCACCAACCGTGCTCCAGTCCTTACGTGCCAGCCTTTTCACCAAGTGGCCCTACGGGCTCAATGGAATAGAGTCTTCATAGTAGATCGCTCTCAACCTAGTCCAATTATAAGGCGGCCGGGCAAGGCAGCAAGGCAGTTAGAGATCTAGCTGACAACCTTAACTGCTCCGTATTTGTCAGCCACCTTCCAGAGGACGTCGAATACAAGGAACTATTTGCAGTGATTACCACCGGGTCAGTTGTATCCGCTCATATCAATAAACCCATTCCTGGACGTCCATTCTGCGCCGCCAAGATCACCTTCAAATATCCCGAAGGAGCTGCTCGATTCATTGCACAAGTGAGTAGTCCCATGGGCATCCAAATTCGTGACCATCATCTTGCAGCCGTCTACAATGACTACGGTATGGTCAAACATGACCAGGAACACCAAAGTCGAGTAATCCATATCCATGGACCCTACAAACTCATGACTGAGAATTTTTGGAGAAAATACTTTGGCAAGATCACAAGATATCAACTTGTTCACGTTGGGTATCTGCCATTTAACCCCAACAACAAGGTCACGAGGTCGATGGAATTTCATTTCGCCAGAATTGAGGCTCAAGCTCAGTCGATCTTGATCGCTATCATCCATGATCCTCAGTTTGAGGGTGAGATGATTTGCAAATATGGGAGAGATCCTTGTGGAAAAGACTGGGAGACCTTGCCTCCTAGATTAGGACCTCTTGATGGGTTGGTAGTGTTGTAATAGATCAAGGATGGAATGGGACGAGTGGGTGACAATGGCAGAAGACTTTGGTCACGAACGCACGAAGACTAGCATCACTAGGCATACTTGATCAAAGTTCCAGATATATCGTGCAGAGGTCGTGAAGGTAGCAAATTCCTTTGAAATAAATATTTTGAACCCAAACTACAGAAGGAATATTCTTGAAATCATTTTTGCTTTGATATAACTTCCTTCCTTTTTGCAGGTCGATGCGATGATGAAATAACTGTTGCATCAAATGAAAACTGTGCCGATCTCCTCTGACTACCACTCTCTAATTCCTCTAAACTAAAACTTGACAGCTGAAACAAATAGAAATCTACTTCGACTTTATTTCCGAAGTTAGATTCCAAATCCTTTGCGGACGTGGTTATGCGAAATGGCACGCAGATTTTAGTGCAGCATGTATTTATCTAATGAGAATCGAGATCCATCCAAAACTATCCCCCTTTTCATGGCCCTGAAGATTTTCAACTGCTTATTGATATCAGAATTTGTGACCCGTGACTGGCAACTAGAGTCACTATTTCAGTGAATAGGTAGGCTCGGATCATTTGAGTTGAACCAATCCTCGGCTAAGTCTTGGCTGTGCCTGAATCCCAATTCACAACTTCAAAGAAACTACCTAGATTTATGTTTTAAAAAAAGTGGATTTCTTCTTGCCTTTCTTCCTAATTAACTCACCGCTATTGAGAATCCATGTATGTTATAGCTTGCAAATTATCTGTTATCTCATGGCACTCTTCTATAAAAAAATATCTAAAGGGCAAACGCGCCAAAATCAGGATCAATATTTAGGAGTGTCAAAATGGTTTAACATTCATTCCAACTGCGTTCCCTTTCGAATTCTTGACGAGTCTGCTACTCTGTCTTTTCTCTCTGAAATCATGTGGAATTCCTTGTCTTTTGAACAAGATTATCATATCATCGAATCTCTTTTAGTAACACTCTATAAACAATAACTTGCTCAATGACTCCATTTGTTATGTTTACTCTCCAATATCTTCGTTATACCACAGCCACCCGAGGCTTATACTAATATCAAATTTCAATTTATAATCCGAACAGAGGTGCCAAGAGCTTAGAATCTTGAACTGTACCGGGTTTTACAAGCTCTTTACCTTCAGTAACAACTGCCAAGACAGACTAGCTTTATCTACCTTATTATCCCAAGATATACACCGTGATTTATGGTTCACCTACCTTGCCTGTTGCAACCGTAGGCAGACATGCGTTTGGCTGATCTATACTAAAACTGGAATTGTGTAATGACATTGACATATTCACTCTTCCAATGTGAGCCGTATGCAAACTTTCCTCGGATTAAATACCAGTGTTGGAGCAGTAAAATGCGGCTGTGAATTGAAGTTGCGCGTATCTTGCTCGGATAGCAGAATTTTACTTATTTATATGTCTTCCATCCTCCCCAACTTCCATCTAACTCTCAAACTATTTCCAACGACTTTCCTCGCAGTTCCTTTGCACATTCATTTATTTACCACAAAATTCCTTGAAATTCCTTCTGGGTAACGACTCCATACAACCTGGACTTCTTTTCTCCTAGTTAGAAATATCTCAGTACTGTATTCAACAATTTGGAAAGAAGATTTCTATACTTGTTGCCTTTCAACAATTCATTCATTAAGAAACACTCAATTTTCTGCTGAGAAGATCAGTAAACACTAACTACTCTTCTTGGTTATTTCAGATCAAGATGGATATCACACTCTCCAAATCTTGGTATAATGGTCGCACTCTTCCCTCTGAAAACTCCACCAAGAGTCGCAAACCCCAAAGCAACTTGAGAGAAGGAATATGGTCAAGTACTTCATCCAAAGCTAGTGGTATGTTGCTCTTCTCCCAAGTTTGAATCTTAGTAACGTGACTAACTTTGAGTCAGATACCACAATCATCGCGAGAGAAAATCCTGCTCCTTCTCGTGTCTCAATCAATCATGTTCAACGTCTCGAGGGCCTCGCAATCCAAGCAGAGCATGATCGAGATGAAGAAAATGAGTTCGACATCAACAGCCAAAATCTAGGTCAAACTTTCCCGAGGACGATGACTCTTGATGACTCTATCAAGAATTCTCCTCCAAAGCGCTCCCGCTGGCACGAGATGTTTGAGTCTCGACACCGAATAACAGCTCTAGATGATGCTGCCACCGATGCTAATCGAAAGAAATCTCCATTGAGTCTATTCGGAAGTGCCTTGCCCAAATGGTCACCGGCAAATGGCGCTTCTAGTCAGAAGATGGGCTCTAATAATGCTCCGGGTCCAACATCAACACCGGGTAAGACCCCTAGTTCAAATGACACCAGATTGTTCAGAGCATTTCTGAGTCGTGGTGATGGAGCAGTACCTCTCTTCATCTCGCCCACAGGTACCCAACAGCAATTCTTTCCGCTCTCTTCGCGCTCATCCCACAATGTTTCTGCGGTCATCCCATCCGACACTGCCTGTGAGGGCATGAACGCTGCCGGTTTTGTCTATACAGCTCAACCAGCTCAGCAACTCCAGCCAGCTCAGCTAGTTCAGCCAGCTCAACCACTTCAGCTAGTTCAACCAGCTCCGCAGCATCTGAGGACTGTTCGATCGATAAATAGTTCTAGAAGTATCAATTCGAAGTCATCTGCCCAAACGAGAACTAATACTAGTTTCTCTACGACTCCTGGTGCTGATGTTTGGACCCTGGCAGACCGCAGCTTTGACAATTCTGCCTCTCAATACACAAGTCACACTCGGATGACATCTGCATCCGGAAGTTTTGTCGACAAGAGTCAACACACTCGGATGTCTTCTGCTTCAACAGGTTTTGATAACTTCTCATACCAGCCCGCCATTTTTGAGGATGAAAAGATGGCGATAGGCTCCGTGGTTGACTCACAATCTGACTTCAACAACTTTAGTCAAGTCGCTCCAGAGGTCCTTCCAGTTTCCATGAACTACTTTAATCAAAGTGTGACTGCTGAGCCAACACCTACATTTGCCCCTCAGGCTCCACCAATGATTATGGATAGCATCGTTATGCCACAAGTTGCAATTCCGGATCTCTCTCATTTGGTGAAGAATTTCCGACCAACTAATATGCTTCTCCGAGAGCAAGGTATGATTCCTGACCTCTCTCGTCATGATACCAACTACGAGGGTGACGAGAATCATCCTGATTTACTCGATCTTCCAGAACACGTTAATTGTTGCATGTGGATCATCAACATTCCAGAAGAAGATGGATATGCTGAGTTCATGCAAATTCTTGATTGTGGTGCCGTTGCCGCGCTTTCAATGGTCAGACCTCAAAATGGCCACACTACACAAGCCGCCAAGGCAACATTCAAGACCAACGCTGGTGGTTCCGAGCTTTACCGCCGTGCTCGTAACAAGAGTGGTCTTCGCATTCGCGGCCGTAAGATCAAGGTCTGGTACAATGACTACGGTGCGTATGAATGGAAGGGCCCTGAGACTCGCTTCCTGGAGATTGAAGCACCTAAGGTACTTGACGAGACTTTCTGGCATGGCTACTTCGGAAGTTGGTGCAAGTACATCATCGTTTCTGTCACTCCACTTCCATGTAGGAAGTATGGCTTTGCATGCACAAGATTTGAATTCGTTCGAATTGCTGGACAAGCACAGACTTGCTATCAGGCAATTCAGAAGGACATGACATTCCTCGGACAGGTCAATGTCCGATACGGAATTGACCCTAATGAGGTCTGATTATTAAGATGCAGGTGTCTGAGTGAGGGGATACAGGGGGTGAAGGGATCCGATGGGTTTGATTCGAATGTTTGAGTATGGAGGAGATCAGGATATAGGCTAAAGGGTCTGAATATTGGATCTTTGTTACTAATGGACCTTGCTGGCAAAAAAATTCGATACCGATGCATTGAGAAGCACACAATTTTCTGAGATGTACTCGAGACATAGAAAAACAAAAGAGCGAATTTTCTCGCGTTTTCAGCCGACGATTTGTCAAGCAAGTCCAACGTCGAGATCCAAAAGCTAGTCAAAATTGACGCAAGGAAATACACCGAATCTAACTTTGAAGCGGCTTAGATGTTAGCGAAGAATTCTCGAAAACAAAAACACATACACAAAACGGTTAGAATCCTCCGGAACTTACAGACCAGGAAAACTGTAACATATCGGCAGCAAATCTTCATGCTGGTTTTGAAATTGCTTCTGTCCCGCTGGACTCAATGAGCTTTTGGAATATACACACCGAACTTTCCTCCTACAGGGTTATTTACTTTGTCTCGAAATTTAAAAAATGGAAATTTAATTGAGTTGATTCTCGTATTAGATGACCATAAGTGTAGAGATTAAGATAGTTAGGAAGATAGAAAATTTACAAAAAAATGATTTAAAATTTACCAATAATCGTAACTTTGTTGAATCTTGAATCTTTTGTCTGTCTGTCCCCCGTCAGTTCAATTACGTGTTTTTTTGCCTTTTCATCCTGAACAGTCCCAATGTAGTAACATAAATTTTCCCTCAAAGTCTTTAATTTCTGCTTGGTGATGTGAGTAAGCGACATCGTCTTTTCTAAAGCGAAGCTAAAGGGTACAATCAAACATAAGAGTTGAGGCCTCGGCTTATCACACACCACCCTTTTTCGTGACAAAATCCCCGCAAAAATACTGTTTTCCCATATAAATTAATTATTTTCATAATTCTTTAACTATTTAGAAAATTAATTTGAAAATTATATATATAAGAAATAATTATATAAAGAATATTCGATCTAAATTGTTCCTTGAAATTATGAAAATTGATAAATTTATAGGTTTTTAAAGTTGAAATTTTTCAAAATTTATAACATGTAACGCTTTTCCTATACAAAAAAACCACTTTTTCAAGTTTTTTAACAATTTCAATTTTAAAACCCTATAACTTTATTAAAAAAAATGAAGAAAAATATTTCATTTGTTTTTTTGAATCATTTCAATGATTCTAAATCTTATATATTATTTTGATAAATTTAGTTCATAAATTAATTGAAGTAATATATAATTTAAAAGTTGAAGAAATGAGGGTTTTTGGTGTGTTTTCGCTTAATGTGCGATAAGCCGGTGCCTAAACTCTTACATACTGCAACAGACGACCTTGTTAGTTTTACATTTGCCTTTAAAAAACTTGATAGCAAGCTTGTATCAAATTGAAACAAACTAATAAATAGAAAGATCCCACCGGAAACATTCAAATTATAAGTAAACTCAACTAAAGCTCCAGCCACCTACTGTTAACTAATCCTTGCATCAAACGATAGAGCGATGCAGCAACATAGTCCTTAGTGACTAGACTCAGAAGGTCGATATATGTACCTTGCCTACTAGACCCGCGAGCCACGAACTATACATACCCTTTGATTTTAGAGTGATCGATGAATTTATGACGCACTTGGATACCAGATCCAGCTAAACATCTCTATGCGCTAATACTTAACCTTAACATCTAGTGATTGCATTAGTTGCGGAATTACCACTTATATGTGAGTATCAAAGCATAAGTACTAGTTATGATGAGAACTCAAGGTAGTAATGTCGTATAACATAATGATCTGTAAATTTTATGATATCATTTGAGGAAGCTCGTCTAGTTCTATATCGAAAATTTTGAAAAATTAGTTATTCATAGCTGCTGTTATGCCTAAATTGTCTCTAATAGATCTTTTTATGACAAATGCCTTGTTCTGAGGGAATATGTCTCTAGATCTAATCACTTGGCTACATGTAAGTTCAACGATGCCAGCCCGCCAAAAGAAGTTCAACTTCATAGTCAACCTCAGCCAACTAGCTACCATCATGCAAATATATCAGACCTATCTGTATTCGACAGAATTTAAACCACCCGGTCTTTACATTCTCAGCTCTCCCCTCCCCTCTTAGCGACCCTCCTCCCACTCATGGAAAATCCCTCGCACAAGGATCCGGCGCATACTCCACAATCAAATGTTCTCCATAAACCGGATGCATCTGTAACGCCTCCAAACACTGCGTCGCCTGTCCATTAATCCTCGCAAACCCCATAATCATTTTCCGATTTCCCTTCACAGCCGTCTCAACATATTCCCAACCCGACAACTCATGATCACAAAAAGTCTCAAAAAATACCTTGAAATGATCATATACCACGTAGCGACTCGGACCCTCAATAGATATCATACGACTTCTACCTTCACACTTATATCGTTGATATCCGAATGTGTTATACCGTGCGTTGACTCTGTGTCCGCGAATAATGATTCCTTCTGCACTTTCGCATTGATCTTTGAACCTTGCAGCCGCTTCAGGATGCTTGAAGATGAGTTTCGCGGCAGACATGACGTATTCTCCCTGCGGACGAGTGATTTCAAAGGCAGTGACGGCACCGGTATGGATTTCGTCAAAGACTTCGTGGGCTTGGATATCGGCGGTGAGATTGGTGAGCCAGAGAGCACAGTTGAGATCATCGGGAAGTTCGCGAATGCCAGCGCGTGGATTACCTTTGTAGTTTCCAGAGGAGGTCTGAGAGTCTTCTTCGGAGCGAACGAATGAACCGTTGCGTCGTTGGAGTTTGCGGGAGGGAGCCAGAGTGAATTGTGAGGCGTAGGGATCAATGGAGGGGGGAAGGTCGAGTTCTAAGTTCATGGAGTTAATGGTGTGGGGAATATAAGTTTGGGTTGGATTGTTGTTTTGATTCGTGGCATCGGACGGATAATGAGATTCTTGTGAAAAGAATGGATTGTGAATATCAGAATCTGTGTTTTGACGAGGCATGTGGGTGGGAGTAACACTACCGGAGTGAGACTCGCTGAAAGTAGTAGATCGAGTAAAGTAATTGGGCGGAGGGGGGATTTGTCCGGTTTCATATCGTCGTTGCGCCCATGCTTCTTTGTCGTATAGATCTGCCGGATTGTATGCAGTGGAGTATCTGCGATTCTCCTCATGTTGGGGCCTGATACTTGGCTGGTATGTTTGTTGCTGCCGGGGTCCGGCAAAATGATTATGATTTCTCCAAATACGTCCTCCGTTGCGAGGTCTTCTCTTCTTTTGATAATAGTAATGTTGATTCTGGGACGGCTCTAGAGTTTCCGGTCTGATTAGATGACTGGGAGGGTTTGCATGTTCGATAAGTCGTCTTGATAGGGTTTCGGCCTCATGATCGCCTAGGTTTGGATATTGGCGTGATATTGCTCGATGCTCAGCAGCTTGCCACAAAGTGAGTCTGCTTGAGTGAGCTCCTAGCTGTACAGACTGGTTAGACGCTACATACTTGGAGGTATCCCCGGACAGAACATGTTGTCTAGCCTTGTGATCTCCACCTCGCTGCGCAAAGTCGTTATTGGATGTTAGCTGTGTGTAATTGTTCTTGCTAGGCTCCATCATGACGCCCCGATAATACTCTTCGAGCTCACCACTCTCGGATTGCAAGTTTCGATTGTTATTAGAATAATTTGACTCAGGATCTTGGTGCTGAGTATAAGATTGAGCCAAGTCGTCTTGAGTTGGAAATTGATGACCGGGTGGATTTGCAAAAAACGCGTTTCTTTGGAGGGCCTGGTAACCGTTCTCTGCTTCCTTTGCTTCTTTGCGTCGGCGATTATCTTCTAAGACAGCGGCTAATCGTTCCTGGACGGAGGCTGTCGTTGTACCTAAAGGGACAATAGTCAGTTTAATGGGTCTTAATTCGTCTCAAGCAGGAAATATATTTATAATAGTACACCAAAGATGCTTACCATCAAGCAGGAACACATTCCGAGGATTCATATTTGCGTCGTAAGTAATTGGAAGCGTGGGTCTAGACGGGCCAGCTTTCTGGGGGTTTGAATGGTAGTTCATCTTGACCATCTAAGAGAAGGCTCGGGGGTGCCTAAGGGGTATTTTCAGTCTGTAAGACTACTTGTAGACAACTACGTATGTAAAAACTGTAAAGTATGTGCTCGTTTGTTAAAAATTGTAAAGTATGTGCTCGTTTGTTAAAAGTCCCTCGTGGATATTGGAATGGAGTAGAAAGATATTGCACAGATGTAGTACGATATGACTTGAAGATCCTTTGTTCCTAAGACGGAGAAGAAGGAACTCGGAACCTAGAAGGCAAAGAGAGGAGACCTATCAATGCAATAGTCTTATATTAGTCGGGCCTCTTAGCTGTATAAGCAATAATCTAAATAAGGGGAATCACGCGCAATAACTTTTGTCTCTAATACAGCAGAGGATTGGCATGGACCAAACATATTGGAGCAGAGTTTTATTCACTGATTTATAGTGTTTCAAATGTATGGCATATTTTAATTTCAATCAAAAGAGAGACTCGAAGATGAGGGGTTCATTTGGGCAATCAAGAGTTAGTGTTAAAACAATAGGAAGTCAAAAGGACCAAATCTGGACTGTGTTTCAAGCAATATCTAGCTTTAGTTGAATTTTGTCCATTGCTGGGAAGCTGGGTAAATTGCACTCATCTTTACAATACCAAAGAACTTTGTAGCTTGATAGACGATTTATACTCATTCATTCTCTTGTTAGTAACCAAAAGATTAGATATGCTTTATCCTGTGTAAGAAATCGAACCAATTCAACCGTTGAACACCATGAAATATTTGCCAGAATCTCAATGTATATAAAATCTTCCTCAAGGTTCCAAAACTCCAGACTGTTTAATAGAAACATGTATACATTGCATTAGATATCTATGCCCCTATAGTAACTTGAGAACCTTGCATATTTTTCTCGAAAAAGAGCTGCAACACCACAGTCAGGCAATTGAACAGTGCCATTTCAGTCTTTCATACTGCCTTTATACTGTAGATTTCGGTCTAATATATCGATATGTAGGTATTGTTAGCAATGTATCTTCCCAACAGTACATAGTACCCCCTCAATCCAAACAGAAAACCCTCTAGATAGCTCCCATCACCAATGAGTAATACCCCCGTCAATACGGCTTTTAATTACCATCCCCTACCCTTCTCCATACCGTAGACTTTAACCTGACTCCTATCAACTACATAATCTCCCCAGAACCAACGCCGTACCCCTATCCATACGGTGTTCCCTTCAACACTAAGCGATGTTCCCTCAACAACGTAACAGTACCCCTTCATTATCATTTCCTTCAGAAGCTCATGAATTCTCGACCTCATTATCAGAAAATCCTCTCGTAAACTCTCTATATCTTAATAAGTACTTGTCCTTCAAGAATCTTCTCACTATTACAAAGTAATTCTTCAAACTCTTTCTCTCAAGTCTTCAGTGAGAATCTTTACACTCGAAATATCTCAGGACTCAACACTTGAAGCGTTGTTTGAATAGTCAATTTTTGTCAAAGACAAACGGAAAGAAACCCACATCACTACAATAGACATAACATCCAGCATGTCTTCCTTAGACTTCCTCTCCTCTTTTCCTCGCAGCCAAAATGGCCAAAACGATTCTTTCTGGAATCCAATCTCGCCTCCAGCACCTAGTAAGACTCGGCTCCCCCAAGCACCATACCAAATATCGCTAACCCACAATCCTCTAGCGACTCATCACCGAAGACAAAGCGACTATCTGTCCAGAACAATGAGCAATGCCCTCGGCATTGTCCCATTGCCTAATTTCAACTTCGACGAAAGAAAGCCACATCGTATTACCTCGCCGCTATCAAATGTGAAGCCCATTGGATATGAGAGAACAATCTCACGTCAGATGGGATATTCACACTTTAGCATCTCAGAAGTTGGGGAAGATGTACCGATGGTTGAGCAAGAAGAGAGTGGGGGCAATAGTCCCATTATCACGCAATCGTTGATTCAGGGAATTCACCCAGTCCGACATGGGGCGTCCAATTCCATGCAAGAAGACGGTATATCTATTCTGGATCTTGAGACTTCTATGGCGAGATTGAATGTCAACGAGCAATCTCCTCCTTCGAAGGGCAAGAAATCCTACGGCACACTCCAGAGGAATCTTCCCTATGCTCATGCTCGTGACCATACTGCAAATACGAGTATGCACCCATCCAGCGTCGCGACCAGAAATAGAGATATCACTGCGATCTTCCAAGGACCACAATTCCCGAACAGTCTTTCCTCGAGCAGTGGTGCACCATACGCACCATCTACTCAGTTTCAACCACTTGGTCATCGTGCTGCTGGCTATCAACAGAACAGAAGCATGACTAGTTATGAAGGACCTGGGCAGTATATGTCCCAGTTTAATTCACAAGTGGTTGGTAACCCACCGACCATTGATGATGACAACACCGGCAATAGGCAGATGCCGATGAATAGCTTTGTACACACACAGAGTAATGAAGTCTCACGAAGCCTGAGAACCCCTGTCGGAAACTCGCACCCAGGTGCTTATTTCGCCCAATTCACATCAAACGCTCCCTCCGCCAGCGTTTCATCAATGGTTGGCCAGATATCAAACAACACATCCGGCATATCATCAGTCCAGTCTGGAATGAGACAAACCAACAAAGTTTTACGAGAACACAGCCTCCTCGCACCCCTCCCCTCCTCCACCGCAGCCGTCTCACACAACCTCAACGACAAAGAAGACCGCGAACTCACCAGCAAATTCGGCGGTGAAGCACATCTGCCCAACGAGTTGAACTGCGCAGTCTGGATTCAAGGAATCCCAAAAGACTTCACTCAGCAGTTCCTCTACCAGGAACTCTTCAACGTCGTCTCAGCCGGCCCAATCATCGCGGTCTACATCAATTTTGGAGGGGATCAACACCCGCACCACGCCGCCAAGGTGATCTTCAAACACCCCGAACACGCAGCTCGTTTATTCCAGCGAGCATTTTTCCAGGGTATTTACATCAATGGAAATCGAATCCGGGTGGAACCAAATCGACACGGACATCGTGGATATCCGCTCAAACTTCACTATCGAAGTCGTGTGGTTCTCGTTGAAGTCTTCAATAATCCTAGCATGGATCTCGCGTTCTGGCAGAAGTTCATCGCAAATTTGTGTGTGTATGATATTGAAAGATGTAGACATCTCGCCTACAGTAGTCCAAAGCGAATGGTGATGGAGTTTCGATTTGCGCGGATCTTTGGGCAGGCGTCGATTTTGCTTGCCGGGATTATGAATACCGCGGCGTTTGAGGGGATCGTTACAGCGAGGTATATCCCGGATGTGCCTTGCGATATCTGTGATGTGTATTGAGCTGGGCTCAACCTTGTTGATAGGGGACAGTACTTGTACGATATCTTTTTGTAACATTCTTCTAGCACAATGACGATGAACGGAGTCTCTTCACTCAATGGTTTTCTGTTCAGGGGTAAATAGCAAAAAAGCACAATGTCAAATATAATAACAACAACAATAATCATAATAACTCTCATCTCCAATAATTCAAACAAATAGTACAAGAATATGATCTAATCCTCTGATACCGTGAAGTGAATAATTGATCCTTCCAGGTCTTGATACAAATCAGGGCCTCTAGACACTTGTAGCTCCTACGAGCACTAGTCGATCGCTTAACAGAGCCGACTTTTACCCCGGATATTTGACCTACCTCTTCGAAGTGATTATCTTACTTTGTAAAGGCTCTATAACATGGCTATCTATCAATAGCCACTTGTTAGATAGCACTGAATGAAGGATATTTTGTTATTGATATGTAAATAGGTATTGTGTAACCGTTTCAGATCACTAAAAATGAACTCAGCAATCGATGTTAGCTATTCATGATTCTACTCACGCAATAAAAGAAAACAACAACCAACAAATGTTTTTTATCAGGCGATTAAACTATTGTCATACCCTCAGAATACATCTGACTTAGTTTCACATCCTATGGAATCTCTTCTCGTACTCCCTATATAGAATATACTCTTCCCCTATAAATTCTGCCACTTCCCTTTCCTCGTTTCTTTCCCCCTCTCGTTCTCCTCAAAGATTCAGTCTAAAACAGTCATAATCTATTAACCTAAGTACAAAAATATTTGTAGAATTTAAGATATAAAAAAGTAAGATATCGATGATTCTGAGATATACGAGCAATTTCGTATTATTCTTAAGAAATAAGAGTAATTCATCAGATAGTATATTTTTCCACTCTCTAGTATCTACTCATTCTATCTGGATACACAGTCATCACTAACTCAAGTTTCAACACCGTGGAGTCCCCACTCAACCCCCATCTCACGTAAAATTAAAATAACCCCTTCGCTTTACTCTACTTCGTTTCATTCGACCCTGTTCCTTGAGATCATAAACACATAAATTCATAAACACATAAATTCATAAATCGTAAATCCACAAAACCAGAACAGAACATCTACCATTTCATCCACTGTATACATTCCAGCTCACCCTCGTATGCATATACATATACTCCGATGTACTCTCTACTCTCTACCCAGCCCTAATATGATTCCAAGCCCCAAATCCACAAACTTGCGTTCAGTAGGAGAGATAATTTGATCTAATTTGCTGTTATTTAAAAGCTAATTTCCCATCCTTAAGCTATCTCATCCCCCTCATCACCCCCCCACCAGAGCTACATCTTCGCTACAAACCTTCAAAGCTTCCTCCTCACTACACAAAGCCTCCAGCCCAAAACCTAAGCCGAAAAAACTAACCCTCCAACCATCACAAAATCCCAATCAGCATAAACTCAATTTGCACTGCGATTTGACATCTCTCAACCCATCCGTCTATCCATCCATTCTGTACGGAAATAGTATCAAATCCACTGATGAATGAAGTCATGAAAACTTCCTTTGTTTTTACTTCTCATCGTTTAGTTCTGACTATTCATCTTCATCCCTGACTCTCCACCTTCACTCACTGTCCATCTTCGCTTCATCTTCATTTCTCAGTCTCCATCTCTCACCCTCACCCTGTATTTCTACCTATTTACTCTCCATCTTCCCTATCCCTCACTCTCCATCTATGAACTCTTCATTTCCATCCCTCTACCCCACACCTTTTCACACAAATATCGATTTAGTAACTACCTCCCTCATCCCTACAGACCCAGCAGATATCAATCAACCAACCAACCAACCAACCAATCAAAAAAATTAACCCTCGAATATACACTCCAACCATCAGTAAATCAAAAACAAATCAAGAATAAATCAACAAAACTACCTCCTTTCCCCTCCCTCCTTCTAAATTCCTCCCTCACCACCTTAGAATCACAAAATTCCACCACCCAGCCGGACTCGTAGACTCTCGTCAATTCATACCTACTTGTACACCTACCTACCCCCTACTCTTTCACTCCTCCACTCCTCTACCCCCTACACCACAACCCACAACCCACACCTCACACCTCACACCTACACCGCATCCCACACTAGACACTACTACCTCTCGAGAATATACACACCATCTACCCACATCTTCCACGTCCACCAATTACCCATTCCCATTCCCATTCCCATTCCCTCAAACGCCCACAGATCCATCTCCCTTCCTTTCCTTTCCTTTCCTTTTTACTCTCCTCAAATACATATACCTATCTATGTACACACCTACCCACCCCCACCCCCACACCCTCCAGAATTCACAATTCCAACCTCACTCCCCGCTTCACATCCACATCCACATCCACATCCACATCCACAACGTCAACCACGCCAACCACTCCAACCACGCCAACCACTCCAACCACTCCAACCACTCCAATCAAACCCCCTCCAAACCCCTCCAAACCCCCCTCCTCCACGCACCACACACATCCCCCCAAACCATTATATAAAAAAATCCCTAAAGCTTTCCACCCACCCTCCTCATCACGCAACCACACCTCCTCTCCACAACAATTCACCCCGAAAAAAAAAAAAAAAAAAACATCCACCAGTCTTTCTACCGACATACCAACCCTCTACCAACTCCATCCACCTCTTACCTCTTACCTCTTACCTCTTACCTCTTACCTCTTACCTCTTACCCAGCATCCGTATAGGAATGGAATGGGATGGGATGGGATGAGCTCCGTAGTGTCCACGCAGGGTTCTGATATATCCATGTGTATTTTTCCAATTCGCTCTGTTCCCATTCTCTTTTCGTTCACCGCCGAGCACAATACCTGCCTACCTACTTACCAATCCCCCACATCTGCCCAGTACTCCGTCACAATTTACACTTTACACACTACAATTCCCAATCCCAATCAAAGTCCAAGATATATCACTATTCAATTCATGCTTATCCAGAATCATCCAAGTATCCATATAAACAGAGACATTTCCATAAATCTACAAAACTTTTTGGTATCATAATACATCCCATGCCATGCCATCCCAATGTATTTCCCATAACAAATCGCCCAAAGATGCAAAAATGATGCTTATCTAGGTATGGGTAGAAGCTCTACGAGGACTGTCCTTTCTCCCAGCTCAAAGACAAATCCCTACATAGTCAGCGATCAAAATCTTCCTCATTGACGTATTTGCCAACCAAGAGTCCTTCATCTCGACCTTTGAAACCTCAGCTCATGACTCCAGGTACTCCCCAACCCCTTTTAAAGCCCATCATGCTATGCTCCAGAAACCAATACTCCCCCAAAATCATCAAATCGCTCTTTTTTCTTTCAACTCAATCCCCACATGGATATCCTCGTCAATATCTCATATTACCCCATGCACCCATCATCTACCACTTTTACCCACTCGAAAATGATCTTTTTTCAGTCCACGATCTCGAAGTTTCCGCTTCTTCATCAATTCATTTATATCATACAGTACTAAAGGAAGTACACAGTCCAAATCCTCGATTTGCTGTCCTTGATCTTGAATCATCTGCTCCAAAGTCAACAAACGCTCCAGAGTCTGTTCCTCAAGTAACACCATCTCAATTCGATGCGTGTCAACCAATTCTTCGATGTGCGCTTTGTGTTTCTTCGAAAAAGCTGATTCTCGTTCTTCCGTAAGACTGAGAACGAGAGACTTGAGCTCTTCTTCCGTTTTGATACTTGGATTTCTGTTCTCCTTATCCGCTGATATCATTTCATCCTTGACACCATTCAATAACTTTTCAATGCGGGCCTCATACTCATCTCTGAGTATCTTCTGATGGTTTGTCAAGAAACTTGCAATTAGCGGCTTGAACTTTTCCTCGTACTTAATCTCGAGCTCGGTTTCCCGTGCATTCATATGTGCTTGAAATGCCGTTTCAATGTGCTCATCATACTCTTTCTTTAATGCCTCATCTTTCTCTGTCACATACTTCAAGAGCATTGGTCTAAATGTCTCTTCGTATTTAGCCTGTAATTCGCGGTCCCGCTTGTACGTAAAATTCTGAATTAAAGATTCGGTCATTGCCTTGTGGACTTGAGCTTCGGCCTTGAGCCGATTGTGCATCTTTTGATCCATGAGAGTTGCATAAACTTTCTGATTCTCTTTTGTCTTCAAAGTGAAATCCACATATGCTTTCTCCAAACTTCGAACTTTTTCATCCAATCTATTCATGAGTGTATCCGACTGCTTATGGTGAAGCTCCAGCGTAGACTGGCGCTGCTTTCCCTGAGTTTCCTGTAAAGAACAAATCTTTTGTGTCAAATTTGTCTCGGATAACTCAAGCTTTTGTTGAAGTTTGGCAGTAGAGATGTGGCCCTGCTCTTCTAATCGCCTTTCCATTTTTTCAATGATCTTTGGAGTTGAGTCTAAGAATGCAATATGCTCAACCTGCAATTTCTCCATGGCAGAAGAATTTTTCATGACCTCGGTATCTAGATTGCGAAGTTCTTCTTCACGATCTGCTTGCCATCTTTTCCATTCAGACACCAATAATTCTGTACGATTGGTATCGAAACCAACATTCGTCATTAATTTTGCAAAAGACTTTTCTCCAGCTTCAAATCGAACCTCGCATCCAGCCAATTGATTTTTCATGGCCGTAATCGTTCTCTCTGCGGCCGCTAGCCTCCCCTCAAGAATTGCTTCAAATGAGCCATTCTTTTCAGCCTGTTGCTTCTCTAGACTTTCAATATGGTTTGTTATATCAGCTCTGACAGTGACCAGGTTTTCACCTATCAAGGTCTCTAACTCTGCAAGCTTAGAATCATGCTTCTTGTCTGTAGTATCAATCCACTCGGCAGTTCTGTGATCCAAAGCCGTGAATTTTGTAGAATCTTGACTTATCCTCTTTTCGATAGACTTTATTCTGCTAGGAAATTGTCTTACTTGAGTATCAAAATCCAAGCTGAGCTGCGACTTCAAAGCATCAAACTGACTTTGATCATGTTGGGGACCACGTGAAACTTTGTTCTTGAGTTCTTCAAAATCTTCATATCGCGAAGCTAATGCAGTCTGCAAAAGGTTGACGCGTTCGTTAAGTTTGTGACGTTCATCTTCCATCTGAGATAGCATCTTTCTGCGAAACTCTTCTTCCAATTTACAATGACGTGATAGGTCATGTGCTGTACCCTCATGTTGTCGACCGAGAATGAAAAGTCGACTACCTTGATCTTGTATGGCAGATTCGATGCTTGGTATTGGTGCCTAAGGAGAAATATCAGCATCTTCGGCAATTCCTCCACGGGTTGTGTGCAAAGAGCACTGTTTACCTGCTGAAGAGCTTTTATGCTGCTTTGAGCATCTTGAAGTTGGGCTGAATGACTACTTCTGGAAGCTTGCAACGACTCGTTTACCCGTTCCACCAGTTTTAGACGCCTAGATATCTCGACTTGTTCTTTAGATCTAGCTTCCACAGCAAGAAGTCTAGCGCTCAATTCTTCTGTTGATAGTTTGCATTCTTGCAACTGAGAAAATAGCTCACGGTTGCGAGTCTCTGATTCCTCAAGTTGTCTAGCCATCTCCTCAAATCTATGCTTGTGTGTATTCTCCAACGATAGCAATCGGCTTTCCAAATTGCGTATATGTGCAGTCAAGGGCCCGATACTTTGCTGTATGGCGTTTGCTATCATGCTTTCTATAAGTCCACCATTCGCACTTGAGCTGTCTGACATTCCTGTTGTAGGTGGAACAGGTGGAGGATGAACAGGTAATGGCGGTGGTGGCATGGCTGAGTACATTGACATTGCGGAGATAGGTCGGGACGTAATCGAATTCTCAACTCTAAATTTGACGTTTTCCAAATGGGTTCTGGATTTCAAATGAGTCTCAAAATTGTTCGTCTTTTTGTATTTCGAAACCTTGTGCTCTGTATCACAATCCAAGCATTTGATATCGTAGAGGTCTGTTGCTTTGAACCGAGAATCCGGATATTTTTGACGAAGTTCACTTAGACCTCTCTGAAGCCAAATTGGCAGGGACGACTAAGAAGTTAGTTTATAAATCCAGTCATTGTGCCAATTCTGCATACCAAATTTTCATCCTTTGATTCTGCATTGGGTGAAAAGTCCATATGCTGGTAAGGTTCAGATTGAACCGATGGACTGTAAAATTGCTCCAGAGCAGAAATTCTTCGATTTCCATCCAATGGCGCAAGTGCAGGTCGTGCTAGTCTCTGAGGACTAGAATTTCTACTGTCCAACCGGGAATGGCCTATAGAAGGAGTGTCATTTCCCGAGCCATCACTCTCTTCTACCTCTATTATCCTTCGCTTTCTGAATCTCGGAGCCAATCCTTTTGGATCAATGCCTTCCCTTAGTTTTCGATCGACACTCTTATGCGATTTCTCCACCTTCACATTTGGTTCTAGAGGCTGTACGGCATATTCATCGGAGTTGTTTTCGTAGTTGTTCCTAGTGGACGACAAATCGACGTCTCGAGGTCTGACAGAATCGACGAGTCGCAAGACACCCTTTCCCTCATTGTTTTCAAGTAATTCTAATGTTGTACCCTAGTTAGAGTTAGCACAATGGCATTGGCAAGTAGAATATACTCTATTTATTACCTCATCCAGCATTCGCGATACAACAATTTTAAATGTCTTTTTTTGTTTCTTCATCAAGGCCGGAGTCTCTACCAAGACGCGATCCAATTGATCAAGATAAGGCTGTTGCATCACAGTACCGGAAATCCCTTCGCCCTGTGGAAGATTGTAATTGTAGAGGAATCGAAGTACAAAATCCCTGATACGGATATTATCCGCATCAGAAACCTCTTCGTCGGCCATGATTGCTTGCAATTTGTTGACGAGGGGAGGAGGGGTGAGGGGAGGGGAGGGGAGGGGAGAGGAGACGAGAGGAGACGAGAGGAGAGGAGAGGAAAATGTCAGGTGGATTCGTGAATTCTCGCGATTTTGGCGTTTGTGTTCCTGGATCTAATAAAGCTTGGGAGTACCTACCGAACCATGCCATGGATGGCACAGACAGATACTTATTACTGATTTTTGATTTTTGACCCGCACAAGCAAGCTTCAGTTCTACCGGTACGGGAAAATGATAAACGCGGGGAACTTTGGGATTTCTGGATAAACATTCAACATCACCGGGGCACCATCAAATCATGGAAATTATACTTAGAAGCTTTACCCCATAACCATTGCTATACAGAATCATTCCTACCTACCTAACCTTCTCACTGACTACAGCTAGATACATGAATGATCTGAATCCTTACGCGGATACATGCCAAACAAGGTTCATGTCCGCAGCCAAAAGCCACAGGGAGGAAAACAAAAGCAATAAAATGACAGACAAATTCATGGCGGCACAGAAATAAACAAATCAAGGGAGTTGATTGAGGGAGGATCATTTACCCATTCTCTATTTGCTTCACATTTCTCCCTTTCTTATCAAGCGTCTATCTCTATTTCTACCCACCATCTGTTGGACAGTCTCACAAACTTCTGGCAATCATCCCAAAGTCGGAATGTCCTCCAGAAAGAAAAGACAGTCTCTAGCTGAGGCACCATACCGGCCTCATCATAATCCTACGAGTCTTCCAAGTAGTGCGGCTTCCCAGGTTAAAATACCTACTCCAACATTATGATGCTAATCTCACATAGCTTCTCGTCGCAGCTCACGACGTAACACATTGTTGATACCTCAATCTCCAAGCACAGGTATAGATGAGGGTGGTGTTAACGAATCGCCTCATGATTTCGATAAAACTATCACAACTTTGAAATCAGCAGCAGAATCTGTAACGGTTCGAGTTTGGCAAGAGACAGCAGACGAGCAAGCACGGGCGATTCAAGCTATGAGGTCTGCCATTGATATCAAAGATTCCCGAATTCAAAAGATGCATCGAAAGATTGGGAGACGTGATAAGACTATAGGGAAGCTGATGAGACGAATGGATCGCACCAAAATGGCACTTTCAAAAGCCACCTGGCCAAAGTTTGAAGCAACGATGGGAATGGCAATGGGAATGGGAATTGAGGATGAGGAGAGGTTGAGCACGTTGAGGAGCAAAACTCCGGCTTCAGTAACTGGGCTTTGCACAGAATGTGGAGAGAATTGTTCTCGTTTGGTAAAAGAGAATCAACAACTGAGAGATAGATTATATGAGGTCGATGGGCTATGTATAAGACTCAGGAATGAGTGTAGCAAGTTGGATATCAAAATTAGGGGACTGGAGAGTAATTGAGGTGAGATGGGAGGATAGCAATAGCAGGTATTTGAGTATTGGTCAGATATGAACATTAGGTATTGCAGCTATTAGTTTATTCCTTCAAACACAATATACTATTCAACATGTTTGTTCCCATCCGAGAGTAGGATAATCTCGTTGTTCAAGCAACAATTCAACATTCCACACGGCTTTGGACATCAAATTAATGTAGGGAAACTTCATTTATTATTGCTGCTTGCTTCACTCATAATTTCTTACTTCACTTCTTTCGTGCGTCAATTCTTTCTTTCTTCCTTCCTTCACTCATTTCATGCTTCAAATCACTCTCACTTTTTGTTTCTACTTCCACCTCGGATAAAACCTCAAGGGGCTGATTCCACCCTTTTACTTTTCTTCCTTTTAATTTCTTTTTCTAAGCACGATCTGACCAATTTATGCAACTTCCCGTCGCTGCCCATACTCACCTCTCTTTAACATCACAAGTCTTTCATTGATTTGATTTTCGAGTCGAGTGAATTTCATTTCATACTTTGGACCAGAAATCAAACAAAATAATCCATTCAGTTGTCAGCTTCTGCAATCCACAATCCATTATCCAAGTTCTATATATTCAAATTCATTGGTTCTATTCCATATCATTTCTGTTAAAGTCAACCCGTTTGTAATTCCAGTTGATTCTGTACAATCATGACGTCGAATAAGAATAAGAGATCGACTCTAGATAAATCTCCTCACAAATCTTCGCCTCACAAACCTCATAGACCGGGGAAAGCTCATAAATCGCCAAAAGAGAAAGTTGCGCCTGCAAACCCAAATCTTCCAAGTCTTCCAATACCTCCCCCGAAGAATTCTGAAGTCGTCCCTCCGATATTACCTCCTACACGAAGAATATTGTTTCCTCAAAGTCTCGAGAAGAGCAATAGTAAGCAATTTCACTGTTTTCCAAAGTCTACGATGATTAACAAGTGATAGGTCAACAACCTTTCTCGTCTCCTCATGCTGTCAAGATAGATCCTCAGAAGACTAGTAAGTACTAATCCATTTCTGCTTGATGCGAATTACCACTAAATGCATCTCTCAGAAAAACACGCATTATCATCTCCAGCTGCGAAGTTTTCAGATGATCGTCCATTCAAGAAACCATGTCTCTCATCTCCTTCTCCTGCGAAACGTACCAGACTTCTACCTGTAACACCAGAAAGGGTCAATGGGCGAGAAAGAACAATTCCGTCGAGTGACGATGAAGACGAGAGTAAGAATGAGATTGAAGATGATACACCAAGTCCCCAAGGCCGAAAGAGGAAATCGAATGCCATGACCAGTGCAGCAGGAAGTCACATGAAAACCCCACCACCAAAAACATCTGTAGCAGTTGTCATTCCATCAAAACAGCAGCCTTCCTCGTCATTCTCTACCATCCATCCCAGTTCACCAGCTGTTCAAAAAGTCAATATGACAGTTTTAAGACTCGAAAAAGAAGTATTACAACATCGTCTTGATGCTTCAGCGCAACAAGTACAGAAAGCCATCAACGAAATCAAGGAATGGGAAAATAGATGCAAAGAAACAACCGATGTACAAGATAATCTCAACAAACTTCTCCGTGCCGAAATTGAGGATAAAGAGAGACTTCAAGAGCGATTGGAATCATTCAGAGAACAAGCACATGGACACAATCTCGAAGCGAAGAGTTGGGAGGCGAAGTGGAAGGAAGTCGCGAGTGAAAACGATTTATTACGGATGCGATTTGACCCCAAGATTAAAAGACGGAAAGAAGATGAAGTCACCGCAGAGTATTGGCGACTTTGTTACATTTCCGAAATTGAAAAGACGGTCAAACTTCAACGCGGACTCAAGCAAATAATAAAAAATCCAGAACCCGTTCACCTCGCTCAAAAAATAGAGGAGTTAAAACTTGAGCTTTCAAATCTCAGATCAAAGCATCACCTCACCAAAACCGGTAAAGAGAAACCCCAAGAAGAGAATCTCGAATCAACAACCACCCACCTCACAAACCAAATTTCCCAACTAAAAGAAGACCTCCTAAAAAAAGACCTCCTCATCACCACCCTCAAACAATCACAATCTCCCGATTCCGCCCAACAAACTCTCCCATCTTCCGACGAAACCGTCTCAACCCCCACCCAAACCATCTCCAACCTAACCACCCAAATCCAGGCCCTCGAACAAGAAATCCTACAAAAAAATCACCTTTCTTTACAGATCACCCAACTAACCTCCTCTCTCGACTTCACATCCGATTTGCTTTCCCAAGCCGAACGTACACATCATTTCGAAACCACAGCTTTGAAACAACAAATCACACATCTCTCATCGCTAGTTTCATCCCAAAATGGTCTTTCTTCCGAACTCACAGATCTCAAAAAAGCATGCGAGAAGATGGAAGAAGAGATACTAGATAAAAATGAGGAGATTGAGATTTTGAACCGGGATTTCGAGGAGGAGAAACAGAGGATGAAGAGGGAAATTGGGAGGTTGGAGGGGGAGGGGAGAGTAAAGGATGAGGGGTTGATGAGGACGGGAGGATTGGTTGCGGGGTGGGCTTTGAAGTGGAGGAGTCTGGGGGAGGGGGAGGGGGAGGGAAAAGGGGGAAAGGGAATGGGGTTAGGGTTGGGGATTTGTGTGGATGGGGTGAGGTTGTGATGTGAGGGGATGGGATGTGATATTGGATGCGGGAAGGTTTATTGGGTTCTGTGGAATGAAAGGATGAGAGTTTGTATTTATGATTCATTTGCTTGATTGATTGATTTTGATTTGATTGGGTTTTTTCTAAAATCCAAGATAACTGGAATAGATTCGTGATAATTAGCTTCAATTGAAAACGCGGGAATGGCTGACTGATTGTATCTATCCAACGCATCTGTGGAAAGGTACAGGGAGGAATGGAAATAGGGAGGGGAGTATACCAGCGGTGAAGGGATTGGAATTTGTGTTGAGAGGATGGGATGTGATCAAGAGGGAGCTTGTATCTATGATTTGTTGATTTGCTTGGTTGATTTTTTTTGTATCCACAGAATGAGTAATATGGACTGGATAGGAGTGATAGTAGCGATTCAAATGTTAACGCAGGAACAGTCAACTGAAAGTATCTACATCTGCATCTGTATCTGTATCTGTATCTGTAGCTCTCCCCCCTTATGCACAGCGAACAAGCTATATGTATCTAATTTAATCTAACAACCTAGCTCATTACCTCACCTCGTCATTGCTTAATTCAGTTGAGTTGTATTTCTTTACTTCACCTACTTCACCTACTTCACCTACTTCACCTACTTCACCTACTTCACCTCCTTCAACATAACACACACAATACAAAACCCCACACTTTTCGGTGTTAAACTACGTTCTATTTATTCATCTATTTACCTCCCTATTCCTTCACCTTCCATCTATATATCTATCCAATACCGCATTTATCATCCTCATTATCAAATGGAGAAATTGTAGTGAAGATGAGTTAATATTATATAAAGTGAGTACCTACTAGGTAGTTGCATATCGCAAACTACAAAATAGAATGTGATCTTACCTGGAGAGTACTGATTCACGAGGAACTGAAATGACTAACTGTATGTATGTGTATGTGTGTGTATGTATGTGTATACATATGTATATGTATGAACGGAACCAGGATGGGATAGGAAGAGAAGAGATATTCAAAAAAGTAGATGTAATATATCTTCCAAGGCTAATCAATCAAGCAATCTAACCTTCCACATAAGTATTTATAATACATTGAAAACTGAACGAAGAATTCCTACCCTACCTACCTACGCTACCATAAAACCATTAATCAATGAATCCATTCAATCAACTCCTATCCCCTGTCACCCATCTCGTTTCTTTCATCCCTTCAAACAATTCCCCTATCTAAATTCTCAAATTACTTCTCCCCTCAATCGACCTTTCCACCCCCATTAACACCACCTAATAATCCATCTCTACCACCATCATCTACTCGAAAGAAACCACCTCTTCTCGCACCAATCTTTCCCCTTCCATACATTGTAGCACCAAGAATCATTCCTAGCGCAACTCCGAAACTGAGGAATGGATGTCCTGAAATTGCACCTCTAACATTGAAGAATGCTTTTTCAAATGAACCCACTGTACTCTTTGGCTTGATTACTGGAGGGTTCACTACAACCTTGGGAATAGTTTCCAAAATTGAAGTACGAGAAGGAATGATATAGTTTCCAGTAATTGTTGTATCCCAGTAGCGTCGATTCTATTTAAAGCGTCAGTATATCTGAATAGAAAGGGAGATAATCGAAAAGGAACAACAGATAAAATACTTACGTCTTCATCATTAATAATAACCTTTTCACCGTCACTCTTAACTTCAATACCATAGGTACTTCTAATCCATCTTTCCCAGAAAACTCCATCAACCCAAGCGAATCCAACCTCCTTTTGATCGGATTTATCCATATTAATTCTGATACTCTTAGCAGCTCTTAAAGCTCTTTGATCATTTCGATCTTCTGCTTCTTCTAATCTGAGTTGCTTTGCATCTCTCAATTCTTGACGTTCACGTTGATAATTGATAATTTGTTTATCCATCCATTCTAAAGCAGCTTGCTTCAATTCTTTCTTGGCCATTTCAAAATCATGTTCGCGGTCTCGAGAAAGAATTGCAAGGACAACAATTTTACCATCCATAATTTCGCGAGAATTCGAAGCTGTGAGTTCAGGAACGACAGATAACCAAACAGATTGCATCCAATGAAGAACCTTTCTAAAATCGCGCATATCTTGAGGTGCGAGTGCTGTGTAATAAGTTGGTCTACCATCTCGGGATACTAACAATCGAGGCCAAGTGGTAATCTTGTATCGATCAGCAAGAGCAGCACTGTTGGTTTTGACAAGTTTGGCATGTCCGATCAAACTCAAAGTCAATCTTTCCAATGCAGCGAAATCTTCGCTTGTGGTAGCATGATCGTAAAAGTAAACAAAGATGACATCTTCTTTCTCCTCCAATTCCTTGAACTCAGCCGCATCAATATCCCTAACACCATCTCCAATATCGACGGCCTTGTTGGCAAAAGTAACGAAATCACCCAACCCTCTAAGTCCTTCGTATTCAACACGTTCTCCGCCACGGAAGAAATGAATGGTTGGATATCCTCGAACGTGGACGTCCTTGCACAACCTAGACTCTGCTTCACAATTGACTTCTCCGATATTGAGTTTTCCTTTCATTTCCTTTGACAATTGAGCCCAATTAGGAGCCATAGCTTGACAATGATGACACCATGGAGCGTAAAATTTAATAAACCAAGGATCCTGTGACATGGTAACCAAATTTTGAAAGCTCTCGGCTGTAAGGGATACGGATGTACCGAGTGGGTTCGCAGTTTGAGTAGGTTTTGAAGGCTTATTTTCGATTGGTGTAGCTTTAAGGACAGGCTTAGTGGTAATTTTGGCAACTTCAGGTTTCGTCTCCTTGACGGCGTCCTTAACACTGCCCTTGACATTTTCGGCAGTATCCTTGACGGCATCCTTTACTGGAGCAACAGCGTCTGCGACCTTATCTGCTACTTTCCCAGCTCCTGTCTCTGGCTTCTGCGCGGATCCTTCGGATGCCTTTTCTGTAGATTTTTCGGGTGCCTTCTCTTTCGATTTCTCGTTTGTCTTTTCGGTCTCCTTTGAAGCAGCTGTGCCAGGCTGATAATCTGGACTTTGTGTTGCACGTTCTTCTGGGTACTTTGGTCCCCCAATTGGTCTAGACCCAGGTCTGATAGATTCTAAATTATCCTCGATAAAAGCACCCAACTTTTCCATATCTTTAGGTCCAACGAATCGCTTTGCCTCCTCGCCATCCTTATATAAAATAAATGTTGGGAAAGAAGTTACGCCATGATCTGTACAGGCAGTTCCGAAAGCGATGCAATCAAGAGAACCGAAATGATAGTTGTAATAGGCGGTGAAAGTGTTCATTGAAGTCGATGCGGTATAATCAGCTCCCGATTTGACTGGTTTCGAAGTATAATAGAATTCGTAGAGAGTTTGCCATGTTGGCGCAATGTGTATACAATGCGGGCAATAAGGTCTAGAACAATAATGAGCATAATGGTCTCCCCAATGAGTTGAAAGGATAAATTCTCACGAGTGATGTTTAACAAACCAATAACCTTCCGCGACTGTCTGATTAAATAGTTCTCCATCTATATCGGGTAGAGGGGGGACTTGAACTTCATTAAATGTTGTTGGTTGTGGTACATCGGCAGCTTCCTCTTCACCCGGTAAATCGGGAGAGGCATGCTCTATTGATTGTTCTCCAGTCTGTGCTAATACTACAGAAGCAAAGACAGTCGATAATAACGAGACGGAAAGAAAACGCATGTTGAAGGAGGAAGTTAGGGGGCTATCTGCACCCTGAAATCAAAAGATTGATGCGGGTCGCGACGAATCCGCCAAAGAAGGTAAGAAAAAGAGGTTCGTTGCCCTCGAATACTCTGAAATATGACCGTCGATATATCGCATAAGTATCGTAAACTCAAGAATCGTCTTGAGAAATCGTTATGTATCGTGGAGGATAAAAAGAGTGAAGTGATGTGAAGAAAGGATCTCGACTCCCATCTTTCTTTCATTTACTCCATACAAATTGATGGAACACAGTTGCACCATTAGTGTTGTTCGCTAATAGATTAAATCCTGGTAATGTCTTTTTTTGGACGAAACCCCACGTGATTATGGATTATGGATCCTTCCTCCTATAATAGTACTCGGTACTTCGTACATCGTTCATCGAAGAGGGAACAATGATATGAACAATTACATGAACATTCAACAAACTTCAATGAAGGTGTTTTCTACAGACTTTTGATCGATATTCTGAATAGGCAACTTGGCTCGCCACTCAATTGATATAAATTGTCATTGAACAAAGGAAAGTCCTGCCTACGCATACATAGGTATTCATCCAATCATCAATAGCCATGGATCAACATCAAAGTCAAGATTCAGATGAACTTGCTCAGAAGGATTGTAAACTAGACGATATTGCTAATGATAATGATAATACTAACACAAAAATTGTACCGAGAGGGATACACAGATCGATATCACCGCCTCCATTGCGAAGACGTAGGATGGAAAGTCCCAAGCCGGCGATGCTTGAGAAGAAAGAAGCAAATCCTAACCAGAACCAGAGAGAAGTCAATCGAAAGCCGGATCAATTGTTCAAGCAAGGTTTGATAAATGGCAAAAATCTAATGCTAGAACATTCAAAGCAAGAGGTGGTGAAGTCGCCATTCCAGCTTACAACGATTCGAGATCTACCCGCTTCATCCAATGTGGACGCTGTATCTCTAAAAGATATTCTTGGTGATCCCTTGATATCAGAATGTTGGGAGTTCAATTACCTACATAACCTTGACTTTCTCATGGAACAATTTGATGAGGATGTACGGAATCTCGTCAGGGTTAATGTGATTCATGGTTTTTGGAAACGGGAGGATCAGTCCAGACTTAATCTCACGGTAGGCTGATTTTTTTCTTGGTTGAATTTGATGACGCTCCGCTGGGCCACTGCCGTGGAGGCTTTTTCGCTTCGCTCTATAATGAAACAGCCATTTTGTCCCTTTTGTAATACCGTTCCTAGTTTCCCATGTCCTTCTATTCATCATTCGCTCCCTTCTCACAATATCAGTTCTATGCGAACGTTTGAGCATTCAAGAATGACATTCGCAATGCATATAGATGATGCCCTAGCACGGGATTGAAATCTTGCTGATAGATTTCAGGAACAAGCTTCGAAATATCCTAATATCAAGCTTCTCACAGCTTATATGCCTGAGATGTTCGGTACCCATCATTCCAAGGTAAAGCACTCCTAAAAAAATCTACAACCTACCCACCCAGTCATTGATATTAGTAGATGCTCATTCTTTTCCGACACGATTCTACAGCTCAAATTATCATTCATACAGCCAACATGATACCATTTGACTGGACAAACATGACCCAAGCTCTATGGAAATCTCCTCATCTTCCTCTTTTCGACCTCAATAGGCCAGCATCAATTGAACCCACCAAATTAGGCTCCGGTTCAAAATTTAAGTTAGATCTTCTCAACTACCTACGAGCTTATGATACCAAAAGAATCATTTGCAAACCATTAGTCGAACAATTGCTCAAATACGATTTCTCTGAAATCAAAGCAGCTTTGATAGGCAGCGTCCCAGGCAAACAAGGAATCGAGCAATCTCCATCACAAACCGCGTGGGGTTGGGCCGGCCTCACCAACGCCCTTAAATCTGTCCCATGCTATCAAAACACCCAACCAGAAATCGTGATTCAGATTTCCTCCATAGCATCTCTGGATCCAACAGATAAATGGCTAACACACTTTTTCAAAGCCCTCAACGCATCCAAATCTCCGAGGAAAACCAATTCAAAACTCAAAATTATTTTCCCAACTGCAGATGAGGTTCGAAGGAGTATAAATGGTTACGCATCTGGCAATGCTATTCATACCAAGATCCTCACACCAGCTCAAGGAAAACAATTAGCATATCTAGAACCGATGCTTTGTCATTGGGCTGGCGATGGCGCTCAACATTCTTCTTCATCGTCAATGCCCTCCAACTCCCCATCCCAAACCTCTCAATCCTCCACTCCCCCAGAACTAAAAATTCAAGAAGCATACCGCAAACGCGCAGCTCCTCACATAAAAACCTACATCCGTTTCAGTTCAGATACGAGTTCAAATTCCTCATCTCAAAAATCAATAGATTGGATGCTCGTAACTTCAGCCAACCTCTCAAAGCAAGCATGGGGCGAACCGGTCAATTCAGCTGGCGAGGTTCGAATCTGTAGTTACGAGATCGGAGTGCTGGTTTGGCCTGACTTATGGGAGGAAAAGCAGAATGGGAAGAAGGTTAAGATGGTACCTTGTTTTGGGAGTGATACACCTTCTACATCTTCTTCTTTGGAACTAGTCAATGAACAAGAGAAAGTCACTAATGGAGGAGAAGCAATTGGAAAGAGGAAAAGAGATGATGAAGGAGAGGAGAAGGGAGATGAAGAAAGCAACACGATAATAGTCGGTGCACGCATGCCCTACGATCTCCCTCTAGTCCCATACGGCAAAGACGATACCCCATGGTGTGCGAGTGCATCATATAGCGAACCGGATTGGATGGGAAATACGTGGAAGACATGATTTTGGTGAAGTTTCATTGATTGTTATCTATTTCCCCTCTCTCATAGATTTTATTCGATTCGGCTATGATATGAGACAGCATTCGATCCTGACCACGAGACATTTGAGGCGTTTACGATAGGGACCAGGGTGTTGTGGCTGGGAGGAAATGGGAATCTACAACTGAACAGGTAAAGGAATTCGGAGTGCACGTAGGTCGGAAATTGGTAGGCATATCTAGACACTCACCTAGAGGAATTATGGATTTGCTGGCTCTTTGCTTTGGCTTGTGTGTTGGAATTATAGGTAGAACCAACGGAGAAAATCTTCTATCACGAAACATGATGCAGATATAAACAAATCCAAATAATGCAACACAAATATATTTTCAGGCACGATAATTCGATACGGAACCAACTAATTTATGCATAATCATTCGCTCATTCTTGCTTGCTTTCTCAAACATAAACATAAACCTCCACTATGCATTTCTATAACCTTCCGAATCCCTAGCTCAGCTATGCAATCCTTGTATATTCTCCATGCATCCCTTCTGCCAAATCAACATTTCGATTAGAAGTTTAGTTTCCACCAACAGCCTCGGGAACTTTATCAGCATCATATCCACACTTCTCCTTTAGTTCCTCGATCTTGGCGACGTATTTTTCTTTGGCTTCGTCGGCGGTGATGCCGGAATCGACCTTTTCTTGCCATGCCTTCTTCTTGGCTTTGCCCTGTTGAAGGAGGGGGTATTAGATTTTGGGGGTTGGAGTTAGGGGTTAAGAGGGGTGGGTAGAGATGGAGATGGAGAGATAGGGAAAGGGGCGAAGAGGGGTAAGAATGAAGAACGAACCTTGATGTCGAACATTCCTGGAGTCTCAGCTTTGGAGATGTCGTCACCGATGGCTACTTTGTATAAACCTATTTGGTGCATCTGATGTTAGCATTTGTTCATCCCTTTCTTCCTGTTTTATTTCCCGTCCTGTGATCATCGTCCTTTCTTCACAATCCATCTAGTATCTTCGAATCAAGCTTCGAATCACAACTACGTATTCCCCAAGCCTCGGAGCTGAAAAAGGGTAAAGCGAGAATAAAAACATACTGTAAATCTCGAGTAAATCATCAGATCCAGGCTTACTAGTAAGCTTCTTGGAATCGACAACTGCGGTATCAAAAGCGGACATTGTGATTGATTTGTTTAGATATTCGTTCGAGGGACTGTAATATGTGGGTAAACAAGGAATTGTCAGCAAGATGATCTTCTATTTGTCTGGAAATGTATTCGGCAGGATAACAAATCTTCTCTTCGACTCTTGAACTGATGCTAATGGGATATGTATGAAATAGAAGACTTACAATATTGTATGAGGAATCTGATGAAATGAGGATGGATTGTTGAGTAAACCTTGGAAGAAGGGATATGGCGGGGTGAGGGGAGCTTTGCGGGTGGGGCATCGGCTATTAGAACTCTAAGGTTACCGACGTGGCGTTTCGCGCGATAGGCGCGTGATATCATGTTTTGGATGGGGATGGAGGATGATTTGATATGTTTCATGTTTTGTAGATTGGGTCTTAGATTACTAGTCACAAGGGAGTTAGGGGTTCAGCCTTATTGAGATTAGATGGGTTTGTTTTGTTTTTAGAAAAGATTATTGATTTTTGTAATGTTTTGTTCCAGAAAAATTCGTGTTTCTGTCAAAGGCCGCGAGCTTCTCCTTTCCTCCTTATAGGATATCATATAGCCTATCAAAACCTTTCTCTTGCACCGTAATAATACTCAATTAGCAAGAAAATCAATAGCAGTAATCACAGCACTATTAATACTATCAAAAGCAGCTTCAATCATATGTGGCAGTGACTCCTCCTCCGATGGCTTCTCAATCAAGACTTTTTCGAAAGCTTGGAAATCTTTCTTCATCACTTCCAATCTCGCGATCACGCTCCCCAAAAGACCATTCGATGCGAAATCTGGTTTCTTCGGTTTCAAATCATCCATCAATCGGACGATGTAAGAACGTAAGTTTTGACTTATGAGCCGCACGATTTCATGCAGCTCGGATGGTCCGGATGGAATTAGGATAATGGTATCCGCGATTGCTTTCTGAGTTCCATTGTGGACAGTGGTGAAGCCGGCGTCTATGAGTGTGTAATTAACAATGGAGCCATCATAGTAATAAACGTTTTCATTGACACTCCTTACGTCCACAGTGAGAGATTGGACGTCGAGATTAACGCTCGCTGAGACGGAGAGGGCTATTGTGGCAAGATAGAAGATGAGAGTTTTGATGAATAATCCCATGGTTGTGGTTTTCCTTTTGCGGAGCACAAAAGCTAGAGGATTGTGATGATAACGGTCTTTGAAGAATGAGTATTTAAAGAATCATAGGCCTTGTAAATCATGGACATCGCAGTGTAGTACTTATAGTCTGCTTTCACAATTAGTTGATACCTAGGTAAGACTTATCAATAGTTGCAAAAACATAAAATCTTCTGGATCTGCGGAACTAATAAATGCCAATTTTTGAAGTTTACACTTGTAGATTTATAGTAAAATCAGAGTCAAACCCGTTTTCACATTCCATGTAAAGTTCCCCTTTTTACCTGGAAATAGGTCGCCAATTTGCTGGCGTATTAAACTTAATCTGAAGAAAGTCTCATATCAAAACCGTATCGAATTTATTCAAACAATCTTACCTGCTCGTTCTCGTTGCTAACCTTGCTATATGTCTGATCATGATTATCGGTTGAATTCAGAGATATTGAATTCGTGGGAATCCTTGGGACTGTTGAATGAATTGTAGTTCGCCATTCCTCATGTCGATCAAGTATCATAAACCAACAGTAAATTCGCCTGAAGCCTCCAGTCAAACTTTTGAATGTACGGCCACGAAAGAACAATTGTGCCCTTTGAAAATCTTGAAAACTGTTGGAGTTACTCGAAGCAATCTCGACTTCGAGAAATAGAATTCTTTGTACAGCTAGTTCATTGATCAAAGCTCGAATGCAAAATGTGAATATTAAAAAGTTATACTTATTAGGTGTACCGGCTCAAATTGTATGTAGAATATCAAATTGAAGTTACAGTCATACAAAGTTTTGCCCAGGTTAACCTATCGCCTAAAAGTAACGCGAGCCGCATTTGCTGGCATTGAGGGGCAGAACGCAGGCCGCAGACCGAGTTCTTCTTCTCCAAGTTAAAAACCCTTTCAATTCAAATTTTGTAAACAGAAAAAGATTTACAGAAAACAAATCGCAAAAATGGCTACACCTTCAAACACTGGAGCTGATCCAGCTTCAGCATCTTTCGAAATTCGAGATCATTCAAAATCAGTCAATCCCAAATCCGATATCATTGAAGAAAATCATAACTCCCCAGCTCCCACTTCCACTACAGACGGGGACAACGATAATTCACAAAAAGATGATGCTGCTACTATGGCTGCCAGTGAAGAATTAAAGCATACAAGTATTTCAGACAAGCTTCCTTTGCCTACAGAAACTCCTTCGCAGATACCAGAAACAGGAGCTCAAACAGAAGATAAGAATATGTCCGGTACAGACAAAGACATCACGCCCGAAGCTGAACCGATTGATGCGCAAGATGAGGAAATGAGAGATAGAGTTTCTTCGCCCAAAAAGAAGCGTGGCAGAGATCAAGATGATGATACAACTCAGGTGGAAGACGACAGTGGGAGAAATAATGATATTACAAGTGAAGGAAGTTTAAATGGTAGTCGAACGATGAGATCAGGTCCAGAGAAGAAGAGACCTAGAGATACTTCACAAGAACCATCCAGAATATCAGATAAAGTTTTAGCAAAGGTAGATCTACTTTCGTTTTATTTCGTGCCCCTAAGTTATATAAAAATTTACTAATATACCCTCTCAGGAGAGAAGCCAGAACGAGGCATCGAAGGCTACCGAAACATCAACATCATCCACCGAGAATCCTATCAAGTCAACATTTGGAAGTGCATCTGGTGATAAATTTGCAAGCTCAGGATTTGGTGCTTTAGCATCCGCTAGTACTTCTCCATTTGGCACAGTCGGCGCATCTAAAACTAGCGTTTTTGGCTCGGGGGCAAAATCACCACTTTCAGGATTCGGATCTTTTGCCTCTGCCAAACCAGCGAGCTCAACAACACCTACATCTTCAATTCCAAGCTCCTCGGCAGAAAAATCTACATCTGGGTTTGGAAGCGCATTCGGTGGTGGTGCCACATCAGGTTTTGGCGGATTGGCATCAGGGAGTGTATTTGGCAGTGGATTAAAAAATGGATTTGCTGGTGGATCTGGACCAAAGCTTTCGAGCTTTGCAGCTCCTGGCAAAGACAGTGCTGGATTAGGCAGCAAGCCAGCCAAACCTTTTGGTGCTCCAGCTAGTGATGCGGAGGATTCTGACGATGACGAAGACGATAGTGATGATGGTGCTGAGGGCGATGAAGAAGAGGGAGGGGAAAAAGCAGTTATTGAGGAAAAGAAGAAGACAAAGAAAGGTAAAATTCAATTTCGCGATTGTGATATCTTCCCGTTTCTAATCATTATCTAGTCCACATTGACGACGGAGAGGCCGACGAAGCAACCATATTACAAATTCGAGCCAAATTATTCGCAATGGGATCCAAGGAGCTAGGTTGGAAGGAAAGAGGCGTTGGTACTCTGAAAATTAATGCACCCAAATCATGCGTCGATTTCGACGAGAGTGGCCACGCAATTCCCGGTAGTTTCGATTCATCAATGCTAGAAGGAAATAGTGTACGATTGGTCATGCGTCAAGAAAATACCCACAGAGTTATTCTGAATACTGTAGTACTGAAAGCTATGGAATTTAAACCTAAACCATCAACTACTTCGGCACAGGTTTTATTCACAGCTTTTGAAGGAGAAACAGAAGCCAAACCTGTTAATATGATTCTCAAGGTTAGTACTCTCTTTGCATGTGTTTTTGTAGGAGGCATGATTTCTAATTCCCTTGGGGATGAATAGATGAACGAAAATAATTACAAATTATTTACAAACGAAATCGAAAACATCCAACACGAGCTATGAGCTCGAGACATTATACCACAATGAACCAACCGATACCCAACACACCTTCGATCGAATGCCAGATCTTTTTCTGCAGAATAATGGGGATGAATATTCTGGGGGGTGTCATTTCCTATCCTGCATACCCAGGTTATGCTTTCCGGCCGAATCGGTCGATTTGTTTTGGAGGAGAACTTTTAGAATAAAGCAAATATGGATGGATGGAGGCGTGGGTGCGATACGATAAGAATCATAGGGTAGTCATAATTCTACACCATCGTTGTCTTCACACTCATTTTTGAGAGGGTGGAGTGGAGTAATAATATACCTGGCATTGCCTATTTTTTTTTATCTAATGGGGTTTTTTTCCTTTCAAATTTTCGAATCTTTTTTGTGAGTGATGATGAGGTCTTTATGGGCGATGCCTGTCTTGCGACGCTTGGAGTTTATCTGGTTGATGAGGATTGCATAGCGAATGGGGGTGGGTGATCTTGAGGGTTTTGGCGGGAGAGGAGGGAGGCAGGGAAAATTTGGGGTGGATGGACTTGTGTTTTGGAAGGGGAAGGTATGAACGGAAGAATGGAAGGATTGGAGGATTGGACCTTCTTTTTAATTAGGTTGGGTAGGTATGTTGATATGAGAATATAATGGATTGATGTGTTCGTATGTGATTATAATAGATTGCGATGGATTGTGTGTGTGAGATGGATGGATAGAGGGATGGACCCTGTGGGAAGGTACGAGATGAAGTCGAGTAGTAGGCATATATTTGTTGCCAGAGATCTTTGGGTGAAAGTGGAAAGTAGGAAAATGGAAATGGGGTGAAGAGGAAGAAGGCAGGGGAGGGCAGAGGGTGAGAACAAACTGACGAGTGTTATTGAAAAGCCTGGAGAGAGGTAGGGATACGGGAAGAAGGAAGAAACTGGGCAGGAGCAGAAGAGGCAGATAGAGAGAGAGAGAGGTATCCAGTGATACTACATCGTATATTCCATCGTGTTGATCACAGTTAGGGAGTGAAGTAGGTGACTTAGTAAGTCTTTACCTATTGATACTCTTGAGGGAGTTCGCTTCTCTGTTGAAGATATTTAATGAGCATTAAATCTGTTTTCTGAGGGGCCTTTGAAGTGCGCTTTGATATGAAGGGCTTTATATCTCGGTTCACATTGAAATTTGGCTGGTGAGGAGTGAGTTTCGAGTAATCCATTTGATCGGTTTGTTTTGCTATTGTTTTTTACATAGTGGTTGGTTATGTGATATCCTAGAGATCGACTAACTATTGTACTTGTGGTGTTTTTGTTGTACAGCGAGTATCTGTTCCTAACACCCTTGACAATCGTTCATTTGTAGATTTGCTCAAGATTTGATATGAGATCTTCAAATTACAAATCCTGTGGATCAAATCCATGCTCTATTCTGACGTGTCAGTAAGCATTACTTCTAATTTGGGTATGTCGATTTATATGCTATAGCGCGGGGTATATTATTCTAAATTATTATTTGGATATATAATTCTACGCAAAATTCCCACTAGTATCTACCAGTTAACTAAAGCCCCTTTCTCATTGGCACTCGCCTTACATTTATTTTCAACATGACCCAACGATGTACATACTGTGTCAACTTTTCTCTATCTCACCTTATCGACCTCGCGAAAATAGACTTCAAAGGGCATGTTTTCCCAAATCAACCGACGGCGGGAGATTTAATGGGTCCATTTGTTTGGACTTCACAGCTGCCGAATCTAGATAATTCGCCAAAAGAAAGAAAGCCAATGGCGTTTTATCCACATCATAAGTGTTTTCAAGATCTTGTGAAGTCCGCAGAGATGGGGTGTGATCTGTGTGAGGTCATATTGACCTGTTTGAAAAAGCGCGTTCCAGGGGAGGACGAAGAAAGCCGGGGAGATAACTCAGATGAGATTTACTGGACAGATTTTAGCCGTCGTCGAGAGACTGATATAAAGATTTCGATTAACAGTAGTCATGTGTATCCAGATGCTACCCTTGATCAAGTACAAATGCTTGATACTATTCTTGTTCACGTTGGTAACATTGGAGATCAAAGATCTGACTTTCAAAATCATGGACACTCTTTCGCGGTCCAGACGCAAAATTTGACGCTTGTCACAAAACGCGGTACGTTACTGTCAAAGATATCTGAGTTGACGGCAGCTAGTGTCTGCAGGAGCTAATTGATCATTGCCTCATTCATAGACTCTCCAATTAGACTGAAAGGCTTCCAAATAGGGAGGGCCGAAATAGATCCTGATCTTGGGTCCAAGCTGAATTTCGATATTGCGAGGGATTGGCTTAAAGAATGCCTCGAGTGTCATGATTGTCACAATAAGAATTTACCACAGCTTCCCACTCGCGTGATTGATGTTACGCCTAACCAGACAAGAATTATTCATTCAAACGGTATTACGGCTAACTATATTGCATTGAGTCACTGTTGGGGTGGTCCGATATCCACTTCATCAACTACAGCAACATTACCACGATACCAGAACGAACTTCCCTTTGAGTTGTTGCCTGCGAATTTTCGAGATGCCATAATTATCACTAGAGAGCTAGGAGTCAAATATCTTTGGATTGACTCTCTGTGTATCATTAAAGATTCTCAACATGATTGGGAACAAGAATCTCAGAAAATGGGAACTGTTTATCGAGATGCATTGGTCACAATATATGCAATGTCATCAGCGGCCAGCACTGGAGGTATCATTCCAAGTCCTGCATATGAGCCAGTGGAAAAGCCTTCTACAACTTTAGCTCTTACTGATGATAATGGAATGGAGGTATCTGTCAGAGTGGAGCCTTCAGATAGAGACATTTATGATGAGGACTTACACCGTCTGGCAGAATCTTCTCCATTGAGTAGTAGAGGCTGGACGTTTCAAGAATCCATATTATCGCCTCGCCATATTTATTACGGGAAAAAACAAGTATACTGGGGATGTACACAAGGATTTCACGATCTCAAAGGGATGCCCCCGGGATACAGGTTTCCACAAGAAGAGCACATAAATCGGTTATTGCCCGTTCTTCACTCCACCAAACAGGACAACAGTATGATGACAGACATGCATCGACTCATACTCCTTTACAGTTTCCGTGATATAGTGTGGCAATACTGTCAAAGAGATTTAACATACGACTCCGACAAACTTCCTGCGATTTCAGGTTTATCACAACTGCTCCGGCCAGCCATCGGAGGAGATTATCTTGCCGGTTTGTGGAGTTGCGATTTACTCGATGAGCTTTGTTGGATTCCGGAAATGAAATCTGGATGTGTTCATATCAAGCCTTATCGTGCGCCCTCATGGTCATGGGCCGTAACGAACGATCGCGTCAAATTCCATCGGGGTACCGTCATTGCACCTAAAGATCGAATTGCCGAGTTGAAACTTATCGACTATGGAGTAATCCCGAAAGTTAAGGACAATCCTTACGGCGAGATAGAATCTGCGTATCTAATTGTAGAGAGTTTAACTCTTCCTGTTCTACGCGCCTGGCAAACGAGACATCTGGAAAAATATGATTATGATGGGTACTCGGGTACATATTGTTTTGACGATCCGGCCGGACTTTCTCATTATGAAGTTTCTGAGCCGTCTGAGAATTACGGGTGGCAACAGGGTTTTTGGAAAATGGACGAGGATAAAGGAGTACAGATCATGACGGGTTGGAAAACCTCTTCGCGTGATGAACGAGTGATTGATAGGGAGGAGGAGAAATGGTTGAAGGAAGAATATATTGTTTTGCTTGTTGCGTCGACGAATAGAGATGATGGGGATGAGAGACCGTATGCTGAGTGCTTAATTTTGAAGAAAGTTGATGATAATGAGGATGTGATAGATGTTTATGAGAGAGTGGGAATTTATGTGGTTCATCATGAACCGGAATGGTTGGAATCTTGGACGAAGAAAACTGTTAAATTAATTTGATATGAGATGAACCAATACGCGTAATACATCATATCTCTATACATACAAAGTTATCTTGAATTTTGCCAAAACTCATATAAAGAATACTACTTGTATATCCAATCCAAACAAACAACCTAAATTCCCCCCCTAAATATGCGCCAGCAAAGCAGAAGAACGATAAAAAAGGCAAGCAAACAAATCCTACATGCAAACTTTACTCTTCAAATAACATCATAACAGACAATGTGCGTGATTTTAGACTCGTCTTCTGTTTCTGGGATTGCCACACTCTTTGCATATTTATGACTGTAGCTAGGTGAATAACACACCTATCTCTTAAACTAGTCATGGAATTATTTTCACCATATATAAGTACCTATGTACAATGAGATAAATGGATGAATTATCTAAATAGAATATAAAAACACCACGAAACACCACATAAAAGACTCATTCTCACCCACCCACTCACTTCATATCTCTCCACTCTATCTCTTGCAACTCCATAATAACTATATCTCCCTGAGGACCTCCCTTTCCTGTTTATCCTTTCATTGGAACTGTTATACGTAACCCAAAGCAATCATTCATATATTATCCATAGCTAACCATCACTCAAGACATCAAATACCCTACCCACTACTCCAACTTTTCTTAATCTATACCACAACCTACAACATAACACGCACCAAAATCCCCACAAGAGCCAATTCTTTCCCAACAATCATTCCACTTCATTATTATTCAGCTAATATTCTGATAGGTTCTGGGAAAACGAAGTATTCTATTAACCGATTGCATTTTTTATCTTCAAGTTTCTATGCAACTATCCCCCAAAGTAGATTAGACTCTATCTATCCATCTATCCATCTTAGAATACATACATCTACACACACATACTCTCCTCTTAACCATAAAAGAAAAGAATTCAAAAAGAACCCAAAAGTAACAAAGCATAAAGAACAACTAACCAGCTAGATATATTCTGAGCCCATCTTCACAAAATAGTTTTCACTGATCAATATATACTTCTTTCTAACCACTTCTCAAGATTCACTGAGATTCGTCTAGCTTCCTGAATCACCCAGTAAAAACATCAGAGACAGATACATATCCTCCAATCATTTCGGTTCTACAATATATACCATACCATACCATACCATAACAAGAAAGAAAGAAAAAAACTTCTCACAACCACTTTCTCATTCTCATTCTAGTATCTTCCACCCTCAGTCAAGTCAAGTTAAGTCAAGTCTGGTTCGATCAGGAACCTGATATCTGATATCTGATTCAAATCCAAAGTAAATAGCAGTACCAATACCAATACAGTACTAACTGACCCGAACCAAAGCAAAACCAAAGTCATCTACCAAGCTACCATACGAACCCCCTCGAAGCACCCACCCAACCAACCAATCCCCTCGCTTAACCCAACCCAACCTAACCCTCTACTGTACATTCACATTACTTCACTCTAAACACCCATCATCCAATCCATTATCTAACCCATCCATCATCCAATCCATCCATCATCCAATCAATCAATAAACCACAGATTCACCCACTCACCCCAAAACATTCAACTTTTCAACCCCTCATAAAAGCCTCATAAAACCCTCCAGCTTCCCCATCTTGACCCCCCACCTCTCGAAACCCCCAACATCCATCTCTCCACCTTCAAGATATCTTCTACATCAAACATTTTCGCGTTCAATCTCCCATACACACATCACCATAAAAGCTCTTTTGTTCTTTCCCTTTCCAAGAGCTCGAGACTCTTGCATTTACATTTGCACAAAATCTTTGGGGGGACAATAAAACTATCTCCAATCACCACATCGCTGTATAGCGAGAATACCAAACAGCAATTTGGTTTTCCGAATTTCTTCTTCCATCTCCTTGATTCCACGTGATTTCACGCTCAACATCAAGTTCGAAGATTCGTACACCTGCTAGAACGATCTAAAGACTCTTTCGAGATCTATAGTTTCTCAATCTTCCTTGATCTGCAAGATACAGCTAAGCTTCTGAACTATATATCCCGCTACAATCTCCGAGTGTTCAAAATGTCAAAGTTCCCACCATCGTTTGGTCGTGGAAATATCTTCTCTAATGCTCCTCGCAAGAATAGTATGACAACCAGTCCATATGAAATCCTTCACTCGATGCTAACAACCTCATCAATAGGTCTTGCAGAGGAAATCATGAATGCGACCATGGCAGGCGCGAGAACTGCGTTAGACTCGAGTAAGGATCCGGGTAATACTAGCGATATATCTTTTGGTACGTTTTCCTACCTATCCTACTCTTGCCCAGAGTATTTCCTGACCTACAGAGAAGACACCCACTATTACTGCGACACTGAAACCTCCGAGGAGGAATACAGCACCATGACAACCGATACAGAGATGGAAGCTCCACCACCACCATCACGAGGTCTTCTCCCCAGCGAACAACCACTAATCCCCTTTGTCCCCGCTCGATTAAAGAAAGGTGAGCGAGCAATGATCACACCAGATATCCAAGCCCTACTCAACGCCGCCGGAGTGCAACCCAACCCCAAATACGAGGGTGAAATCACCGCCGAGGTCCTGAACGATTTATTGACACCAGCCGAAGAAAACTGCGCGCTGCACATCACGAATATCCATCCTAAAGCTGGGATGGCAGATCTCTTTGCCACAATTCACCACGGGAAAGTCTATTCTGTTGCGTGGAATGCGCCGAATGGAGAATGGACCGATGCAGCTGCACGACTTTGCTTTTGCGTACGCGAAGCTGCAGAGAAATATCTTGCGGATAGTGAGACAGGTGAAGGAATCCATATTCTCGGGCAGCGAATCACAGTAGAATGGAACCGAAATAGAAAGTGTCCTGTCCCCGAGGACGAAAGTCATCAATCTCGCGTGGTACAACTTCGCGGTCCACGATCTTTTGGGTTCTCGGCTCAAGATCTTTTAGATTTCTTCGGCAAGGATATGAAATTATTCATCATTTCCCGAAAAGAATGGGATCATAAGACTGATCAAAAAGTTGTAGAGTTAGCTTTTTGCGGCATCAAAGCTCAGTCGAGAATGGCATTTCGCTGCTTCAAGCAGAAAGTCGCGGCACAAGGATTAGGAGATCAGTTCGATATCCGATTTGCTCCTGATCCATGTGATCCAAGCGCGGCTCAAGGCAGAGACATGTTTTTGCCTCGGCCACGTACACGTCAAATCACACCACCGCCACCACCGCCACCACAACCTCGCACATTGAATAGTATCCGTACATCTAGTTGGCGTGCCGGGGCATCTTCTGGACCAAACCGAAATGGAAATGCAAACTCTTCAAAGATAGCTGGACCAAAGTATGAGAAGGGTGCCGGACCAGATGCAAAGTGTTGGAGACGCTCTGAGTGAGACGACTAGACAGAGACGAGATTGACTTTGGATTAAGAGTACTGTAGAAGCACAGATCCCTCACGCACGAATTTTCCGTCATAAATTCCTCCCGTCTTGAGGGGAGTGGCCCATTGAGGCCAAAAGCCATATCTTTGGCAATTTCATTCCTTCAATTGCACATTTCTCCCCTCCACCAATGTAAGGAGCCCCACGCAATACCTCATCTGCAGCCAAACTGATTTGAGCGACTTCCATTTGACAGGCTTTGTCAAAACAGAATCTATCAGACCAGCACGTCTGTATCATAATCTCACCACATAGCTGCTCTGTACAGCAAAATATACATAACCCTGACCAGATATTCACCACTTATTACGACACTTTACAGCGAGTGATGGTGCCTCGACTTCTCTATTCCTATATCAGACCCCAAAAGTTTTAGCGTTGATGAAGAGCTTGATCACAAGAAGCTCTTGGTTGGTGGTGGTAGCGTTTGATATATTGCATATTAAGAACATTCTATGTAGCTAATTGAACAAAAGTTCATCGTTGATTACAATTATGAAAACCATAAACGCATGATTTTGTATGATGTGATGTGATGTGATGTGATGCTTTCGACGTACTAATCTGTGCTCGAAGAGACGTTTGTACGGGAGTGGCTTCTAGGCTGATATAGTCAAGACGAGTAGCTCCTGCTAGCGCAGTTACTTGGCTGCTACGAAGTATCGCGTTTTATACTTCCGAGAAGAGAGTCCCAGTTGTACCTTGCCGTGAATCATCCAGGCATAATCGAGCATGAGCTCGTGTGGTATCTGTATAATGTCGTCTGGAAATGCATAAAGTAAAACTCGAAATCTAGATGCTTCTCGTCCAGCCGTTCGAGTAAGCTTTGGAAGGAGAGATTATGCCCCTAGGACTAAACGAAACTCGGAGCAACTTCCTCTCATTAGGCTCCAACTGAATAGTTGAACTTCCAAGTCATATCCAGAAAATACCAGAACCCACTCTCAAAGTCCAATCGAAGTAAACGAAGAGTGCAGCTTCCCCAACAATGTAGCCTTGGAGCTTGCATAACCAAATAATAAGCCCTTGTCCACAAATTTGTTTTCCATCCTAGCTATCTGTTGCTATCCACCACCACCCGGATACCATCCTGGTATATTCCGCCTGGTGATTGCATTTCAGGTTTCTAACAAACACGCAAAAAAGTACCGATCACAAAAACAAAGCGCATTCGAATGCTTTGCCGCTTGTTTCTCCTCCTTTGTATCGATGCAGGGTTACTGCCTGATTCGAGATCATTCCACCCAATCAATAGAAGAATTTCCCCCCCCCCCCCGGTGGTTACCTGCATATCGACTTGGATAATTGGTTACATCCTAGCTCGAACTCATGACTCAACTTCAAAACTTCTTGAATTCTCCAAAACTCTGATGTTGATTAATATCAGCTATCATCGTCTCTTGCACAACTCTTTTCGAAGATACCATCACGGCAGAAAGCTGGTTTTGGTCTTTCTACGCCAGTCTTGATTCTGTTCCCGACTCGTGCCCTTAAACACAAACGAAAATGGTCCATCAACCAAGTTCCTGGGAGCTCTCTCTTGATCGTACGAAGCAGCAGTTTCGTGACCATCAACAAGAGTATCATTATAACGATGGGAGTAGGGCTTCCACCCAGCTACCAGGTTCGATGCAAACCAGCTCCGAAGTGAGAACCAACACGAATCCTGATTATAAGCAGAACACTTGCTGTTTGTACTAACACCAAGCTCACACTATCCATTGCTGACTAGAGACAGATAATAGCGAGCTCCCCTTCGATTCATGGTTCGAGTCTGTTACTAAAGCGGTCGGTCCCCACGGAGAACATACCTCACGCGTTCCATCAAAAGAGGGTATGCAGATATTTGACTATGCACAAAAGCCTAGCAATTTGTCGTCAGAAGTGAGTCTAGCGTTCAACGCTAGATATACATCCATTGCAACATCTGGTAGAGTTTACAATGAGGATTATCCAGGTACCATGATCCAATACCTTGGAATGAAGACTGGGAGGCAGATCGGATCTAACACTTCCTCATTTGATGAAAGTCACACTCGATCTATTTCAACTTCTTCGGGTCCAAGTTTATCATCCTCGTTTGCATCGACTGCATCGACAGACATTACGACGCCAGTGCTTGAGGGAAACCACTTCCACATACCCAAGTGGGATAGAGGTATGCCACCCAGGATGCTTGGTGACACCACAAACGGTTTTCATAGATACGAAACATTGGCCAAGATGCCTCAAGACGTCTCGGTGCTAGATAAATATCCAGTGCACGAAGATGTGGATAAGAAAGCAACCGAGTTCATCCCGTCAGCAATCCTCAAAGGGGGGAGCCGTCCGCCCAATCCCGAAATGATTCGTAAAGCTGCAGAAGTTGGTCTTCCTTCCAATCCGAATTATAAAGGCGAACTCACAAACTTCAATTTCCGCAATGCGATGTGTCTCGACCACGAAAATTGTTCTGTGAGAATCCATAAGATTCCTCCAGAAGCTAATCATTCTGAGATCTTCGCTGTAATCACCCATGGCAAGGTTTTTTCATTTAACTACACCCCTGCCGTCAAAGGACTTTTCACTCACGCTGCTGCCGATCTTGTCTTCCTCACACGAGAAGCAGCACAAGACCTTTTTCACAACGCCAAGTTCGGCCGTGGCCTATTTATCCGCGGGGAAAGGCTCATAGTTATGTGGAACAGGATCAAAGTGATGCCGGCGGAAGGTCGATATGAAAAAATGTCAAGAGTGGTCAGAATTAAGGGTCCAGCCGCAGAATTATCGACAAAATTTGTTGAAGAATTCTTTCGGAGCAGATTTGAGTTCAATCTTGTCGCGAACAAAGAATGGGTCCAGCGAGATGGGTGGAAAATTATCGAATTGGCGTTTTCGTCTATCCGTAGTCAAAGTGAGTCGGCAGTAAAAAGTTTCAACCTTCACATCGAACAAAAGATGCCGAATGCTGGATATCGTATCTGGTATGCTCCTGATCCATGCTTCAAGCTTGAGCGCATAGGAAATTTTCGATTATCCTGAACTTGAGGGATCACCTCGATTGGACAAAAAATTGATTTCCCGCCACTGAATTGATTTATGATGACAGCCTCTTATCTGCCAAAACTTGAACAGCATCTCTTCAAGCATTGAAGTTATCCCTTTTCCTAGCGCTTGTCTGTCTTCATCCCCGTCCTAACAGAATTTAAACTTCGATTGAGTATTCTGGACGCGAATGGGTCTCGAATGCAACTTGTCGAACTCCATATAAATCGACCTGATGATTTTGCGGTCAAGATCATGCACCTAGCATTTCATATAGGGCCTTGATTTGAGTTCGTTCGTTCCTTTTTGGGCAGTGCGTGTATATGGATGATGGCTAGGATGTGTGGGTCTTCGTTTACGTGGTCTGAAAGGTGTGTTATCAAGGGCACAAGTAACAAGAATGCAATGGTAGTAAGACCATTCTGGATATTGAGAATCGACGAGACTTCTCCATAAATGAGAAATTTGAATGGTTAAGCCAAAAAGCCACAAGAAGAAAGCTCCCATATTTGCTTGCAGCTTCAATGATCAAATTGCCAAAGCTTCTAAATCTAAGTCGATATGGTGAAGTATGCGTCCTACCATGGGCTCAATTAACTCTATTCACCAGACTTGGTAAAGATCTTCGCTCACACTATTAGGTTCTCATCGTATCAATATTCGCACGGCATCAAAGCCGTTTCCGCTTTCAGCCTCAAATACTCTAGCATATCACGAAAACACATCACATACTTTGCGCCGCACTAACGGGCTTATCTGGAAGACTCTCTTTATTCTCAGATCTACCACTAATTACAGAAAAAACCTAGCAATGCCCATTGGCGAGTCTCGTAAAATGCTGTTCCGAAATCTAATCTACATAAGTAAAGACGAAGCAAGAACCACAAACTATATTAGCCATTGTCCCTCAATCGCCAAGATGACTGGAAAACTCCGCGCACGACGAATTCAAGGTTAACATAGTACAATACATCATATGCTTCTCCACGGCAGCGTGTTTCCGTCTCTTCACTTCAAACATGTGGTGGTATAACTTTTGGTGGATTTGGATAATAGAAAGTTGCCACAGCGATATTGATGTACACAAGTACGCAAAGAGCACCTTCTAAGTAGTTGGATCTGCAATCTTTCAAGAAATTGCCCACCACCAAAATAGACAGAATTAAAACAACGATAATGAAAAGATCGAAATTCAAATCCATTGGGATATCAACGATCCAACCAATAATGACAACAAGGGGAGCGTTAAAAAGAGCCGTTTGAATGGTAGCACCTAAAACATGTGAAAGAGCCAGATTCATTGAATTATCGTGAGCTTCGTCAATGGCTGTTAGATGTTCGGCAAATTTCTCGACAAGTGGAACCAATATCAGACCAACGAAGCTGTCGGAAATGCCATCTTCATCAACAATAAATTCAATACTTTCCACAAGTCTGATGGCAGTAAATGTAACCATGCTAATTGCAACAATCAATGCCACAACACATTCCGTAAATGTCAACTTTTCCTTTAAAAGATCTTCTTCATAATCTTCTTGTTTGTGTTCATCGGCCTCAAAAATAGCGTCGTATATGGATTGATGAGAGCGCATTTGGAAGTATACGTATAAGGCGTAAGACATGATAAGTAGGATAGAGGTCATTCGCGAAATGTGGAGGACGGAATCAGCGAGTACGAAAGGATCATAGTCAGAATTGGCGCTCTTAACTGCCATGTTGAAAGCCGCAGGTACAATTAGACCGAGTCCACTGATTCGTTAGGTTAGATGATGCGTTTCCATGAGATATGGAAGAACACATACGCCTGAAGAAGCAAATCACTTCCAACTTCACTAATTTCCTCATCAAACTCTTGCTCATCGTGGGTCAATCCTCCTACGAAGAAGCACATGCCTAAACATAACAATTGAGTGGCCAATATAGAACCCATGATAGCGGCTTGCATGACTTGGAATTGTCGCCTGGCAAGAAGTACCATGAACATTACAATTTCAACAACAGATCCAAGGGTGGTTTCCATCAAGATGCCGAATACTTTGTCCAATTTTCGGGATAATTCTTGACCAGCAAAACCAATGAGATTTGCAGAAGGGATCATAGATAAATAGTTGAGAATGAAAATGACTGTATGCCATTCTGGACGAGCATATGTAATGACGATGGCAACAGGAACGATGGGCCAAAGAAAGTTGACGGCTTGTGAAGCACCACTCGAAGATTTCCAGCAAAGCTGAATACATTTGATGGGACTTAATCCTTTTCGACCACTTTCACCTTCAGGAGCAATACCTGTTGTCACCCTGAATCCTAGATGATTGACCTCGAAACCAGGAATGAGTCGATCTTCTTCAGTACTCTGTGGATCTCCACTCTCTGCACGAGCTTTATTCCTAGCAATAATAACTTCATCTGGTAGGCTTGAGAAAGAGATTTGAATTGAATGCTTTAACGGCGGACGAAGACCACTGGAATTTCTGGGACCATTCGGCGGGTTGAGTGTACTTGTAGATGCCATTGTTGAGGTTGAGTTATGTGTTTTTGAGGGAAGATGGAGGGGAGAGTGAAGGAAGTGAAGAGAAAGAAGCAAGAAACATGATAACAATAGCTGTACCTACAAAAATAAATAATATAGAGAAGTCTCAAGTCGTTCCTGCCATTCATCAATTGCACCTATAATTTACCTTACAGCCAGGAACGGCCAACGCGACTTCCACACATCATTCTTGCTCGACTGAATTGAACCCCGGGAGGGAGTCAAAGGGTAAAATCATAGACCAGACGGGTATTGTACCAGTCTATATATGCAGGTTTTACTCAACCTTTGTCTATATCAGCATTGCGATTGATGCCTTTGATGCTTCGACTTGATGAATGACCGGTATTTGATGAAGATGATGGTGCGGTGCCCAATTGAAGATAACCTTACCCGGGATGGAAAAACATTTCGCCATAGACCAAGGTGCAAGTCACAAATCGGATTTCACCAAATTAGAAACTCAAAAATGGTCAATCAACGTTGAAGTACGAGAGGTCCGATGCGAACGGGAAAACCTACAACTCGGACGGACTTTCTTATACATGACCAAGGAATCTTAAACTTCAGGTCTAGAACGTCATAAGGTTCAAGTGTCTCGCATGCTCAGAAACTACAACATGGCGTGGGACGATGTTGGAATGCTTTGAGAACTGCTAGGTACATAAGAAGCTGATTGCTAATCCATCTGCACTATGGCTTCTAGCCCACTTGCTGTATCAGCTCTTTTCCATCAAGGTATAAGTATTCGATCTTGGACACATTGAGACTTTGACCATCACTGTTTAAGAAGCGTATCAAGAGCTCGTTCGGACTTCACCCATCATCATCATCATCATCATCATCATCATCATTCGCACAGCGTACTTTCCTCAATATGTCTCCTGCAATTCCAAAAGATTCGACAGTCCTCGTTACCGGTATCAATGGCTATATTGGATCTCATGTGGCTGATCAACTGCTCAAAGCCGGGTATCGAGTAAGGGGTACTACCAGAGATGCTTCCAAAATGAAGAACTTGCTCGACCTTTGGGAAGAGCAGTATGGAAAGATTAGAGTGGAAGTGGCAGTTGTACCCAATATGGCCGATGATGGAGCTTTTGATGAAGCTGTGAAAGGTGTAACTGGAATTGTACATGTAGCATCAAACCTGTCCTTTTCACCAAATCCAAATGATGTAAGACCTCACTCACTCCATTTACAATACACATCTAACGTGGGAACCTTTATTCAGGTCATACCAGAATGTCTCGCCGGTGTAAATGGTCTTCTTAAGTCTGCAGCCTCAGAACCAAGTGTCAAACGTTTCGTCATTACATCCTCATCTATGGCCGCAACGAGTCCGAAGCCCAACAAGGAATTTTATATCGATGAAAATACATGGAATGATGAAGATGTCGAAGCAGCGCATGCCCCGCCACCATATGAACCCTCGAGAACATGGGCTGTCTACGGTTCTAGCAAAGTTGAGTCCGAGCGAGCGGTATGGAATTTTGTAAAGGAAAAGAACCCAGGCTTTGTAGCCAACTCCGTCCTGCCAGATACGAATATGGGTTTGATTTTAGATCCAGGACAAGGTTCTACTGGTGGGCTTGTTCGAAAGCTTTTCCTGGGAGATAACTCCGGGCTCAAAAACCTTCCTCCTCAGTATTTCATAGACGTACAGGATACAGCCCGTCTTCACGTCTCTGCATTGATTGATGAGGATGTGAAGAATGAGAGACTATTTGCTTTTGCTGAACCATTCAACAATAATATGTTATTAAGAATTTTCCGCAAACTGCGACCTGATGCCAAAATCATGGATGACTTCCATGATGATAGTGTCAATGATCTATCCAAGGTTGCTAATCAAAGAGCTGCAGAGCTTTTGAAAAGGGACTTTGGACGTGCTGGCTTTACAAGCTTGGAGGAATCTTTGGCCAACAATATTCAAGGACTCTGATTTTTGATAGAATAAAATAAGAAGTTAAGCCGAGTCTTGATTGTTGTTATTGAAATATATTATTGTCGTTTTTGCTTGCTTTTTTTTTTGTGACTTCAGACTCTGATGGCAGGTACCTAAAAATCCATAGTGGGTTTTCCTCCAATATCAATTAATAGCACTGTTAATAACTTTCTTGTCTTACCTTTTGACATGAGTTTTGGACATCAATCATGATTGCTGTCGGTCTTGGTAATCCCTTGAGTAAAACATATAGTTGATGTAAATTCATATAGTATCAATTTCAAATGCTGGACCAGATTTTGATTCACTATTCTCCCACGTTCACATTCATGCGATATGTGATATGCGATATGCGATATGCGTAGGTCAATCGATTTCTAGCAGTGCTTCAAATACAAACAAACACTGATTGAAGCCCAAAGTCAAGGGCCAATCTTCCCTCAAAGTTCAAAGCTACTATGAATACAAGTAATGGACGTTGATACCGTCGACATGATTGCCCCAAAATTGGAGAGTTGTCACATGGGAAGTCCATAGTACTACTACGTTTGTATTTTTATTTCCTCGGTCTCATTTTGCTTGCTTGCTTGTTACTGGGGATTGATTTTATGACTTGTTAATGAAGGATTAAGTGTCAATGACATGAAAAGTTGGTGGCGAGTAATTTATGGTTTGATGATGGTGATGAAACTCTTAGGTTTGATAGCGAAAAGTTTCGTGGTGTTCGATAATATGACACTTGACTGCCTCTCTGAAATCTATGAATTTAATCATGATACTTCTAGCAGTGTGCTTGCATTCATAGGATGAGAATTTCCATATCTCTTACCCGACCCTGTATGGCTTGCATTCTGATTTATGGATGACTTTGGGAATGAATTTCAGTTTTTGAATGGAGTTTTTGTATTTGGTGCTTAGATAGGGGGAGGGAGGTGCGTGATGATGATAGTGAGGAGGGGAGGAGGGTGGTATTCACTTGAACTTCTATCTATCTGGTTTTGATCTCATGATACTGTGGGGATGAGAGGGCACTAGTGTGAAGATTTGGGTATATAAGAACTGCATGGGCTTGGGTTTGAAGTGCAGGAAGTATATGAGGTAAAGTTGACAAGTTATGGTGGCAAGGATCCTGCTGGATAATTTTGGGAGTTTTCAGATTCTGAGTTGGTTTGTAGTCGGAGGAAGAAAGAGTATTGAAATTTTAGCTTGCAGTTGAAGTGCGAAATTTATTTGTTTAATAACCGGTTGAGATTCAGAAATGATAATGGAAATGTAGAGCTTGTTGAACGGCAATGAGAATGATAATGAAAACGAAAATCGATTTTCTTCAGCTGGAGATGGACCATATAGTGTGCAATTCATACCATTAAAGATACTGCCACCCAAATGAACAATAAGTAGGTAGAAGAAATTCTCGCATTCAGTAAGAGGGCACCATTTAGACAATGAGTTCCACTTTCATCAAGTGTTTGGATACAACTCAAGAAAGAATCCCGGCTTATATACGTACCCGAGGACTCACGCCTCGAGTGAGTTGCCTACATAGATCTAGGTATCTAGATGGGAGAGTCATTCACTAGAGGTCTCAGGATATAGATCTTCTTATTTCAGAATTATCGAGATCAATATAAAATCTCATTATCTTTCTGATTTATTCCAGCAATGCAAGCCCACAAGAAGAGTCGATCGATCGTTGAAGGATTTCCGCTCTGGTTAGGTGGTTGTGAGTAAGGATCTTGAAGGGAGTTTCTTTTGTTTGAACTTTGTGGAGTGTGGATTGTTTTGTTGGTGTGTATAAACAAGGGGGTGGATTGGTGAGGGTAGTGAGGGTAGTGAGATGAATGACAGTACTTGAGTCATGCGAGGGGTGGAGATGTTTGTTTATCTGGGAATTACAATGATTAGGATGCTCACATTAAGCGACCTACGCAATTTGTTGAGTACGTCCAGAGGTGATAGGTGATGGCCTCGGATGCTGAGTTGACTCACGAATGAAAATGAATTTTCCTTTCCGCGTACTCCTGAATCGAACAAGGAAACTGCTCTCATCCATATCAGATGGGATTTGATCACCAGATAACATTCCAGTTTTTTACTCGCAGATGAAGACCAAGCGAGTCTTTCCAGCTGCGGATAGATATTCCAAGCATACATTATACTATCTAGCTATATATCCACTTATGCCTAGAAAAGGAAATGAAATCCTCACATCTGTAAAATACACAACAAAAATCTCGTTCTTAGGCTTCTGGTATAAAAGCCGTTCAATTGCAGCAGTTTTATGGAAAAAAATTCGAAGTCTCAAAGGAATTCGATATACTCGGCATTATGCTTTATTTGCGCTGAAGATAGTTCTTAGGCAGATTCTGGGGGTTGGTGGATTTTACATTTGATGATGATGTATTGATGGTGAGAAATGAGAAACTCGTAGTGATAGTTATGAATGGGGAGTAGTAAATGACAGCAAAAACACCTTACAACAAATCTGTCAACAAAATAATGAAGGAAGTTCACGGGAATCAAAAAGTCAGATTGAACGTATCTTTGTACTCAAAATTATCTTCTTCAGTGCCTTCGTCAGCAGCTCCTTATTAGAGATCATCCAAAACGTAGATCTCATTACACACAGAGCCTTGATCTTGACATCCATTTCTTTTATATTCAGAGGTTGAAGAGGCAAGATAGATGACGTGTCTTGGAATATTCTGGAGTCTAAGGTTGGCTTTGACGCGGGGCTGCATTGCTGAGTTAGAATGTGAATAACAGGTTGTGAAAGGGAAATTTTTGAAGAGAGGGTATATAAAGTGTGAGCTGAGCAAGCTTTTTTTTTTGTAGCACAACTGAGAGCAAGGTCTTAGAATCAATTCAGATATAGGCGATGCTGCAATGGTATGTCTCCCTACATATCTAGTGAGCTTTTCTCGCTTGGATTTTCCGCAGACAGTGGCGACTGTGATGGCGTTTCGAAGTTTGGAGTTCTATACATGAGTATTGACAGTGAGATATCTTATAGCGATTGAATGATGACAATAAAAATAATGATAATAGAAATGATTCCTGACAGGAATTCTTGTCTTCACTACCTGGAAATGTGAGAATTCGATATTCGTATTCCGAAATAGAGATTAGGGGGATACTTATGATCTAACCTCGGAGTAGGGTTTGGTGGAGTATACTCGACTACTACTCATACATGCACAGTATTTTTCGAGATGGAATCATAGTTCTTATACTGGATTTTAGGATTCTGAGTCATGAACGCGGTTTCATATCCAAGTCTCCATAACGAGTAGTTATTTACTTAACATGCGTGTCTTTCAAACTCCCTAATTACATAGATAGACAGACAACTACTCCAATCTTTCTCAATCTAACGATACCAATCGATGATACCAGGACATATTAGTATTAGCAGAGTCAAGGATATTTAAAGGCAATCATAGCCATGAATTAGTGCTTTCTTTCTAGTTCTAATATAATATCATAATTCAAGAAGTACAGGTCGACACTATTACAATTTTCTCAATTTGAGGTCAGAGATGGATGGCTTGAGAATTGCTGGTTTTTGCCTCTAGTAGAATAAGTATAGAAATGTACGATTTTTCACCGGACGATGAGAATCGAAGATGACAGGAATTGAGAGGCAGAACGAATGACAACACTTGAGAATTTAAGTAAATCACGAGTGCCACAAATGGACAGCGAGTACCTAGTCAAGTAGAAATAAGCTCTGACTCCATTCATAATAAGTTTGATAATCATCCCTTCTTTGAAAGTTTGTATTTGGCGAAATGTGTATGTGTGAGCGCATAAGTGCATTCGCCATAAGATAGACGGGATAATTGCTAATGAAGTCGTTGATTTTGTCACTTGGATATTAATGTCTTATATATACTGGTACTTCGGATTGACAAAACCTGTCTTTAGTGCCAACGATCAGGGTAGGATGCTTTTGAAACTTGAGAGAAAAGAGAGATATAAAAACTGGATTTCAGGCGAATTATTCCACATCTACCTAAAATGAAAACCTCACTTCACCAGACCACCTATCTATCAAACAAGCAACAATTCACTTCCTCTGCTAACCCCACCATGTTAGAGAACTATCAAATACATCAATAACTAGTAATATATAAGACATACCACTCTACTGTATCCAGCATCAACATAAACGAGTAATAAGTAGAAAAGGGCTCTCACATTGAAAAGATATATCGGAAATCTGCTCAAATTCATACCTACCTACCTACCTACACTATTTATTCAAATACATCAGTATATCGTCTATTTCTTCTTCTCCGGAAGCGTATTTTCAGGCATAATCTCACAATCGACAAGAAATACGCGAAAATAATGATAAAATTTGTAGATTCGAGAATGATGAGATACTAGTCTGTATGCACAACGATAACGACAACGACAATGACCACAATAAGAATACGAATCCCTTTTCCTCCAGAAATCACTTAATTCTTTATATCCATTCCTCGAATATCAACTAACAGATACCAGAAAAGAAGTAGGATATACGCAATACCAGCTATCCTCCACGAGAACATTTCCCGCATGACGCTTTGCAGGGCTAGTGAGGTGAGTAATTTTGTACTCTCAGCTCTCCTCTTGAGTTCAATACTTATTTATATACTTATCTACACTATGTAAAGAACCAGAAATCTTAAGACATACCAGCATGAAGATCCTATGAATCCCGTGAATACCATGAATACCAAACAAACCCCCTAAACAGGAACCGCTTCCCGAAAGGAATCCAAATAGAAAATACAAAGGACCATCTATAAAATCCCACACTGTACTCTATCTTCTTTCCCGCATCTCAACTCATAAATACAAGTTCGACCATGACACAGGAGCTAGTAAGCTAGCTACAACCAGAGATCTCGCCGGTTGTGAGACGTGGTGATGGGGAGATACTAGATATTGCTCAAGTATTCAACGAACGACTCCGTATCTAATTCGAACTTCGACTAACTTGAAATTTTGATTTATATTGGGGGATGCATAGCAATTGAATGGTAATAGGAAACACAATAGCAATAATAATAGCAATGTTTAGATTTAACAATAATAAATAGAAGTAAGAATCAATAATAATGATAATAATAACAATAACTAATAGTGATAACAAGGAAATTAAATCGATATACCTCTTTTACATCAAGAGAATCCGAATATTACCGTATCAACAGTTCAGATGGAAGACTGTATATATATATCTACACATATCCATATATAACAATATGTATCCATCACCAATCATAACAACAAACGCGAGAAAAAACAGCAACAAAGAAATCCAAACTACACCATCATCACACCGTCATCACTATCACTCTAACCCAAACTTCTCCTCAAATCCAAATCCATATCCTTCTCCCTCTTCTCCCTCTTCTCCCTCTTCTCCCTCTTCTCCCTCTAATCTCATCACATTACATCACATTTCATCTCCTCGTCCTTACATACTACATCTACCTACCTATATATCTACCTACATACTATATCTATATACATAATTGATCCCAGCCTCCCAACTCCCAACTCCCAAGTGAATCAAATGAAAAGAAACTCTAGTTCCCTATTTCGCAATTCAACTTTCTCCACCTCCACCTCCACCTCCCTCCCCCCTTTCCCCCTCAAAAAATCCCCCATAAACAAAAACTTCAATCTCACAATCACAAATCCCACACACTTCAATCTCTTTCCAATCAACCCCCCATCTCATCACAAAACCTAAACCCAAAACACAAAGTCACCAAAAAGACTAATAAATCATAAATCTATATTTCCACGACTAACAAATAAAATATCAATATTTCCACTCCTCCAAAGGACTCCTCAATTTCATAGCCTATCCTCCCATTCCCTTCCATTTTCCCTCCATATCATATCTACTCCACCCCCTGCTCTCTCGAAACCACAAATTCCCATTCCTCTGATACACCCCATTCTCCCTTCCTTCTCCCCCCTCTCTCTCCTCTCCCCCTAATCCCGCCACAGACCCCAAACCCCCCCAAACCCTAAGAAATAAAACAAAGCGCCCCCAACATCAAATAAAACACAAACAGAGGAAAAACCGCCAATCCCACTCTATTCTTCACCACTCCACTTCCTCCCAAGATACTAATACCCGCCGCCATACTCCACGCCACCAGGACAATGTAGATTGGGATTCTGGGGATGGGATGAAGACCTAGTGCTGAGAGGAGTGCTGCGATGACGAGCGGGAAAAGGGTATAGCCTATAATGCAGACGGATTGGGCGAAGGAACTTAAGGGTTGGGTTAGCCGGGTTCGGATATGAGGAGTGAGGAAAGGGAAAAGGGATGTATTATGGAAAAGAAGACAACAAATAAAGAAGGAACTCACATATTCCCACCCAACAATTTAATCTGCACCGTCACCACCGCCTCCCCCAACCAAACCATGGCGAAAACCCCACTAAAAACATTACTCATCTGATCTCCCCTCGCTCTAAAACTCAACAACAATGACAACCCCAAACAAAAAACCAACGGGCCCCATAAATCCCAATCTCTCAATCCCTCACTCATAGCATTTCCCGATGTCAATCCCTCTACATCCGTGACCCTTCCAATCATCCCCCTCAATTCTTCTCTCGCTCCTTGAATTCCATTTTCTCGAAACTGGGAGTATGCACCTCGTAAACCGTGAGAATCAATCATCGAACCACCGAAGAGATATTTAGGATATAGCACTTCCCGCATTTTGGACCAGATGGCTGTGAGATCGCGCGAGAGGGTTTCCCAAACCGATTCATCGAGGGTGTTGGTGGGAGCTCGTCGATCTTCGCCTGGGATACGGGAGGTGAGATAGTTTTGGGAGGATTGGGTGGAGGATTGTGTTTGTTGGATATTTCCCGTGAGGGGAGTGCGGGAGGTGGTAGCATTGAGGGGATCGTCGAGATCATCGAGGGTCGCTGGGTGGATTTGTTAGTATATGTAGATGGATGGGTGGGTGAGAATGGCAAGCGGGGAATCAATGCAGGAGTATGTGAAGGAGGGGCAAGCCATAGAAACAACAACGTATTTAACCCCCGCTCTCCAGGTCTGACACGACATGATCGCGGGCTTGTAGCATTGACTCCCTCCCTCCATCCAACCAAAATAAGCATCGGCAGAGAAACATAAATCAAATATACATACCATCATCAGGATCAATCAAATCATCCTCCGCATGAGGTTGATCATAATGCTGGTACGGATTTGAAGACGAAGCCATGATTCCTACTTATTGCTTCCGTCGTATCGAAGATACAATAGCGCTGGGAATGCGATGATGAAGTCGAGACACTGGTACATGCAATTGCGACTCAGAGTACCAAGTAACGCTTCAAACCCAAACTCTCGCAAACTAACTGGCCTTTCGTGAACCTAAGAAACCGTAACCGTGTGCAAATCGACTGGCAGTTCGTAGCGCAAACAGATCCGAATATCTGGCTGTGGATGAACGAGTGTAGATTATTATTCGCAGATGGTTCGTTACTGGACGATAAGATATCTGGGTTCATGAAAGCTATCCAAAATTCCACGGTTTCCTTAAGCTAAACATGAGCTGCGTATTCTAGACATGGTGCTAAACTATTTATGGTTAGATCTCCCGCTTGACATATATGAGGTCCAAGCTTCTCTATTCATTTCTCAGTCCCCGTCATTTTATTGATGTTCAGGATTGTCAGGATTGTCATTCATGAGTACTATACTATAGTTATAAGAACTTCATGGTAGCATATAAAAGAGTGTATTGCTATTTGCTACATTTTCCATTAAGTTATATTGGTTGGTAATATTAACACCAATTGAATCGCAAAAGAATCATAAACATCCCCTTGCAACATCTGTATCCCAAAAAGAATGTTGAACTCATCATCGCAACACTTCGCCAAATGCTCTGTTCAAAATTTGAATGTATCCTTCCTCCTCTCCCACCTATAACCAGATTCTTTCTCAATTCAGCTCTTCGTTATCCAATCATCTGATACAAGTCTTACTGCTTTACGCAAGCTCGTCTGGTAGGTAAAGATACTACTAATGAGTACCATTACCATTGCCATTATCACCATTGCCATAACCATTATTTCCCATTCCATTTCCATTTCCAGGAGCGGAAGTACCAGAATATCCATTATTCTGATGAGCATAACCAGTTGAACCAACGGGTTGATAATCATGTTGTGCATAACCATCTGGTCTCATTTCCCCCAACTTTCTTCTCTTCTCTCTTCTCTCATTTCTCTCCTCTCTAAAAACATGACCAAGTGAATGACCCGTTTCCTTTCTCTTTCCAAGTCTTCGAGCCCAGTCTACTTCTGCTTGATTAACAGGTGGATCCATTTCGGCTGGTCCATGAGGATTCCAAATTGGTAATGCCGGAGGTTGAGATTTGGGACCTGGGGTACCACGTCCATAAGCTCCAATATTTCCATTGATACCACAAAGTGCCCAAGCAAATACAGCCACTTCTCGAATACTCTTGATGGATTCTTCTTTAGATGCACCAGGTTGAAGAGCCGTAGCTTCGGGACCATGAACGAAGCGATCGTTTGGATCCGGTCGAACAACGTGTGGCGCAATTGGATTGACACCCCACGGAGCAATAGCTTGATGATCAACACGAGAATTAGCAGGAGCTTTACGTAGAATAACAACTAAACCATCCGAAGTACAGGAAATGACAGCTTCCAATTGAATCTGTTGAAAGACAGGTAAAACCTGACCAGTACTGGGATTACCAGCAGATCTTTGACGATTGTTTCGTCGAATGACTACTTCTCTACCGGGTTGGGAAGTAGTTCGTGTGGTTGTTGGAGAAGATGCTGAGTTGGAATTTCCACCAACTGCATCACCTTCACTTTCATCTTCACTTCCACTAATATCACTAGCATCATCAAGAGCTTGATTGAGTTCTTCGATTTCATGAGGATGACGTGGATCACGACACCAAAAGATGAGATGAGCGATAGAGTCGTTTCCTTTGGCACTTTCGATAGCGGCAATGGATTCGGCCAAGCATTGTTGTTGGATGCATTCGTAGAAGCTTTTGCCAACAATATATTCCTTACTGATGCCAAGAACTTTTTCAATTGCTGCGGTAGAATACATAATTGTCAAGCTTCGAGTGAAACGATTGAGGATCAAAGCAGCTCTTGGTTCGCGTGTAGAAGTCTCCGTAACTGGGTCTCGAAATTTGAAGGAAAGGTTTTCCAACATGTGATATCTCAAATCCTTTGGAGGGGCAGTGAAACGTTTGACCAAGCTCTTGGAGGTTTCCTTTCCTAAATTATCGTTAGTAAATAGGAATTCATGGCGAGCAAAACAAAATCATACTGATAGCCCCACGAATCCTATCCATGTAATTCTCATGCGAATCTGCGTTATAGTGACTTGTACAAGCAACCAAGACATCGTGAACAACCGTGAAAACGCATTCACAAGTGATCCAGTCAGGTGTTCCATCCGATCTTTTATTCTTATGTGCGATTTTGGCATGATAAATAACAGCTGCTTTTTCCAAGTGAACACCTTGACTAGTAGCTTGACGAGCAAATGGGGTATTGTCGTTGTCCTTATCGAAATATTCGAACCAAGCTTTGCCTACAACATCCTCAGGTTCATACCCAAGAATGTCAGAGATTGACTCTGAAGCGAACAGAATATTGGCTTCAGGATTAAGGTCTGATCAAAAGTAAACGTTAGCCTAACTCATGAGACATTATTGAATCATTAGGAAATTGAATGACGCTCCGCTGGCCCTCCGGGAGCTACTGCCGTAGGGGCCGACTAGTAATGAAACTAAGATCTTCGAGCGTAGCGAGCAAAGGGGGGTTTGGGGGCTTGCCCCCATAATGACACCCTTAATCATTTTAATCCTTTTCTCACATTTCAACCCGAAGACATGTTTCCCCAGTCTTCCTCACCCACCCGAGGTTTTGTATCTTGCTCCCAAATGATACCAAAAACAAAAGGAATATCAACAAGAAAGCTTTTTCTTGTGATTTCTCACTCATCCCCTCATCATCAATTTCCACATCAAAGCGACCTCTCTTTTCGCCACAAGCATTTACTCTTCCATGAACCATAGCACTAAGAACCATTTCCATCCCATTGTGAACTCTAGGGAAAGAATTTACTCACTGTGAATAGTCATAAAAGTAGTCTCCATTTTGAAGAATCTGGCGTTTTTATCTCTAATAAGATGCTCAGTTCTATCGGTAGACGAGTTGAATCGAAAGACTCGAAGTTGACCTTTCAACAAGTAATATGTATAAAGTATGATGTAATGAATGGAAAATAAAAGTATTGAAAAGGGGGGAACTAGGGAGGTTATATAGAAACGAAGCTAGATGTGTGTGGTACTATTTTTCTATGGTGATTGTACATGGTAATTGCATTGAACTGAGGCGATAGAATACCTAGTCCTTTGAAGGAAATCGTCGATTCAAAAGGTCAAGAATGAGCTGGATTGGTTCGAGAAGAGGTTGGACGTTATGCGTCTGTCATGTGTAATGCCTGAGTGCTATCAACCCCGCGAAGCCATTTGATGGAAATCCCTAACTCCGTTCCCGAAATGCAGTACCACTGACTGTTGCGTACTCCAAACCGACCACTTCCTCGGCCACCTTTGAATTGATGAATATAATTGGATGGTTCCGGGTGAACAAGCGAATCGAGGACCTTTCTCCGGCTATTATGATGATGGACCCTGGGGGTGGTAATGCCCTGTTCCCAATATTCAGTTGATCGACAGGGTACGAACATGCAGACTTTTTTCTTCTTTTCCAGGAAGGATTGTGTGCGTGTGTGCTAGGTATCTTTGCCGCAATCCCGTTGTCACAAGGGGTGCAGTCTGATAAAGGATGGATGTATGTTCGGGACCGAGAAATAGAAATTAATTATAAAATGGAAAGAGTTAGAGTGGCCAGCCACTATTACAACTTTCAAGAGAGCCAGGCCAACGTTGTGTTCAGAAGTTCTAATAAGAGGTTTCCGGGGTTCGTAAAGGGTGCCTCGCCGTGTAGGGCGTTTAGTGTAACGATGTCGTGTGCATATGAAAAGGATGGAAACTGATGGAAGAGTGTAGGGACTTTTGCTTTTTTTTGTTTCAAATGTTGATGAATACCACCCAGTAGATAGAAAGTCTGTTGTGGTAGAATTGTGTTTTAGATGATGATGTTTCTCTTGTAAGGTTAATGTGGAAAAGCTTAGGAATTTCGTGTATTAGGAAAAACTCCCCGACGCTAAAACCGGCTACTAGAAACATCATTTTAGTGTTTCTTAGTATTTTTACTATGGAACCTCACAGGACTCCCTGCGACAAATCCTCAAGTTAGATGATTTCTGAAGATATAATTGGTTTCTTGACATTTTCAGGGTCGATGATGTTCCAAGGGGTTGATAATAAAAATAAATTCATGCCAGCATGTAGACCCACCTAATGAGTACCTGGCTCGAGCCTGGCAGGCCTGGATACTCGAGTCAAAGGCTGGATACATAGAGGTGCTATCTTACCCACTTACTAGTCATGCATCTAATTCAGATACTCGGTCTCCATGACAATGGCCCCCGGAGGGCCAGCGGAGCGTCATTTACTATTCTTATAAGAAACAAATAATGTAGTTTATAAGTATACAGCCTATTTAATTTATATATAAAATTTGTCTATATGTAATTATATACTTTCTTTACTTATTAATAGAATTCCGTTAAAATTTGATATATAAATTCCGATTATATTAGTATTATGAAAATCTAATTATTTTTTGAAAATTCGAATTAGCATAATGGTTATTAAAGAAATAACTGTTTGTAATGAAAATTATAACAATTTCTATTTTTTTTTAGAAAATAATAGAATTATTAAAGGCTTACCTTCTTAATAATCTTGTCGTTCGTAAGAATCGAAGTTATATATATATGAAAAATAAGAAACTCTTATTTAGTAAGATCTGATTTAAGCGATCTTATTGATTTGACTTTCATAGTATTATAATATAATATAACAATCAAAACAGAAACTATCTTTTCTAATAAAATTATCTTAATTGAATCGAATAAAAAATAACAAAATAGATAATCATATAGATCAAGGTAAGGACTTTTTAATAATCTATTTTTTAATTATTAATATTTTATTATGAATAAATCAAGTCCCAATAAGCTTATATTTATAATAAATTACTAATCTAGATTATATAATGTTAATTACATGATTTATTATTATTATTATTATTATTATTATTATTATTAATTTAAAAGGAGGTAAACTAACTTCGTCTACAAGCTCTTAATCCAACTACTATTTAAAAGTGTATTTTTAAAACACTTTCTTTAAACTTAAATTTACGTTCTATTAACGTAAAGAGTTTAAGGGCTCGTAGGCCCCTAGTTTATATAAAAATCATAACGTAATTCATTAGTATGTAGGTCATATTATTATATAAGCTATATTAAAAATATACTAAAATCAAGATACTTTTAATAGTTAGATTTCGAAAACTAACAATTATTATTAAAAAAATTATAGTATCATTTTAAATAATAAAATAATAGTATTTCAAAAGTCTACTTTAGAATTTAATTTTTTATTATGTTTTAAAAAAAGTAGATTTGTTACGGTTTTCGTTATAAAAAAGTTATTTCTTTAATAACTATTATAATCATTCGCGAAAAACTCGTACTAAGAAATAATTAGATTTTTATAATACTAATTTAATTAGAATTTGTATATCAAATTTTCATAGAATTCTATTAGTAAATAAAGAAAACATACGATTCTATATGGATGAATTATATACAAAATAAGATAATTCATATAATAATATAATCTATATACTAATAAACTATATTATTTCTAAAAAGCTAGGTTTTTATTATTATTTAATCCTTTTTATTTTTTCCTAAAATAATAATCAATTATTAAAATATAATTATTAAACAAGACTTTATATTACTTTGTCTGAGAATAACTATAAAAGTAGAGTATAATTTATTCTTAGAATCTATAATTATAGAATAGAGAGCGGAGTACTTATAGAATACTCATTTATATTAGCTATATATAAGAGTTCTAGAACCTCCTCATCGTATAGATTTCGATTTCCTCGCTAATATTATTAATCTTTTAGCTTTTAAGTTCTCTATTTTTTTTAAAGCTTTATATAAAAAAAATTAAAATCGATTTAAAATTATTTTAATTATATAAAAAAAAAGCTAATTTATTTTTAAATATTTTATTCATAAACTTATAAGTTATTGAAAATGAAAATTATAGATTTTTTAATAAAACTACTTACTTTATATAGGAAAAGTATTATAAATTATAAATTACTAAATTTTTTCATCTTAAATTATAAAAATAAAAAAAATAAAAATAAAAATAATACTTTTTTTCAATAAAGAATAATATTCATTATTTTGAAATTTTGAAAAAAAAAACTTCCAATTGAAAAAGTTATCAATTTTTTAGCCTGTATAAAAAAACATCATTTTTGTAGGGATTTTATTATAAAATTTATAAGGTATGATAAGAAGGTTTTAAGTTGAGTACTCTACTTTCGGGCCACCCCCCTTTTAGACCACTTTTTATACCAAAAATGAAATTTTTAACTCTTTTATTTATAGATAGAATTTATTGAGAATTTGTATATATATAATTCAGATCGTTTTGAATTTAATCTGAAGTTTTTAGATTTTTAGGATTTTAGGATTTTTCTGTATTGAGATCTAGAGCTTCAAAATATCGATTTTTAAATTTGTATGGAAATCATATATAAATTTGGAACTTTTATAAAATCTTTAATAACTTTTTAATAAAAATTATTAAAAATAAACTATAAAATTTTATTATAAATTTATAATATATTTATTTTGAAGGATTTAAAAAAAAAGAAAATTTCCTATAAATAGATATTTAAAAGAATACCCTCAAAATTACAGGGATTATTTATATTACTTTAAACTTATTGTATACTATATTTCTATATCTATTAATTTTTTTTTAATTTTTTTTTAATTTCTATATAGATTTAAATTCAAAACTTTCAAAAAGATATACAGTTTTCTTTTAATGGTTATTACTAAAAAGTTATTAAAGATTTTATAAAAGTTTTAAATTTGTATGTGATTCTTATACAAATTAAAAAATCGATATTTTAAAGGTCTAGATCTCAATATAGAAAATTCCTAAAAATTTCAAAATTTCAAAATAAGCTTAAAGTAGCTTAAATTATATATACTCAAATTTTTATTAAATTAGATTATATATTGATAAAGATATTAATAAGCTAAAAAAGCGATTTTTGGTGTAAAAGAGTGGCCCAAAACAGGGGTGGCCTGAAAGTAGGGTGGTCGACTTAGAACTCTTATATGAGCGTGTACATACGCGAATACGCAATATCTTGAAGTGGGCTGTATAGTGATATGGGCTGCACACTGACAACTATCTAGATATTCTAGACCACATCACTTCATATACTACCTACTGTATTCCGGTTCAGGGCTTCAGCCTCGAAAAGTGCTTGGTTATGACCAGGCTTAAGAGGATGAATACTATTTAACAAGGTATTGGATATTTATATATCTATTGGTTAAATTGACCCAAGGAATTTGAGAAATATCTGCAGGATCCCCGTTGGAACGGGTTGTCTTTGGGGAAGCCAATTCATTCTCTTTGGCTCCCCGCACATTGAAGAGCCACACAATTCCAATTCTCAGCTCCGTCTCTGCCTCTGCCTCATTTGTAAAATCCAAGCATACCGGACAATCCATTCTTTCCCCGTGTGGTCACTTGTTGCATGATTGATGCATTCTCCAAGATATCATAATGGAATATATTAAGGGGAGCTGGTGAAGGGAGAGTAAGCACAGGACAAGACAGCCTACGGGAATCATCAAGTTACACCCGCCTATGCAATGACACCCATCACCAAGAGAATGATGAGCATGAAATGACGAGGATTTGGGACAAGTTTGACGGTAAGTCCTATGTATGCTCTCTCCGTTACGGAATAAGGGATATGGCAAATCGGATATATTCGGGGGACACAGAAAGGATCAGAGGAGATAGGTCTGTATGGAATATCCCTACCTGTGTACACACTGAAATAGGAAAACTTCGAATTCACTTCTTTTTGCCTTCCTTCTCTGTCCCTCTTTTTCGTGTTC